AAAAGACCAAAATTTTTAAATAATTAAATATATTTTTCTTGTAAACTGTTCAATTTAACAAAGTATAACTATGCAACCGATGACTAAATATCTTTTTTTTTTCCGTTTACGTGTTGTTTTGGTTTTTTCGCTAGTTCCTAATTCTCACCTCGTGCGAATAATAATGTTACGCATCATTTTGCGGTCCATAAAATTTTTTCCTTAAACAAATTATTGGTTTTAATGTATTGTTTGTATATTTTTAAGAAATGGCGTAACTGGAACAGCGAATTATAAGAATAAATAGTTTTGTTTGTCACCATTTAGTTTAGGAGAAATTTGCGTCACTAACACTACTCTAGTACTGCAAACGGTTTTGTTGATAAATTCATATATACAGAAATATTAGTAACGAATTATAGATGGAGAGAAACATTTAAACCATCCTTTGATCATTCTCCAAAAATCATCATAAATGACTAAAATTAAAGTGGATAATGACTCAATTAGAGGCACAGAAAATTCAAAGTAAATTCTTGTCATACGTCTACTTAAAGGTTCGTATAAAAATTCAATTGAATTGAAATAAGCATTTCAGTATAATTTTTTCGTTTTCCTACTTAAGTAATAAATACACCGCGATGGACCCGGCACCCGCACGCAATACATTGAATACTAAGAGGTTTCATCTCTAACCTATATGTTTACATCACAGAATATAATAAGTGAAGCAAAAAATATAACAAAACAAATATTATATAGAAAATAATATAAAAAATCTATTACAAGGATATTATAAACGGACAGTCAAATAAGCGATGCCGGTTTCCGCAGTCCATAAATAATAACCGCAGCCCACGCTTTCACCGCTTACAAATATTTAAAAAAAATATACAATTTTACTAAAAATAGTAAACAGTATGACATTGAAATAACAATAAAGTTTTGGCAATCATTACAGTTTTGATAAAATTTACATGAGTACTTCCGCGGACTAAATATTGAATAAAAAAAATACAATTTCTAGAGCGTACGTTAGAGACATAATTATTATGTTTTAAATACAAATATTTGCACATCATTTGTAATAACTCCTTCGTAATCAGATAAAGAATTTTTAACATCACAAAGAAATTTACAAGTATTCATATATTTATCTATGGCTAATATTTCTTACTTATAATATCAACTGTGGTAAAAGACATCTAAAGTCATAGAAATATTGATCTTAATTTCATAAGTTTTTATCAGTCAATGATGTATTTGCAAATTTTTACCATGTTAACAAATTCCTCATATCTTTGTCAGCAATAGTATATATACATATATAGTACAACTTATAAAAGTAAATAGGTAAATGAAACTAATATTTTTCGGATTTTGCTACGCGTATTCTATTATTTTAAAAACTACATGCTCCCGACGTTTCGGTTAATTTTCAGCAACCGTGATCACGGGCAGATGACATGTGACTTTGAAAGTAAATAGGTATATATGACTGGACGTATTGTATTTTCTATTTATATATATTTACTTCTTGTATTGGTCAGCGTTATATTATAATTAAATAGATGGTAATAGTTTCCTTTGTTTAGTAACAAAGGTTATCATTATTATCATTGTGGTTTGTACCACAGTTGTTGTGGATGAATACTGCCAACGTCCGTGTATGTCAAATGATTCTGTAATACAGTATGTATTGTAGACAGTAAAACAGTGTTTATCGTATAAATTACTTTGTATTCATGTGACAAATGAACAGCAGATGTATTGTATGTATATGAGGTTCTGATTTGTTTTAATTCAGTTATTCGATACAGATTTTAACAAAGGCTTTTGTGGTGTGATTCATTTTAATAAGAAATCTATGTACGTGGAGTTTTTTTTAGAGGTTCTTAAAATAACTGTACCTACATGTGGAGATTGAAAGATGATTATGATAGTGAAGACTGAATACTGTCGAGTTTTTAACTTTTCTTGAAAGAAACATTAAGAAAAAGACTTCGTATTTATAACCTGAGAATGGCTGCAGGGATATGGTTGAAAATTAGCGGGGATATAGCTTAGAACCAGAAGACGGACATAGGATATTTAAATCTGTTCAATAAAAACAAAACTTAATAAATTCCATTACACATTTTGTTATTCACGCCCACTAGGGATAAATAGAGTTCGCCCGGTCAGCTATACATATATTACTATTGACGAATTTAACGCGGACGAAGTCGCAGGCGAAAACTAGTATTGAATAAAAAATATTATTATTTTTATTATGTAATTTTTTTTTTATTTATACATGTTTATAGTTACTACGTAAATACACATATTGTTTGATTTGATATTCTGATAAGACTTTGATAATCGTCCCAGCGCTATCTCTCTAGAGGTTAAGACACACTACACTCATTGTCAATGACAACCACAGTCATTATATGTAACTAGTATACATTTAATGATAGCTCTCAAATAAACAAGCAATAATACCTTTGAATACAATACAATTTATAATTGGATCAAATATAATTAATTAAATTTAATGAGTTACATTATAAAATAGTTAAGGAATTATGTTAACGGATTTAAATAAATACCAATTTCCTGGAATCCATAAGTGATTTTAAAAATCATAATGTTTATTAAATGACCATAAATCACTTAATAAAGGCTTTAAAACTAAAAAAATAACATAATTTATGACTGTACAATAGAGTCCAGAAAGTCGTTAATGTGTGGACAGCCTTATTCGTGCGGTTTCCGGCTGTGTTATAAATTGCTCAAACTATAGGAAGTCAACACTTCCGTAAAGCGTTGATCTGTTTCATATTAAAACTAGGTAAGTGAGGTCGCGAGAGTGAAATGAACTTTGATTTTTGGAATACAATGACCCTTCATAATGCTTACACCTACAGGGTCAAGGCAGTTTATTTATTTGAATTTACGTAATAAAAATCTCATATTAAAACGAGACCCATCTCAAGAGTATAACAACTGAATTTAATATATCTTACTAGAAGACCTGGCGAACTTTTTATCGCCCTATAATCAAGAAATATCTATTACGTTTTTTTATTTATATTTTTGGAGTTTACCTGTAAGCCATAAATCTCCGCGTTTTGAAGTGCAACAGAATGATTGACATATTAGTTAGTTGTCAAATCTAATGTCAAAAAAAATGTTTGTATGGGAAATAGAAAAGGGCTGTTTTTATGGTTTTCCCAGTAATGAATCAATTTTTTTTCAGCTTTTATACCTTCCCTGAACCTCCACGAACATTTCAACACTAAGATAAGATAAATCCGTTCAGCTGTTCTCGAGTTTTAGCGAGACTAAGGAACAGCAATCCATTTTTATATATATAGAAGATGATTATTGCAAATAGCGTTTTTTTCATGTCATGAATGAATTCTCCTTTAATTCATTCAACGCTCGTGATTCCAATGACCCGTGACGCGCTCGCTAATATATAATTACTATGTTAAATAACGTCGTTAATGCTCTCCCGCTCTTAATGTGAATACCTTGACATTATAAACAATAAATAATAATGATTTAATTAAAATTTATATGCATGCTGTTTAATGTCAAAAATGTTACTTAAGAAAACATGTAGGTATTGAGACTGTCTGTAATTTTTTTATATGTATATAGTAGTATAATATTTTATTCGATGTTCGTATATTGTCAGACTGCGCGTCGCAGGTCGTTGACCCGACGGCCCTGACCCACTCCCGTCATACAACCGCAGGAAATGACCGCTACCGTCACTTTTACCTTGATTATATTAACACAGTAACATTATAAGAAAAAAAATACAATTTTTAATATAAAATTTGACTGTGTTGGATACATTGATAATATACTAAATAGTAGTTCTGAAAAATTTGCATATGAAATATAAAGTCGTAAGATTATATAACAGTGGAACTAAGGAACAGGAAGATATGTAATTATTTAATTTATTTTTATATTAATTGTGAGGTAAACAACAATTATATGTATATATGAATCATTATCACAAATCCGAGGGACCTCACTGTTCTTAATGACCACCACAAAAACTTTCCAACAATCCATGACAGTAACCGATACTATCTCAATCAACTACTTTCTGTTGTTAACTCCAAGGCGATATTTATTATAAATGTGATCTACAATTATCGAGTCGAGTTCGAGTCGAGTAAAAAATTTAACAATAACAATGGTGTAATCTATTTAAGGTCCGATTTCATCCAGCGACGCCGGCAATGGGTCAAGTATCTCGGTCAAGGGCCCAACATTTAGTAAGACGATAAAATTTCCTTAATATATAAATTTGAATGGACCTCAAATGCGAAGGTCTCCGCCGTTCCTTTACGCAAATCTGGATTGATCGGTGATTCCGCGCCCACGGGCTCACCTTGGCGGAGCGGTTCGAATGTATTAACTACGACTATGAATGATTTAAAAATAACTCTATTTAGGAAACAGGAAAGATCTCGATGCATACCAATTGTTCGATTCGATTATTACAATCACATTATTGAGAGTATTTAAAAAACTACTTTCGAAACATTTAAACGTTTCCTTGACATTCCTCCGGAGAACAGGAACTTTGTTCGGCTTCTGTTTATGGTTATTATTAACAAAAAAATCTTGAGAACTAACGTTCGCGGTTTTATGTCCGAGATTTGTTCCGATACTTCCGATACGTATAATCAGTTGGTACAATCTATTGTTGTCATCATTAGTGAGTGGCCACTGCTTAATATCCCTACTTTATATCATATTTTACTGGATAATTTTTTTTTACCCTGACTATAAGAGTTCTATATACTATTACTTCAATTGTACTATTTCAATGTAACTTTTGTATATGCTTTCGTTCGCTTATGATACGTCTTTTCATTATTAAATTAAACTTAAGTGTAGAAACATCTATCACATCTTTCAAAAGTTTCATACAAAATTGATATTGTTAGTAGGTAAATGTTGTAGTAACATTTGTTAATAAGTACTATGTCTTTCTCAGACGAGCCTCAATGATGTCTCCTCGACAACTGATGCGCAACTCAAACATGACACAGAAGTGGCAGCGCAGGGAGATATCCAACTTCGAGTATTTAATGTTCCTCAACACAATTGCTGGTGAGTACTTATATATAAATTAATTCCTATTTCTTTTTGAAAACTATAACTGGTAAAACCTTTACCAATTTCGAAAGTCTTTTTAAATATTTCAAACAATTCCTTATAATTTTAATCATTTAAAAATTCATGAAAATGACGTAGGAAACTATGCAAATTTAATAAAAATTCAAGACGAATTTCACAAATTTTTTTTTTATGTATTTTTTTGCCAATAATATTTCTATTCATTTTCTTTCTGCTAATAATTTTTCTTTTCGTTTGAAATAACTTTCAGTTTTCTTTGCCTTGAAACTAGTTCATCACAGAAATACATGATCTATATTGACAAGGAATTAGGATCCTTAGCAATATTTTCTCATACTAATCAATCAGTTGCCTAGCGATACTCAGTTCAACTCGGTCAGCATAAATCACTTCTATTCAGCAATCCCCTCTATCATCGATTACTACTCAATTAGTAGAACTTGCGTCTGCGCATGTTAAAAATGCAATAAATACCATACTATGTTTATTCATTTATGAGTAACTGCATCGTCACATATTCGATTAATATACAATAAAAATGTTATTAAGTGAATAATAATTAAGACATGAGAACATTTTAATATTAGATAAATACTCCCAATATATCTGAAGATTCTGGCGACGGAAGAGTTAGTTTAAGATGTTAGTGCCTAGCTGTGGTCAAGCTATTTATCGTTTCGTCCCATGAATGAGAACACCGCTAGCCTTTTTCTGTGCTCCCACCCTTTCCTACCCTTCCCCTTTTCCCCATCCTTTCCTTTCCCTCTCCTAATCAAAGGTGGCAACGCATCCGCAAAACCATGTTGCGAATGTCCATCAGGTAGGACGTCTGCTCATTGGCTCCCTCTTATATATGTGCGTATGTATTATATTATATAATGTTACGTATTATATATGTATATATAACGTCGTCATATTTCTTAGGAAGCGTTACTCATATAACCACAGCTCTTATGATATAACAACATAGTAATATTGCATAAGCCTATTATTATCATCTAAATAGAGCTTCTGTTTTCCGCTTGAGATCTTAACAGGTGACATTTAAAACTGGGACTGACAAAGAATGAAAATGAATTTATTATAGATTTTAAATATACTATTATAATAAAGAAATAATTTTTTAAATGACTAATAAAATGCACTTGCAACGGACCACACGAAATAATTTTAATATGACATATATTACGGAAGAAAAACAGTATATGTATATCCCTTCTAATATTATAAATGCGAAAGTAACTCTGTCTGTCTGTCTGTTGTTACGCTTTCACGCCTAAACCACTGAACTGATTTTAATGAAATTTGGTACAGAGAAAGAACATAGGATAGTTTTTATCCCAAATTTTTGAAAGATTCTCTTGAAAACGCGATATAACCGAACTCCACGCGGGCGAAACTGCGAGCGGAAAGCTAGTAGTATATATAATAGTCAAGTAATAATTTGTATAAATTTACACCATTGAATTTTGATGATATTGATATGTCCTCCACAAACAAATGAAAAGAAAACTTTAATAGTGAAAACGATAACTATAAATAAAAGATATATATATAGATATATAATGTAATGAATATATAAAATACATGAAGCATCTGTGCACATACCTATTATATAATATACAATAATTTTTTAAATAGATTCATGTAAGAACCATTCCTTGGAAACTTATATAAATTATTAGTGTATTTTTATCACATCTAATGTACAGTTACATGTTTAATAATTTTTGTAATATTTTTGTTGGTTTTTTAAATGTAATTCTCACTCCTCCATGCATACGTAACTACTTAGAGACACATTTTATCTACAAGTCTGGATATTCAACATTTTAAATCAACCACTATAAATTCTATTATTTTAGTTTTATTCGCCGAGAATAATTGCTATTATTTTGTTTTGCTGAATTTAAGAACAATTTCAAACTAAATGCAACTAATATTTTTCGGATTATGCGAAGTGTATTTTATTATTGTAAAACCTATACACTCCCGACGTTTCGGCTACATCTCGTCTGCCCGTGATCACGGTTGCTGAAAAGTAACCGAAACGTCGGGAGTACGTAGTTTATACAATAATAAAATAAGCTTAGTATAATCCTAAAAATATAAGTTTTATTATTATATTATTTATGTATTTCTTCTACCTGGCAATTTTTCCCAGCTATAGCCAGGGTCTGCCTTACATGTTGTGAATGGTTTTGGCTATTTGTTTTTACGACCGGCCGCCTGCCTGACATCAACCCTCTTTTGGGAATCAACATTAATCAGTGATGTCTAAATATTCTTAGAAAGTATGTACATATGATTCGGAAAAATCACATTGGTACTTGCCCGGGCCAGGATCGAACCCGCGCCCTCGGCAACGAGAGGCGGGCCCTTTAACCACTGAGCCACCACTGACTTTTAATATTATTTATGTATTTATAAAATTATATACAGTTTTATGTACATATATAGTATGTATATAGATGATTAACAGATATAACAAGTCGTCGTTATCTTGATAGTCATCAATTGAATCGACTGAGATGCATATTGAGGGATAATTTTCTAATAAAGCTATCACAGTGAGCACCGACCTCTTTAGAATCTGCTACTTTTACTAGCCACGAAACAAAAACTATTTTACGTTACCCCGTTCATACACAACGTCACTACGAAACACATTAAAAAAACTAAGTTATTTTCAGTAGTTTTCCTCGTAGTACATATTTCAATTGAAACCCACCATGAAGTAGTAATATGTCCTTAGAACATCAATATACATATTAATTTATACGGCGAAACGAGATATTTCCCGCATCTATAATAAGAGCGATTCGTTTCAACATGACAACCGAACCTTGGTGATAGTGTCCCGGCATTGATAAATATCATAGATATTATTAATGTTTTTATTAATAATTATTATTTATTAGAAGGTTGATCCTTTTTCCTGTACGATATAAAAACTGTATGAATATTTTTATCTCGTAATCAGTTAATTCGATGTCTTCAATGAACCGAGTCTGTTAATGACCACTTGGATGTGCAATTTTCTATTCTGATGAAGATCCTGTTGTTTCGTATGATGACGAAAGTTCGAAACAGACTAAACGCAATAATTACGGCTTATTGATGACGAGGGAAACACTATTATGTAATACAATCAACATACGACTTCTTTACTTACCCGGTTATGTATACATAATTATATGCTACTAGAAGACCTGGCGAACTTCGTATCGCCCTATAATCAAGAAATATCTATTAAGTTTTTTATTATTATATTTTTGGAGTTTACCTGTAAACCATAAATCTCCGTGTTTTGAAGTGCGACAGAATGATTGACATATTAGTTAGTTGTCAAATCTAATGTCAAAAAAAACGTTTGTATGGGAAACAGAAAAGGACTGTTTTTATGGCTTTCCCAGTAATGAATAAATTTTTTTCAGCTTTTATAGCTTCCCTGAACCTCCACAAACATTTCAAGACTAAGATAAGATAAATCCGTTCAGCTGTTCTCGAGTTTTAGCGAGACTAACGAACAGCAGTCCATTTTTATATATATAGATTATTATTAAGTCAGTGGTGGCCTAGTGGTTAAAAGGCCCGCCTCTCTTGCACAAGGGCGCGGGTTCGAATATATTTTGTTAGATTCATTAGCAGTGATTTCAAATTATTAGTTTGAAATCACCAACCACTAAATTATAAATTTGAAATGGTGATTAATACTCAAATCTTCTCCATGCGAAAAGAGGTTTATGTTCAGCAGTGGGCTCTAATAGACTGATGATGATGATGATAATTAGCAGTAATACGTCTAACATAAAATTTATGCACTTTCGAATATAAAATTTTAGTTTTTAATTACAAGTTTAATTGTATTATAAAATAAATTTATTTTATACGTCTATTTATAACGTAGAGTTCGTTGAACCAACTATCAGATTCAGACATATGTAATTCAACATTAATAATTATTAAAAAAGTGCGATATATATTAATTGTTATTATTTAAATATATTAAAACAATAAAAGATATAATATGCAACGTAAAGTTAAATATTTTTATCACAAACAATTAGTTGTTCTCATATTATTAATGAGAATGTTCGATAACATTATTTACATTTTCTTTCGGCGTCTCATTTTAATTTCAACCAGAGGTGACTTGTTTTTTTATTAATATTAGTAGGTATTCTGTTGGTTATTTTCCATTCAGTTATTATAATTATATAAACTAACAGTCCGCCTGTCATTACGCGGTGTACAAATTCGCAAGTTTCCTAACACGAAAGAGTTCTTTCTCAATCTAAAATCGTTTTGTTACACTCCGACGACAATCACTTTATAAGCAAGAAATTGCAGCTTAAAAAATAAGTTAAAAATTAAAATATTTTTTTCTCCTAAAAGATAAATTAACTTTATGTGAACCTTCAAATTTTATGAATCGGATTGTGAGTTTTAATAAAACACGCCTATATGTACTACCAGCATAACATAATGCAACATTTAATCTACATTGAGCAAGGCCAATGACATCTGCATTGAATTATCCCGTCAAAGAATATCGCGTGTGGAAAATGTGAATTAAGAATAGAAAAATATTAATTACTAACTTATATAATATTACCTTTGACATGTTTCCATAGTACACGATCTCATAACACAAAACACAAAAACAATTGCCGCGGTAACGAATTTCGCGCGCGAAAATAAGTCATGTCTGACTTTGACGGACGAGAGACTTTAAACTTTCGTTTAGGAGCACTCTCACTTTTTTTTGTAGTATTATTTTAGTTAGGCGTCGCATGCGACTGCGAAAGTAGGCATCAGTCAGACGAATGCTTGGATACCAGATGGGAAAAGGAGAGGCGGCTCACGTGAGAACAACAATAGTCACACAAGAGATAATAAACAGTATGCATTATATGACCCACTGGCAGCTCGTGACCGGTCGAGGTCAAAGTTCAAGTATTGGTGTTTTCATGTTTATCTTATTATCAGTCCTGTTTAAAAATTACCTTTATAATTATAACTTTACAATGTTGCTATAGTGTCATTAAGAATTTGGTTTAATAAGTAATGATGAATGTCATTTCGATTATTGTATATTTATTAAATTATTAATTTACTTTCATATTTTTAACTCAAAATGCCAATGTCAAAAAATATTTTATAAAATTTTGAAAAGCCATTTACTATAAGATCGTTTTTAAAAGAACAAATAATAATTAATATGTTTTTTTTATTTCTATATTATAAATTATCACATGATATAAAAAAAATCAAATTTAATTTATTCATTTTGTTTTAATTTCTTTTTTTTCTGTTTTATTAAAACGTGTTATTTTTCATACTACTTATGAACATAATCTTCGTATGACGTCTTATTTCCTAAGACTGTTTACTTTTGTGATTAGAAATAATAAGATATGATCCCATTAATACCCAGTATATAAAATACAATGTATAGTATGTAAAAAATAATTCTTTATGTATTTTTTTTCCTTACAATTTTTATATCCACAAACATTTTTATCAGCAAAATACTTTGATCTACTTTCATGAAATTGCAGTTACATTTAATTCAGTAGCTATAAATACATATCGCTTTGTTTAAATGTCACTTGTATTTTCTTTAATCTGTCTAAATGTCTTTAATCGATAAATAATTATTATGATAATATAATTGTTATTGGTCAATAAATATAAAATATAAACGTGAAAGAGATTTGCAACTTTTAGTGGACATGGATTTGTTGAAATCAATTGTAATGTCTTATTGATAGTCATAAATCCGTAGTGTCTGTGAAATTTTGTATTAATTTTTAATGTAAAAATTAAATTAAACATTAAGAAACGTACACATTTATGTAACTGGCGGTGATTTATGTCAGTGATAAAAACTCTGGAGATTGGTTAACTTTGTATTGCAATACAAAGTACTACAGTGATTAAATAAAATGACATTTACCCGCTTCTCAGAGAAATGTAGGTGCGATTTAAGATAAAGTTTGTTTCAGTATATGACGTATGTATTTCTATAATATTAAGTATGTTATAGAACTGTACTATAGTTTGGACCTGAAATAAAAAAAAGTCATGAGAAGTCGCAAATTTATTAGTACGTTATAAGTTCTTAGACCACCTTACTGTAAACTGTAGAGGTAGCTCGCAATGTGTTGTGGAACATGCAACAAAGAGAATCAGGATTAATGGAAACAAAAAGGTGTTAAAAAAGAGATGAATACAATCGTTCTGTCACAAAACGACTTGAAGTTTTTGTAACTATTTCGACACTACTTTCTTTAAGAAGGTTACTCATCGGTACCAGGGTATAAGGGTATCTTCATCAAATCATCTACAGTTGTGCTTGACCCCACACCAAACACCCCACCACCTCTACATTCTATTTGAGTCAAAAACTAATAATGATATCATTAAATAACCGATGACCTTTTCAACAGGTCGGACCTACAATGACCTGAATCAGTACCCGGTTTTCCCCTGGGTGTTGACCAACTATGAGAGCGAAGAGTTGGATCTCAGCCAGCCATCGAACTACCGAGACTTGTCCAAGGTAAGGGCACTAATCTAGTGGACTACTCTTCAGTATAAATATTAGTAACTGCATTTTCTCACAGATACATATTTCAAAGAATACAACAGGCAAAGAAAGTTCCTTAATAGCATAGTTTAGTTAGATATTAAGTATGTAACTATCCGTAGCCCATCGGAGCCCTGAACCCAAGTCGCCGCGCGTACTTCGAGGACCGTTACAACACGTGGGAGCACGAGTCCACGCCGCCCTTCCACTACGGAACCCATTACTCCACCGCCGCGTTCGTCCTCAATTGGCTCGTACGAATTGTAAGTATTATCTTCTATCTTCTATATATATAAAAATGGATTGCTGTTCCTTAGTCTCGCTAAAACACGAGAACGGCTGAACGGATTTGGCTAATTTTAGTCTTGAAATACTCCTGGAAGTCCAGGGAAGGTTTAAAAGGTGAGAAAAATTGATTCATTACTGGGAAAACCATAAAAACAGCCCTTTTCTATTTCCCATACAAAAGTTTTTTTGACATTAGATTTGACAACTAACAAATATGTCAATTCTGTTTGATTGAAACAGGAAAAACCTGATTATTTATGGCCTCTAAGACGGAATAGAGTTCGACTGGTCAGCTATAGCTACATATATTACTCTTGACCAAACTAACGCGGACGAAGTCGCGGGCAAAAACTAGTATTTGATATTAATTTAAATTTTTCGTATAACTTGTCAAGAGGTTCGTCTTACATACACACGTAACTGACTTTTTTTATTGATATTTATAACATTTGTTAAACCTCACTAACCTTTCTATGTATTTTTACTTTGGCTAAAAATGAATGACAAAGATAGATATCGTGCTATTAATTTTAAAAGTTGATGCTATGTTATGCCTAATCTATTGTCGATTTCTCTTTGTTGTGATCCAACAGACATACAAGTTCTATTATGTCAATACTTTTTCCGTTGAACCCAAATAATGAAACTGTTTTAGATATATTTTTAAAGTTTCATTTGATACATACATAAGTACAGAAAAAAGGTCATTATTTTTATATTGAAACTATTACTTATACCTTTTTTGTAGGAATAAGAATATAAGACTGTATTGATATTTCATTATTTTTATTAAATTTTATAAATACAAACAATCTCCTTTCCTAACAGCTCTCGATTACATATAACGACACAATTATTTTTAATAGTTCAACTTATTTTCCCGGTTTAAATATAAAAAATACCTACTTTTTGATTGTACACAATTCCCTTCGTAATCAAACAATCATATTTAATTACAGTTCTTAACACCTAGATGGCGTGTAATTATAAAAGTTGTTGACGTAACGTGGTATATGTATTAAATGGTGTAATGACTTCATTTTATATTTTCCTTTTCTGTGCTTGAAATGTTTTCAGTTAGTCTCACAGATTTAGAAATGTGATTGTCTTATTAAAACACTCCCCAGACGCCATTAAGGTGGCTAGTTAGGGTTCGTTGCCAGTTTAAGATGGAAATTTATAAAATACTAGAAGACCTGGCTAACTTCGTATCGCCCTATAATCAAGAAATATCTATTACGTTTTTTTATTTATATTTTTGGAGTTTACCTGTAAGCCATAAATCTCCGTGTTTTGAAGTGCGACAGAATAATTGACATATTAGTTAGTTGTCAAATCTAACGTCAAAAAAAACGTTTGTATGGTTAAATAAAAAAGCGCTGTTTTTAGGGTTTTCCCGGAAATCTATAAAATTTTTTCAGCTTTTAAACCTTCCCTGAACCTCCACGAACATTTCAAGACTATGATAAGATAATCCGTTCAGTCGTTCTCGAGTTTTAGTGAGACCAAGGAACAGCAATTCATTTTTATATATATATATAGATAAAGATTTTATCCTGTTTATTTCTTTATATATAATTTGCAGTTATCATTGTTTTATTTTCTAGATAATACACATTAAATATTAAACGATTAAGTGACTCTTATAATATTTTGTAAACATAACAGTATAACACGTTGGAGATAATTTTATTTACTTGCTTATTACATAAGGCTATTTGTATAATATACATATTCCTACATGAAAAGGTTAAAATAAGGGAATTTTTATATAATAAACTCGTAAATATAAAAATTATCAAAATTTTCGAAAGTAACAAAGTTTTCGAAAACCTCCTGTTTGATTTTTAGAACCCTTAAAAGGCTAAAAATGATGAATTAGTTCCATAAGACGAAGAATAGTAAATATAATTTTAAATATAGTAGATCATAGATATTAATATATATCAAATGTACATCTGTACCCGCTGTAACTGTAGCCACACCTCGAAGTTCGTTCATCGTAAAATTAAAAGCGTAATGACGTATGAGCGGAGAGATCATGATTTACGAGAGAAGAGCAGCGTTCGTTCATTTTCACACGACGCGACAACAAAAACTGAGACTGATATATGTAACACGAGAAACGCTCCTTTAAATATGCTACCATTTAACTCTAATGGCTGGGAGCAATTAAATAATTCATATATATTTATCGCCTGTATATCTGATTCGTCTAATACTTCGTGTATCATGAGAAATTTATTATTATGTACACAGAGTTCGTCGACTTTAATATTTTTTTGGGATCCGAGAATATATTTCTATTCATATGTATTCCATATATTAATATAATCTCAAGTCAAAGCGTACCGCGGAGCGATCATAATGAATTACGTGTTATATTCATTGAATGAGACTCGTGGAACGTCAAAACAATCGCACGGCGAGCGACGACGGCTCGGAACAGATGCGCACGCGCAGCCCGTTGATTGGATGTGATGCTTGAAGTAAAAGTGTCCGCTTATTTGGTTGTAATGAAAATAGAATGACTCATTGTATTCATTATTTTTATTACAAACATTAAGACAAAATATAAAGAGAGAGCCATTCACTTGGATGATGTTCTATTTTGATTCTTTTGTAGTTCTTAGACGACATATGTTATTGGTATTCAGATCGTAAAATACATAGTATATCAACTTTCTATTTAAATAGTAGTTGGAGAGAGAATATATATATGAAAATATACAATAAATTATTATTTTAATAATACAAATGCTTACGTATTATAATTTGTACCTTCCGTCTTAGAAGCTCGTAAAAAAGGACTATAAATATAGTATCACTTACATGTGACTTGAGTCATATTATAATTTAGTGTTCTGTGTCAGGAACCAATGACAACCATGTTCCTGGCTCTGCACGGAGGCAAGTTCGATCATCCAAACAGACTGTTCTCATCCATCGCGATGTCTTGGAAGAACTGCCAGAGAGATACTTCTGATGTGAAGGTAGGAAGACATTCATGGCATGAAAATTTGGCCTGACGTTTCATGTTATTTGAAAGGGTTAATGAGCCTTTATTTTCACAGGAACTCATTCCAGAGTTATTCTTCCTACCAGAAATGCTTGTGAATAGTTCTGGTTACAAGCTAGGTATAGCGGAGTCTCCTTCAGGTGATGTACTGCTCCCGCCTTGGGCGTCGTCAGCCGAGGAGTTCGTGAGGATCAACAGAATGGCCCTGGAATCTGAATTCGTCAGCTGCCAACTACACCAGTGGATAGATTTAATATTTGGATATAAACAACGAGGTAAGATTGTTTAGTATGCCTTATTCATGTAAACTATAGGAATGTGTATCTATTTTAATTTAGTATTTCATAAAATTACTGAAAGAAAACCCAACCAAACAAGATAAGAGATGTAAATACACTTTAGAACATTTAGACGCAATTATAAAAAAGCAGTTTTTTTTTTAAGAATAAACTGATCATATTATTTTCACTAAAAAAGTATTCCTCCGATATGTAAAACAAGACAAAATGAACATTGAAGTAAAATAAACTTCTACGATATATGTTTGTCTAATCAATTGTTTGGGAATACTTTTTTTTCAGTATTACATTGAAAACTAACGTCAGGGTCAAAATGAAAATGAAACATATAGACTTTTCTAAATCAATCAATTCATTAAAATTTTTACTATAAAATAAATAATAAAATAAGTAAATGCTATAAATATAAGAGATTTTGTATTGTTCTTATTAAATATATTTTTTTTCTTTTGCGATATTATACTAGGATTTCTCTACATCGCTCAGTTATGGACTCTAAATCTTTGACAAGATCACTTTCTTCAACATTGTCTTTTTTTGTTTCGACATTTTTTTCACATTTTTTGTATTATGTAATATTCTTTTCGAATTGTTTTGTTAAGGCTACGATTGAAATCACTCCAATTATTTGCTTTTATTAATTTCCTTATGGAGAATCCTACATTGAAACATGTTTTATAAATGTTTTAACAAACATAATTTTGATCACAATATATAATATAGAGAATAACCAATAAATTAAATCTTCAATAAATATTTTCTTCAGTTGTCCAACAGAGTAATACCAGCAAGGTGGACCAAAAAAATTGGTCATAGATTTTATAATAAATTTTGTGATAATTACTCATCGTAGTGATAAAAGAAGATAAGTTAACTGACTCGTCTCCATAACCTAGGACCCGAGGCTGTTCGAGCGACCAACGTGTTCTACTACCTCACGTATGAGGGAGGAGCTCGTATTGATCAAATTCAAGATCCATTGACCCGGGCCGCTGTTGAAGACCAGATACGAAGCTTCGGCCAAACTCCGGCACAGCTCCTGGCTGAACCTCATCCTCCACGAGCTTCCACCATGCATCTAGCGCCGCTTATGTTCGCTGCTGGTTAGTAGCTAATTGCCGTGACTTTGTCTGCTTCTAACGATAAAGGCTAAATAAACGAGTATTTAACAGTGTCGATCTTTTTTAAGTTTTATGTCTATATTTACTTCTATATTTTATATTTTTCTTTGTGTTATTCTAAGTTTTTGTAATTACGTAAATTTTCAGATTAGAATATATTTTGAAATTGTGTGGAATAATTGAATGACCTAATGTCTTGGTCTCTAAGGAATCAGCCAGAAACCGTATAATGCAATTTTTCACCTAGTGATAGTTACCTAACGACAATTCCTATCTTGCTGTATTATCGTATACTATTGTATTTCAATGTTCATGTAACTTACTATATTCTATCTCACCCACAGCTCCTGACGACGTGTGTCTTCGTCTAAAGCTTCCTTCCAACGCGGCGGTGGTTCACGTGTCAGCGAACACCTACCCTCAGCTGGCAATGCCCGCCGCTGTCACTGTATGTATCCTATATATATTATACCTAAAATATATTTGAGAAGGCTATCTGAATGTTTTATGCTTCAAACATGTGTTTCCAATGTTGCAGCAGTTGTATTTGAATGTAGTTACATAAAACAGACAATAGATGGCGCTACTGGTTTACACAAAATTTTGTAAGCACATGTTATTTCTTCTGAACTCAGTTCCAAATACCACGTATATAAAAATAAAGCTAGTTAATTATATTCGAATATAAAATAATATGAACGTAATCATATTTGATTCTAATATGATTTCTTCGCTAATTCTTTGTCAGGTATCAGCAGCGAGAGCGTTTGCAGCGCACCGTTGGTCGGGCGGCGGCTGTGCTCACTCCACCCCCGCACGTCATACTGATCACCCTCCACACCCTCAACAACATCACCCTCTAGTCATGGACCCCGTCTGGGGTGAGGTCATATTAAACTGGTTTATAGTTTAAGATACAAAAAGGTCCATATATGATTGCAAGAATCTGTTGTACCCATCAAGAGAATTTCTTTTTACTTCAACATCTAATAACAACAAAATAAAAAAAAGCAAAACAGTCTGCATATAAATGGTCCATATATTCATGCAAGAAAGCCTCTTGATCACCATCAAGAAAATTTCTTTTTACTTCAACATTTATAACTGACATTCCAACGTCAAGAAGTTCTATAAAAGAACTATAAGTATATTTTTCGTTACATCTGCCATATGTCCATATATTTCAATATAATTTCCAGCGGCCGGCGGTGCTCAGGCTCTATCAAGACGTCAGCTAGGCGATAACTTCTCACAGCGTGTGAAGGCTCGCAGCAATTGTTTCGTGACGACTGTAGACTCTCGGTTCCTGATAGCGGCCGGCTTCTGGGATAACAGCTTTAGAGTTTTCTCCACGGAAACCGGTTAGTAAAGAACTCTGATTATTCTTAGAAAGACTTTTTTATTTCTTAGAGGGAATCTTCCATATCACAGTACATACGAACACAATTTAATTAAAAAGCTCGCTATGGTCCTCTATCAACCAAAACTATATTTAATTGGACCAAATGATAATCAAAGCGAAATTTCCTAAAATATCGTTACTTATATTGATATCTAGTTTATTTTAATCACATTTACGTACATGTATAAACACATGCAAATACTTAAAGATCAAATACTAAAACTCCTTATTTAATTGCCCTTTCCAGCCAAAATCGTCCAGATAATATTCGGTCATTACGGCGTGGTGACGTGTGTGTCTCGATCCGAGTGTAACATCACTTCGGACTGCTACATCGCGTCCGGCTCCGAAGACTGCACCGTGTTGCTCTGGCATTGGTGAGGAACGGGTTTGATTCCCGATAAAACATTCCTAGGACTAACATTAATTGTTCCTTATTGACCATTTTATTTGACCTTTTCCCCCCCCTTTTTCTCTAGGTCAGCGCGTCACGGCGGTATAGTGGGTGAAGGGGACACTCCCGCCCCCCGAGTGTCTCTAACTGGACACGACGCAGCCCTCAACGGAGTTCTGGTGTCCGCGGAATTGGGACTTGTTATATCATCATCTATAAGTTAGTAGTACTATAGTTAACACCCGACGCAAAAATAGAGGTGTTATGTTTGATGTCAATGTCTGATTGTTGCATCACATCTCAAAGCGGACCGACCGATTTTTTTTAGTTTAAGGCCAGTTACCTAGCGGTTGTTCTTGGCTTTATTCATATTTGGTAAGAGTATCGTCTCTTTTCCAAAAGATGAATATGATATATTATTCATTTGTGTGCTTATCACAGACCAGTTAAAGTTTCATTGTTCAGAAATTCGAAGAAACATTATTATTGGATTTTTTGTTAGTAAATTCTCATACTAGAAAACGACCTAGAAAAGGACCATATATTCTCACATTATAATATGTACTACATTTGTACCAGCTAGTTACATTTATTAATTTAACGACTCTTTTCGTAGCCCATAACAATCTCTGATATAAGTGAAACTAATATTTTTCGGATATAACTACTACGCGACTTTATTTTTGATAAAAATTACATACACATTTCAATATATGTCTTGGCCCACACATAGTTAATATTTGATCTATAAACAATAACGGTACCCAAAAGGTCAGGTGTCACATGCAGTATCTGCATAGTTTCCTTCCGTCGCATATCATCATTCTCTCATTCATTATTCCCTAGTTCCTAAACTATAAACAATATCATACTGGCACTCAAAAGTTCAAGTAACACATGTGATCCTGTGTCTGTATAGTTTCCTTACGAGTACGTCCTATATCATCATTCTCTATGTAATTTCCAGACGGTCCCGTATTAATCCATACAACTTTCGGTGAGCTGCTTCGTTCACTGTTGTGTACGGACGCGAGTGGACCACAGCAACTTGCTCTGTCCCGTGAAGGCGTTGTAGTTGTCGCTTACGAGCGAGGACACCTCGCCGCATTCACGCTAAACGGCAGAAAACTCAGGCACGAAACGCATCACGATAACTTCCAGGTCAGTTACGATAATAAACTACCAGGTATGAACTGTTAAGAGTAATTAAAAATGAGAAAGTTTGTAATGAAATTATGACTGTCGGGTAGTAGCGAAGTTGTCACTAGATGGCTCTAATAGAATGTATCGCAAAAATATTAAGGATATACAAATTTTTATTAGAAATATTTTCATTTTATATATAAAATGGTAAAATTGTGAAATTGTTAGCTGAATATAAGCTACTAATAACACCGGACGCAGTTATACACACGAATGACTAAAAAATACTCATTTATATATTTTTTTCCTTCCATCCTTAGTTTGTATTTGTAGAACGAAATTGAAGTACATAATAGATAAAGTTACTTAACTGGATGATCCATCGGGCAACATATCAATAACTGAATAGGGTATTTATTCATCCATGACGAAAACGCAAAAAATGTTTAAAACACTCTCACGAATGAGTCAGATAATACAAATATATAAATGTTACATCTACAGTTTCGATCTCTGCCGCTGCTCATTTGACTTTGTTTACTCTGCCGTACATCTTTACCTGCACCCATATTTCGCTGTCACTCGTAATGCGACATGCAATAGATGAACATTTTAAGGAATGTTATAAAAGTTCTATTTTAATATTCATCCAGTGTCTGGTATTATCCCGTTGCGGAGAGTACCTGGTGTGTGGTGGTGATGCGGGCGTGGTAGAAGTATGGCGCGCCTTCACCCTCGCCCCGCTGTACGCATTCCCTCCCGCCGGCGCGCCCGTTACTAGCCTGGCGCTCTCACACGATCAAAGGTATCATACATACACACACTCACACACACACACACACACACACGCACACGCACACGCACACGCACACGCACACGCACACGCACACGCACACGCACACGCACACGCACACGCACACGCACACGCACACGCACACACACACACACACAGTGTTTTTCGATCTTTATGATATTGCGAGCCCTTTACGGGTTGAAAAATTTTGGCGAGCCCCTTGACAGGCAAGAAAATTATTAAATTAAAAAGCTAAGTTAAATTTAAAGACATTCTCCGCAATGGTGGACATCAAAACAAAAAAGACAAATAAACTTCAATTGCAAGCTGATTTGATGGTTAATATTTCAAAAATAGCACCACGACTTGACATGCTTTTGAAAAATAAACAAGCTGATACTTTGCATTATAATTTGTTTTTTATTGTACATAGTGTAGAACTTTACATTTTACTTTTTGCCGGCGACGCCCCTAAGGTTCGTGGCCCACTTATTGAAAAACACTGCACTAAGGCAAACAAAAATCTACCAAGACTAGTAGTTTTACTAGTAGAAACTCAAATTCAATAATGTTTACCTTTAGACACGACTAATTATATTATTTTATTTATATATATAAATATTTCTTCCAGATTCTTATTGGCCGGTCTCGAGAACGGCTCGCTCGTAGTGTTCCACATAGATTTCAACAGATGGCACCACGAGTACCAACAACGATATTAGACGGTTAGCTGTTACGAAAACATGATAGGACATTATGATTGTTACTGCTTTAACATAAGGTCGACATCGGCGTGCACCGTTCACTCGAACGACGCTTTATAATAAGGACTCTTATATGGCAACACTTATATTTATTTGATTATTGCTAAAGCGTTCGTTAAAACAATTAGAATGCCTGAAATCATTAACTGCACTCATCTATAACACTGTTATAATATTTTATCATAATGCCTCTATAAAGATGTGATTTTTGAACATCATTTTAATTTAACAAATAATTGCAAAAAGTTAACGTTAGATCCAACCAATGGAATACGTTTAACATGCAGTTTATAAAACACGGTCGCAGCCGGGTGCGCGTATAGTATTAAGTGAAATTTTATATTTATAACATTCCAATATTATTATTATGATGTTTAATTTGTATAGAATGAATTATTTCTTTTATCAATATTATTTTAATTAGTGCCATGGAAATTAATTGACTGCAAAAATCGTAGTGAATAATTTACTAATAGGTTTAATTTTTCCCTGACGTCCTTCAATACTTTGAGATTGTGTACTTAATTATTATATTTAATGTGCAATAATTTAGTAATATTTATTTAATGAACTTAATGATTTATTCGATTCTGTCCTATTCCAGTATTTTATTTATTTTCAAAGCATTCCAAGTCCCCTCTATCTTACCTCTACTGGTGGTGGGTCGGCTAGTACTTAATGAAGTTTGTTGTTGTATTGTTTTATTATTTTTTTTAGTTTATTAAATGGTCATATTGACTTATGTTGTATTTTTTTTTATTTTCCTTTTGTTTTACATTTCTTTTTATATCTATATTCTATATGCTCTGTTACTTTGGTATGGCGAGTATGTGCTAACATTGTTGATAGTGTAGATGGAATGCTAAATATAATTCGCAAATGTCAATAACTTAGACTAGTTATATTGTTAAGCTAATATGTCACGGCTGGGAAAAACACACCAGAATAGTTTTTTATGCAATTGTATTTATTGTAAAAAAAATATCAATTAAATGCTATATTTTTGCATCCACACTGGCACCGCTCCTTCCGTTCTGTGATTTAGGCTTTAAATGCACACTAGAAATATAAATATATCTTCTGATATCTGTGCCAAAACTATTGTAAATTACAGATGACATTGGTTAAATAATAGTGAAATTTATCTCTGCCTACTTTCCCCAATCTATGACGCTCTAGGTTAAGATGTTAAGATCCTTTCTAGCCAATTCTAGTTACAAATTCTCTTAGTATCTTTTAGAAAATTGTACAAATAATCCTTGAACCCTTGTCTCACGTCCCACTGTAGTGTCTACTCTATGAAAGCCCGGCCTCCATGCCGGCGCTCTACTTCTATTATAGTTATAATAATGTTCTTATGATAGCAAATATGTTACATTCACTAGCAATTTAATTATTTTGTAACTTGCTAGATGCTTTCTTTCTATAAGCTGCAAGAGTGTGTTAGTGAGTAGTTGCTACAACCTATTCCGACAACTCAAAATATGTCTCGTGTATTCAAAATCTCTAATGGATTAATAGATTGCTCTAGGACATTCCGTAACGCTTCTAATCTTCGCCACAAATTCAATTTAGTATCGACTTAGATAACAATTTCTAGTTAAATATCTTCTAAGATAGTGATTAAAGGTAAATATAGAAACGAATACGAAAATAAAACTGCTTCTTGTCATTCCCTTATCTAACTATAAAACCACCAGCACGCAAACAGCACGCTACACGCAATTCTGTCCATTAATATAAGGATAGCTGTAAGAGTAATGTTGACTTACAACTTAAGGTTTTTATTTTATAGTGTAAGGACATTTGTATAATACGATAATCAATTTCTATTCAACGAGGTTTGCTTATTGCGACAGATCACTTTGATGTTATCATTGAATGTATGGCTATCAGCTATTGACATATTTAACGTGACAGTTGACATTTGTCATTTCATGATCTACTAACTGGGCTTTCAATGCCGCGGTTGCAGTTACCTCAGGATTCGCTTATACGCGTATAAAATATTCATCATATGCTTACGATTTTATATGGATTGCCTTTGTCATTTCATATATTGTTTCTTAGGTTTATAATGTAATAAACTTATTGAACATGTAGTCAATCATAGTATAGAATAATTTATAGTTGTAGTTGCTACCGAGAATAGATTAACTGACCATCATTGCAAAGGTTGTTGAAAGTGTCTTTGTTTCATATAATTTTTGCTAAACATTCATTTCTATTATAATTCTAGTGTCGAAAATATAGTTAAGTAAAATTTTAGTTAATAATTATTGTTAACGTTACGATTAAATTTATGTTGTTACATGGACATGTAAAAATATATGTTGTACTTATATTAACGTGTGTAGCGAATTTAGAGTTGATTAATTGATAATTATTGTTCAAATAATTAATTATAACACAATTGAAAAAATCTTTTGCACATGCTTTTAATAAATCACAAATATAAATGTGATTTGCGAGCAGTTTAGACAGATAAGCAAAAGTTTATCAAATGTATGTTTTTCTTGGTTGCAAGGATTTCGTTTACGTCGTAATTATTGGAAAATTTACTGTTGTTTAATTTTTGGACGAATGTCTGTATTGAATTGTTATGCTAAGTATATGGTGCGTTTGTATGTATTAAAGGGGTCGTATGTAATAAAATACATTCAATAATGTCTTAGTCTTTTTTTATTTCCCCATTTAACCGTTATTTGAAAAAATATGAATTTGAGAAAAGAACAATGAATCAGTACGATGTATTGGATATGCGCGAGTTATGTCTTCAAACGAACAGAAAATCAACGTTCCGGAAAGATTTTTAGCGTGAAAACTGCTTTTAGGTATAAACGTTGGGTAGGAACGTTCTCTAGTACGGTGGATCGGCTATTGAAAAAGGTGGCGGATAAAGACTCGATAAGGGACTATAATTGGAACAGTTACCTCATTTTGGGGAGACCAAAAGCCTTTGATTGATATAAAAAATATGACCCTCTTGCCTCTTGGAATCCTAAAAAGTTCATGCTGTAACCCTATACTAGCCTACTAGGGATAGTTCTATCAGTATTCAATATTCATAACCTAAATTTAGGGCTATAAATTAACAAGTTTACAAAAAATATATTACCTATTGAAAGCGTAAATTATAAATGAAGCTGGTTTATAGTCTTGTTAGTTTTGATAAAGTTAACGGAGAGAATGGGAGGTCCAAATCAAACTTTCCTTTGGGATCGAGGTTTTAGAGAGTAATAAGAAAAAAATATGAAAATCATTTGTCTAACTTAGGTGGGATTTTGCAAAATTGATTAATTATTACTATTTTATGTCTTGAAATGACTACTATTACCTAATTATTATTTCGTCGATCAGGACGTAAAGGTAAGTAAATAAAATAAAACGATAAATTAAAAGATATTGTAAGAGAAAACTTTGAAAGTTTAGAACTTTTTATTTTTAAAATTAATCGCCTTATAAAAAATGACAAAACAATTGTCGTTAACACCATTATAACTAAAAATTAAGTTTTACATAATAGACCAGTAGTGCGAGCACGGTTCTTTATGTCGACTCTTATCGAGGCATTTATCGACATTTTTGACATTAGATGTAGATATAACGACATTGGTAGCATGGATCTCAATTTTGTCGAGTTGTCGGCATGGTTCTTATTTTTGACAGTTGTCATTGATATATTTTCGTTAAACTTGTCTACACTTTAAAGTTGGTCGATAAAGAAATTCGATATAAAAAGGAAGTGAATTTCAAGGAAAACCTGTAAAATGGACTTTGGGGATATTATTGTTTTGGAGACAGAGGCAGCCAGAAGAGTCCGCGATGAACGAAGAATTCATCGGCGGAATCTCCGAGATCGAAGTAACCCCTTCGATTTAGGAGATGAAGAATTCCGAATTTACTTTAGAGTAAATAAGGAAATCGCCTTAATTTTAACACGCTCTCTTGAGGGCGATATAAGAAGGAGCCGGTCTCATGGACTGCCAGTACATATTGTAGTAAGTAATTCTTCAATCTTCAATATCAACTATGTAATGAGTTATACTATAGTACGCGAAATAAATTGTTTCAGATTTTGGCTGCAGTGCGTTTTTATGCCGTTGGTAGCTACCAACGGTGTGTTGGCCAAGATTATAATATTGTATTGGCACAACGAACGGTCAGTAAAGTCGTTAAGGAGGTGTCGCATGCCATTGTGCACAGACTCCTCAATGTTTACATTAAATTCTCTAGCACAACTGAGGAAAGGAGGGCTGTAGCTAGCGGGTTTCAGGCTGCACATGGCTTGCCAGATTGTTTGGGGTGTGTTGACTGCACACACATAGCTATTGCCACACCCCATAACAATGATGCTAATGATCCACCTATAGGGTACAAAAACCGAAAAGGGAATTATTCTATTAACACTTAATTTGTAAGTGTACCTAAGTACTTAATTTATTTCGCAACATGACTACAAATATTTTTTCTTTACACCTATTTTCCTAATTTAAGGCTTGCTTGCTACCCCACCATTGTGTGATATTAATTTTTATTAATCTTATGTATACCTACCGAATGTACCCACCTACCTAAGTATTAAAAAATTGTTTCAGGTGTGTGACTCAAATTGTAGATTACTTAATGTAAATGCAAGATTCCCAGGTTCAACTCACGACCAACACATTTTTAACCAAAATGTGGTTAAAGATGAAATGATGAGACTGGTAGATGGTAGAATTGGAAAATACTATTTAATTGGTAAAATTTAATACTACTTATTACTTCACAAAACACAATTTTATTTTAAAACTAGCTGACCGGCGCAGATTCCCCTGTGTGATACTTAAAGTTACTCCTCTACCCCCCTTGCCCGTCGCGTGATAATATATAGCGTATGTCACTCGGGGATAGTGAAGCTTCCCAACAGTGAAAGATTTTTTCAAATTGGTTCAGTAGCTCCGGAGCCTATTCGTTACAAACAAACAAACAATCAAATCTTTCCTCTTTATAATATTAGTATGGATATGGATAACATAATCAAACATTAATGCGGTTTTTAAATATTCTTATAATTTAATAAAATGGAGGTTCATATTGCAAAACTAAACTTCTTCCAAAACTTCTTCTGCCCCTAAGAATAAATTGGCTCCACCGGACTGCCATCAGCAACCTTGAAATAGAAAGATTAACAATTTAATAAAGTAATTTAAATAATTTTTCTGTGATGATTGTATATAATATTTAAATAATGTCATTTGTCAATTTTCAGGTGATTCTGGGTACTCTAAACAGTCATACATGTTGACACCAATTTTGCCAAGTCCACCTGAGGGTTCCCCCGAGTACAGATACAATGTAAAAATCTCACAAACAAGGGACTGTGTGGAGCGAACAAATGGAATAATAAAAGCCATCTTCAGATGAATCAGGAAGGATAGAGTGCTGCATTGTCAACCACAAGCTGCAGCACTCATTATATTATCTTGCTGTACCATATATAATATGATGCATCAATATAGGTTAAGACCATAATATTAGATACTGTAAAATAATAATTAAGTATCACTATTGCATCTCTAATATTTTTATTATTCAATTTCAGATACCCATTACCAGAGCCAGAAACATCTACTGAGGAACTTACTGACCACACTATACCTACACATACTGCTACCAGTTCATCAGCAGCTTTGCGTCGGCAGCAAGATATAATAATGTTGATTAATTAATTAAGTTATTAAAAGTTCAAAATTAGATCTGAGTTCTTATGTTCTACTTCTACTTTACAGCTACTTTCACAATATTAAATATTGGCTTAATTCTTACGACTCAAGAAGTCTATTTCTCTCTTTTAATATAATGTTACGCTCTGACTCTATTAGGTTCCGCTGTTCTTCTATAGCATTACGGTTCTCCAGATGTTTTGCTATAGCCTAAAAAATCAAGTTTTAAAATGGCCTTAATGGGGTGAGTCAGTAAACTACAGATGGCCTACTAATATTATAAATCTGCACGAGTGTCGGTTTGTTTATTTGTTTGATTCTTACTTCTTGACGCCTCAACTACTGAACCAATTTCGACGAAATTTGGAATATATATATAAGGACAGTCCGAGGAAAGACATAGCATATTTTTTGTCCCAGAAAAAGAACTTACCACGCGGGCGGAGCCGCGGGCAGAAGCTAGTAAAATAAATAAAACTAACTGTGAGAGCAGCAGTACAAGAACCCGAGCAGGCCTCATAGATTTGTCCCAGATCTTTAGCCGATCTTTTACGGGAAGACCGAGTTCGTGATGTCGACTGTGTAGGTGGTGGTGATGAGTGATGTGGTGGTGAACGGTATGGTGGTGAACGGTATGGTGGTGAACGGTATGGTGTTGAACGGAATGGTGGTGAACGGTATGGTGGTGAACGGTATGGTGTTGAGCGGAATGGTGGTGAACGGTATGGTGGTGAACGGTATGGTGGTGAACGGTATGGTGGTTAATGGTATGGTGGTGAACGGTATGGTGGTGAACGGTATGGTGGTTAATGGTATGGTGGTGAACGGTATGGTGGTGAACGGTATGGTGGTGACTGGGGTGGTGATGAGTGATGTGGTAGGTACTGCTGTGCGGGCAATTGATGTGTTGGTGACGGCTCTAACAGTGGTCTTATTATTGTCTCGGGAACATCTAGACCTTGAGATGTTGTCTTCCCAGTGATCCCTAAAATTTTTTCTTCCCCAGTTGTTAGAGCAGGAACATTTTCATTGTATCCAGTTCTTTTTCTGGCACGGTTAATATTGGCATTTTTAGTTTTTGTTTTCGATTTCAGATCACGCCATGTCTGAAAATATAAACAATAACCAATCTTATACAAATATAAAAATCAATCCCTATTTCACTAATTCTTTTTTGTAGTTTGTTATCATCAGGAGAAGGTTCTTATGAAAGAAAAGTAAGGATAATGTCTATCGGGTAAGCTAGTCACTGATACAAGAACAAAATATTTAAGTTTAATTTTATAAGAAGTCAATAATCATTAAATCACAGAAAACAAACTTACTGTTTTCCATTGTTCAACTGATATTGCTGGGCCCAGTACCGCCAACTCCGCAGCAAAGTTTTTCCAAATGGATTCCATTTTTTGGAATCCCATTGGACATGTAAAGATGCCCAATGCCACCTCTCTATGGTACTCCATCAGCTCTGTGAGCCCCTGTTTCTGCCCAAAAGTACAGCGTACTTTCTTTCTGTAACATTTGTTATGTCAAAAAACCTATATAGCAGACAACGCATACAAAGCACGTATCCGAGCCGCATTTATGTATTTACTTTGGAGGCTCCGTCATGGTACTTACGAGTAGTTATAACACAAAATAGAGAGGATAGCGCCGCGCGTATACCTAATTTCACTGACAATGTCACTGCCAAGTGCCAATAACATATAGTTAATTAAATTGCTATACATAAAAATTTAAAAAAAGAGAGAGCTGGCAACATCTATGAATGATAAATGAATGAAATATATTATTTAACTGATGTTGCCAATTTTTATATCGATAAAATAAAGCGCTCGACAAGTCTCGATAAACATATCGAAGCGAGTTCCATGCTACCATCCCTCGTTAAAATTCGATAAGTATATCGATTTATCGTTTCGATATATTATATGTTGGTTGCAAGGATTTCGTTTACGTCGTAATTATTAGAAAATTTACTGTTGTTTAATTTTTGGACGAATGTCTGTATTGAATTGTTATGCTAAGTATATGGTGCGTTTGTATGTATTAAAGGGGTCGTATGTAATAAAATGCATTCAATAATGTCTTAGTCTTTTTTTATTTCCCCATTTAACCGTTATTTGAAAAAATATGAATTTGAGAAAAGAACAATGAATCAGTACGATGTATTGGATATGCGCGAGTTATGTCTTCAAACGAACAGAAAATCAACGTTCCGGAAAGATTTTTAGCGTGAAAACTGCTTTTAGGTAAACGTTGGGTAGGAACGTTCTCTAGTACGGTGGATCGGCTATTGAAAAAGGTGGCGGAGAAAGACTCGCTAAGGGACTATAATTGGAACAGTTACCTCATTTTGGGGAGACCAAAAGCCTTTGATTGATATAAAAAATATGAACCTCTTGCCTCTTGGAATCCTAAAAAGTTCATGCTGTAACCCTATACTAGCCTACTAGGGATAGTTCTATCAGTATTCAATATTCATAACCTAAATTTAGGGCTATAAATTAACAAGTTTACAAAAAATATATTACCTATTAAAAGCGTAAATTATAAATGAAGCTGGTTTATAGTCTTGTTAGTTTTGATAAAGTTAACGGAGAGAATGGGAGGTCCAAATCAAACTTTCCTTTGGGATCGAGGTTTTAGAGAGTAATAAGAAAAAATATGAAAATCATTTGTCTAAGTTAGGTGGGATTTTGCAAAATTGTTTAATTATTACTATTTTATGTCTTGAAATGACTACTATTACCTAATTATTATTTCGTCGATCAGGACGTAAAGGTAAGTAAATAAAATAAAACAATAAATTAAAAGATATTGTAAGAGAAAACTTTGAAAGTTTAGAACTTTTTATTTTTAAAATTAATCGCCTTATAAGAAATGACAAAACAATTGTCGTTAATACCATTATAACATTAAAAACTAAGTTTTACATAATAGACCAGTAGTGCGAGCACGGTTCTTTATGTCGACTCTTATCGAGGCATTTATCGACATTTTTGACATTAGATGTAGATATAACGACATTGGTAGCATGGATCTCAATTTTGTCGAGTTGTCGGCATGGTTCTTATTTTTGACAGTTGTCATTGATATATTTTCGTTAAACTTGTCTACACTTTAAAGTTGGTCGATAAAGAAATTCGATATAAAAAGGAAGTGAATTTCAAGGAAAACCTGTAAAATGGACTTTGGGGATATTATTGTTTTGGAGACAGAGGCCGCCAGAAGAGTCCGCGATGAACGAAGAATTCATCGGCGAAATCTCCGAGATCGAAGTAACCCCTTCGATTTAGGAGATGAAGAATTCCGAATTTACTTTAGAGTAAATAAGGAAATCTCTCTCCTCCCTCTCTTGAGGGCGATATAAGAAGGAGCCGGTCTCATGGACTGCCAGTACATATTGTAGTAAGTAATTCTTCAATCTTCAATATCAACTATGTAATGAGTTATACTATAGTACGCGAAATAAATTGTTTCAGATTTTGGCTGCAGTGCGTTTTTATGCCGTTGGTAGCTACCAACGGTGTGTTGGCCAAGATTATAATATTGTATTGGCACAACGAACGGTCAGTAAAGTCGTTAAGGAGGTGTCGCATGCCATTGTGCACAGACTCCTCAATGTTTACATTAAATTCTCTAGCACAACTGAGGAAAGGAGGGCTGTAGCTAGCGGGTTTCAGGCTGCACATGGCTTGCCAGATTGTTTGGGGTGTATTGACTGCACACACATAGCTATTGTCACACCCCATAACAATGATGCTAATGATCCACCTATAGGGTACAAAAACCGAAAAGGGAATTATTCTATTAACACTTAATTTGTAAGTGTACCTAAGTACTTAATTTATTTCGCAACATGACTACAAATATTTTTTCTTTACACCTATTTTCCTAATTTAAGGCTTGCTTGCTACCCCACCATTGTGTGATATTAATTTTTATTATTCTTATGTATACCTACGGAATGTACCCACCTACCTAAGTATTAAAAAATTGTTTCAGGTGTGTGACTCAAATTGTAGATTACTTAATGTAAATGCAAGATTCCCAGGTTCAACTCACGACCAACACATTTTTAACCGAAGTGTGGTTAAAGATGAAATGATGAGACTGGTAGATGGTAGAATTAGAAAATACTATTTAATTGGTAAAATTTAATACTACTTATTACTTCACAAAACACAATTTTATTTTAAAACTAGCTGACCGGCGCAGATTCCCCTGTGTGATACTTAAAGTTACTCCTCTACCCCCCTTGCCCGTCGCGTGATAATATATAGCGTATGTCACTCGGGGATAGTGAAGCTTCCCAACAGTGAAAGATTTTTTCAAATTGGTTCAGTAGCTCCGGAGCCTATTCGTTACAAACAAACAAACAATCAAATCTTTCCTCTTTATAATATTAGTATGGATATGGATAACATAATCAAACATTAATGCGTTTTTAAAATATTCTTATAATTTAATAAAATGGAGGTTCATATTGCAAAACTAAACTTCTTCCAAAACTTCTTCTGCCCCTAAGAAAAAATTGGCTCCACCGGACTGCCATCGGCAACCTTGAAATAGAAAGATTAACAATTTAATAAAGTAATTTAAATAATTTTTCTGTGATGATTGTATATAATATTTAAATAATGTCATTTTTTAATTTTCAGGTGATTCTGGGTACTCTAAACAGTCATACATGTTGACACCAGTTTTGCCAAGTCCACCTGAAGGTTCCCCTGAGTACAGGTACAATGTAAAAATCTCACAAACAAGGAACTGTGTGGAGCGAACAAATGGAATAATAAAAACCATCTTCAGATGAATCAGGAAGGATAGAGTGCTGCATTGTCAACCACAAGCTGCAGCACTCATTATATTATCTTGCTGTACCATATATAATATGATGCATCAATATAGGTTAAGACCATAAGATTTGATACTGTAAAATAATAATTAAGTATCAGTATTGCATCTCTAATATTTTTATTATTCAATTTCAGATACCCATTACCAGAGCCAGAAACATCTACTGAGGAACTTACTGACCACTCTATACCTACACATACTGCTACCAGTTCATCAGCAGCTTTGCGTTGGCAGCAAGATATAATAATGTTGATTAATTAATTAAGTTATTAAAAGTTCAAAATTAGATCTGAGTTCTAATATAATAATTGTTTACTTTCTAATACTACATCTACCTCTAAAATATGTTCTACTTCTACTTTACAGCTACTTTCACAATATTAAATATTGGCTTAATTCTTACGACTCAAGAAGTCTATTTCTCTCTTTTAATATAATGTTACGCTCTGACTCTATTAGGTTCGGCTTTTCTTCTATAGCATTACGGTTCTCCAGATGTTTTGCTATAGCCTAAAAAATCAAGTTTTAAAATGGCCTTAATGGGGTGAGTCAGTAAACTACAGATGGCCTACTAATATTATAAATCTGCAAGAGTGTCTGTTTGTTTATTTGTTTGATTCTTACTTCTTGATGCCTCAACTACTGAACCGATTTCGACGAAATTTGGAATATATATATATATAAGGACAGTCCGAGGAAAGACATAGCATACTTTTTGTCCCAGAAAAAGAACTTACCACGCGGGCGGAGCCGCGGGCAGAAGCTAGTAAAATAAATAAAACTAACTGTGAGAGCAGCAGTACTAGAACCCGAGCAGGCCTCATAGATTTGTCCCAGATCTTTAGCCGATCTTTTACGGGAAGACCGAGTTTGTGATGTCGACTGTGTAGGTGGTGGTGATGAGTGATGTGGTGGTGAACGATATGGTGGTGAACGGTATGGTGGTGAACGGTATGGTGGTGAATGGTATGGTGTTGAACGGAATGGTGGTGAACTGTATGGTGGTGAATGGTATGGTGTTGAACGGAATGGTGGTGAACTGTATGGTGGTGAATGGTATGGTGTTGAACGGAATGGTGGTGAACGGTATAGTGGTGAACGGTATGGTGGTGAACGGTATGGTGGTGAACGGTATGGTGGTGAACGGTATGGTGGTGAACTGTATGGTGGTGAATGGTATGGTGTTGAACGGAATGGTGGTGAACGGTATGGTGGTGAACGGTATGGTGGTGAACTGTATGGTGGTGAACGGTATGGTGGTGAACGGTATGGTGGTGAACGGTATGGTGGTGAACGGTATGGTGGTGAACTGTATGGTGGTGAACGGTATGGTGGTGAACGGTATGGTGGTGAACGGTATGGTGGTGAACGGTATGGTGGTGAACGGTATGGTGGTGAACGGTATGGTGGTTAATGGTATGGTGGTGAACGGTATGGTGGTGAACGGTATGGTGGTGAACGGTATGGTGGTGAACTATATGGTGGTGAACGGTATGGTGTTGAACGGAATGGTGGTGAACGGTATGGTGGTGAACGGTATGGTGGTGAACGGTATGGTGGTGAACGGTATGGTGGTGAACTGTATGGTGTTGAGCGGAATGGTGGTGAACGGTATGGTGGTGAACGGTATGGTGGTGAACTGTATGGTGGTGAATGGTATGGTGTTGAACGGAATGGTGGTGAACGGAATGGTGGTGAACGGTATGGTGGTGAACGGTATGGTGGTGAACGGTATGGTGGTGAACGGTATGGTGGTGAACGGTATGGTGGTGAACTGTATGGTGGTGAACGGTATGGTGGTGAACGGTATGGTGGTGAACGGTATGGTGGTTAATGGTATGGTGGTGAACGGTATGGTGGAGAACGGTATGGTGGTGACTGGGGTGGTGATGAGTGATGTGGTAGGTACTGCTGTGCGGGCAATTGATGTGTTGGTGACGGCTCTAACAGTGGTCTTATTATTGTCTCGGGAACATCTAGACCTTGAGATGTTATCTTCCCAGTGATCCCTAAAATTTTTTCTTCCCCAGTTGTTAGAGCAGGAACATTTTCATTGTATCCAGTTCTTTTTCTGGCACGGTTAATATTGTCATTTTTAGTTTTTGTTTTCGATTTCAGATCACACCATGTCTGAAAATATAAACAATAACCAATCTTATACAAATATAAAAATCAATCCCTATTTCACTAATTCGCTGGACCGATTTCACTAATTCTTTTTTGTTGTTTGTTATTATCAGGAGAAGATTCTTATGAAAGAAAAGTAAGGATAATGTCTATCGGGTAAGCTAGTCACTGATACAAGAACAAAATATTTAAGTTTAATTTTATAAGAAGTCAATAATCATTAAATCACAGAAAACAAACTTACTGTTTTCCATTGTTCAACTGATATTGCTGGGCCCAGTACCGCCAACTCCGCAGCAAAGTTTTTCCAAATGGATTCCATTTTTTGGAATCCCATTGGACATGTAAAGATGCCCAATGCCACCTCTCTATGGTACTCCATCAGCTCTATGAGCCCCTGTTTCTGCCCAAAAGTACAGCGTACTTTCTTTCTGTAACATTTGTTATGTCAAAAAACCTATATAGCAGACAACGCATACAAAGCACGTATCCGAGCCGCATTTATGTATTTACTTTGGAGGCTCCGTCATGGTACTTACGAGTAGTTATAACACAAAATAGAGAGGATCGCTCCGCGCGTATTCTTAATTTCACTGACAATGTCACTGCCAAGTGCCAATAACATATAGTTAATTAAATTGCTATACATAAAAATTTAAAAAAAGAGAGAGCTGGCAACATCTATGAATGATAAATGAATGAAATATATTATTTAACTGATGTTGCCAATTTTTATATCGATAAAATAAAGCGCTCGACAAGCCTCGATAAACATATCGAAGCGAAAACGAATCAAAGATATTGTAAGAGAAAACTTTGAAAGTTTAGAACTTTTTATTTTTAAAATTAATCGCCTTATAAGAAATGACAAAACAATTGTCGTTAATACCATTATAACATTAAAAACTAAATTTTACATAATAGACTATTCTAATTTTTTTTAAATAGTTGTGCACTCTGGAAGTTCTACAGATAGTCCCTCTTTTAGGTAATTTACAGAAAATTGACATTAAGCTGCTAAAACTACCTATTAAAAATAAATTGAAAGAGCATTTTCCAAACGATGTCCAGTGTCATTTCATTAAAAGAGACATGATTATTTTATCCAAAAATGATACTGTAAGTAAGAAACTTATATTTTTTCTTCACCAATTAGAGATTTCAACAAATTGAAAACACACCAAATTTTTGAAAATAGTTGATATTGTGACGGGTGATTTATCGATTGAAAATGAGACTGATTTTTCGGTATTTATTCAAAATAAGCTGTAATAATAAATATTTCTAAGCAAATAAATTACAGTGCATTTGTAACATCAAAAGGAATGTTTTCACCAAATGTCGTAACAAAATATAGTTTTTTGTATGAGATAAAAATAAAAAACCAAAAACTTAGTTTTTGATTTTTTCACATATTTTGTTTAGGTTAGGTGAAAAAAATGTTAGTATAAAAGTTTTAGGTCTTTATATTACCTACAACTTTGCCATATTACAGTTTTCCGTAGGCCTTTTAGTTTTGCCAAAAACCCATTTTTTACCCTTAAATATCCATCCCCATACCCTTCCAGACCTCAGATCGCCTGTAAATTATTTTTCCTTAAGTTTTATAATATTCCCCTCCTTTTCTAATGAGTTTCATTCTAATATAATTTATTTTCATTTTTCATTCATTTTAAAGGCTTCTGCACTGGTCTATAATGTCAAGGAAATGTCTTAGAAGTCAAATATTGAATTTCAATATTTTTTAATGTCCAAAAACAACTAATAAAATAAAATAAATCTTTTCTTAGTTAAAAAAATCCAACATTATGGAACATCACATCATATTTTTCAACTAATAGGTAATAATAAATATTATTAATATCTTAATATATATGTTTTGATATTTTATATAATAAGTGTTATTTTACCCGGACTTGTATGTTACTTATTTCTGAACGTATACTGTAAAGTGACTTTGACGTTTAGCTCTCTGTATCCTGTCTTTCTAAGTTTCTCCGCTCCCTTTTGCAATCATGGCGGTGAACAACATTTCCAAAAAGCGAAAAGTACGTTAGAATTTCGTCAATTAATTACTGAAATATATTCATTAGGTTGAAGCCCTATTACCGTTTAATGTTTTAGGGGTTGATATGAAACGAATTATTATAGTGTTACTTGTGATGTTAGTGGATGTGATGTCTTGTGTTTAACAAACAGTGCTTAACACGATATTTCTTCTCTTAAAACGCATTACATTCTAAAATACTGTGGTGTTTCATAAGTCTCAGTAGTGTCAATATGGTAGTAGTGCTCTTAATGTGATATTATAAACATAACCTATCGGTATATTTGCAGTTCGTAGGGGACGGAGTGTTCAAGGCTGAATTGAACGAGTTCCTTACTCGAGAGTTGGCCGAAGATGGCTACTCCGGCGTGGAGGTGCGCGTCACTCCTACCCGATCGGAAATCATCATTATGGCTACCAGGACACAAAGCGTACTGGGAGAAAAGGGTCGTAGGATCCGTGAATTAACGTCTGTTGTACAAAAGAGGTTTAACATCCCCGAACACTCAGTCGAGCTCTACGCCGAGAAGGTCGCTACCCGCGGTCTCTGCGCCATCGCTCAAGCTGAATCACTCCGTTACAAACTCATTGGAGGTATGTTGGTTCAAATATTGTACTTTCATCATGTAAGATGATATAACATGAATAGACTTACAGTGATACATTTCTTATGAATTAAAGGCTTTATTAATTAATATTGGTGAAAGTATTTGACTAGTATTCTGTTAGTAATCGATACATGAACATTCATTACAGGTCTGGCCGTCCGTCGTGCATGTTACGGTGTACTGAGATTCATCATGGAGTCCGGTGCTCGTGGCTGTGAGGTAGTTGTCTCCGGCAAGCTGAGAGGTCAGCGAGCTAAGTCTATGAAGTTTGTTGACGGACTCATGATTCACTCGGGAGACCCCTGCAATGACTACGTCAACACTGCAACCAGACATGTACTGCTCAGACAAGGAGTACTCGGGATTAAGGTATGAAACATTAAACATTAATTATATACAATAAATTATGTGTGTTTAGAATGGTAGTACATATATGTAGTACTTGAGCAGATTATAGTTATTAAGACTTTTTTTGTCTCAATATTGATAATAGTAAAACAAGTTCTGTCTCATATGAGTATAAAAACCACAAAATCAGGGATTGCACACATCTTAATGGTGTGTAATCTAATTTTTGTGGTAGAGTGACCAGCTCGTTTATTGGAGGGTCTGTCTATATGGGCTCTTGACGGTACTGGCTGGACATTAAAATATATAAAATATAAACTTTATATTCTATGATAAAGACAAAATATAAAGATTCATTATCATTGTGTACAAAGAATAAGACTCTTTAATTAGAATTATTTTCTATTTGCTCATTCAGTTATTTATAACAAAATTGCTTTTTTATGAGTGAGATATCGTATGTATAATAATTTTTAAACAGTTCATACTTGGAGTGAAATTAAAGAAGATTAACCCATCAATACATATCATGATTTATAATGAGGACTTGAACTATATCATGTGGCTTATTCAACAATTCAAACAAATTCACCACTCGGTTTCATATGTATGATATTAAGTGAAATTAATGAAGGTCAATGTATCATTATGTATCATGGTTTATTATGAGAACTTGAACTAAATCATGTGACTTATTCCACTGTTTGAATGAATTCACAACTCAGGTGTTTACATACATAGTAGTAGTATTAAATGTATTTTCATATAACCGCTACTAAATCATGTCACTTATTCCACAATTCGAACAAATTCACCTCAGTCTATGTAAGTATGATATTAAATGAATGTTTCATATATTCTAGGTGAAGATCATGTTACCGTGGGACCAACAAGGCAAGAACGGTCCTAAGAAGCCTCAACCGGATCACATCTTAGTGACGGAGCCCAAGGATGAGCCTGCTCCCCTCGAGCCAACCTCGGACGTGAGGTCGTTGGCCCCGGTGCCCGCAGCAGCCCCCGCGCCCGCGCCTGTACCCGTCTAGCTATTAGGCTAATATATTATACAAAAACATACTAAAAGACTTTCATTTATATGAGAATTTAAGTCAATTTCATAGCTATTCATGGGGAGATGTACATAAATCTAAATATTAAGGTTGTTCTTAACATATATTTTGGATAGAAATAACACCCTCTCGGTGACGCTGTGAAAGCCATTAGGGCTAACAGCTTTAGTCAATTATAACAAAAAAAATAAAAAGAAATTACAAATAAACTAGACGAAGACTTCTCGACAAAATGTTTGTGAATAACTGCTTCAATTAATGTTAAGTCTGTGGAATGGAGTTTTTAATACGTGGGTTACACTGAAAATGATCGGAACTGGCCAGTTGAAACATTTGTAATGAAAACTTTTTTTTAAATTTAACTTTAAAACTCTTTGGTAACCTAATGTAGTATATTGCATTAATTTGTTTTTGTGAATAGGCGGCAAATCTAAGATTCATGTTACACGTGAAAATGAACCTAACGGTTGTAAAATTTACGATCGATGAATTATTATGACTTTGTGGGTTTACTCAACGACAAAGCTATGGCAGGCTGTGATTAACATTCCTTAATGAAGCCCCACCTCGTGTCACTACTTAGAATTACTTTAACGAGTTTAAGCGTCGATGTACAGCGACTACCGAAGACAACATGAGTGTTGTGCGAAGCATAAGTAAAATAGAGTAACCCATCAGCAGATACGGGCAAGTCTAGGCATTGGTATCAGTTAAGTAAAAAAAATATTACACCGGAAGCTTTGTACCATACGGATATCAAAAACTTTAAACGACACCAGAAACACCTTCGTATGGACTGATGCATTACAAATGCTAGATAAATTCAACGGCGGCGACTCAAATGCTGTATTTGACATCGTCACGGGTGATGGAAGCTGGATACGAGGGTCAAGCTGAAAGTTCTTAGAAAATCAAAAACTGATTACATTAGCCAGTTATTAGTTTTATTACATCTTTTCAAAATATTGTCCATTCACGTCAATACACATTATGTAAAAATATTTTATTAATTATGAAAAACATAGATACAGTGAAAAATTCGTTACACATCACTTTAAAGCTTCACTATATACTACGTTAGCCGTGCAATTGGTTTGTGGCAGTAATATGTACTGGTTTTCGGGAGATCCTACTCGAGAAAGGCCTACGTACAACTGGCCATGGGAAAACACTCTTTTCTTAAGTCGATGCCTACTGTCGAAAACGTCTGCCCCTGTGACTTATTTATTGTAAGGGCGAATGATATTTTCACGGGGAACTGTAGCCTTTTCAAAGATATTGGTAAATCTGTTGGTATCATAGGTATTCGCGGTATGTGAGCCATTTGTCAGGATGCAGGGCCAGTGACGATTGTTGCCACTATTAAATGTTCCTTTAGTTCTTTAACCAGGAGTCTAGTACCATTGCACATATTGGGTGGGCTCAAATTTCTTAACAACATAATTGGTGTGCCTACTTTTAATTGTAAAACATGTGTTGGCAAGCCAGCAGGATTTAGAGAGTTTAAAAACTATTGCGGATAATGTACTGTATCTTCAATGTTACATACGCTATCAATAGATTTATATGGTTTAAAATCACCGGGAACTTTTTCTATTATAGTACGGTTTATTTCATTAGTAGATTCATTAGTTGGTGACACTATTGCTCGCGAACAAAGCCAAGAGAATTTTCTTTGTGTAACATTTTCAATTTCGGGGAATACTGAATTTAGAGATGGCAATTTTCCTTCTCCAAGTTTTAGTAACATCTCTGGGAAATTATTATCATTATTATTTGCCAAGTGGGCTCTCATATTTGTGCGCAGATTAAGTAATTGAATTGATTGCCATAAACGAGAAGATTTGTGACATGCTTTAATAAATAATATCGGCACGTGTTCCTTTTGCTATTTGGAGGGTTTGTCTAAAGTCTCCTGCGAAAACGAACGTTACGCCTCCCATCGCAGCGTTTGAATTTTTCTAAAATCCTTTAGTGTTCGATCCACTGCTTCTATATGGGCTCTATGGCTCATAGTGCATTCGTCCCATATTATTAGTGAAGTATCCAATAATAGCGTCCCCAAAGGACCATTTTTGCGAATTGAGCACACTGACTGTTGCTCTAAAGATACAGTTAAAGGGAGTTTAAATGCAGAATGTGCAGTTTTTCCGTTGTGTAAAAGAGTTGCGGCGATTCCAGACGAAGCAACTGCTAATGCAGTTTTACCGGATTGCCGTACTTTGGCTAATATCAAATTGGAAAGGAAGGTTTTGCCTGTGCCACCAGGGGCGTCTAAAAAATATATTGTTATTTTCTACACTGTCAATTATCAAATTATACGCAATTTTTTGGTCAGCTACCAATTTTGATATATTTGAATCTACAAATTCAGATAAGTCGTTAAAATTATGTGATTGTACTTGTGTAGGATGTACAGCAGTTTGTGAGCGATTGGGAGAAGGTAAACCAAAGTCTTTCAGATATTTATCGTTGAGTTTTAAAAGTTTGTTTTCAATTTGAATCAAGCCTTCATTATACACATCACAGTCTTCTTCTCGCTGCTGTGCTCTGTGTATTATATGTTGGCACAAATCATTTTTGAACTCTTCCCATAATTTAATAGGTTCTAAAGGAAAACTTAACAGTAATAACACAACGAATAAATCTCTCAGTTTCGTCGGGCATTGGGAAATCGATGTTTCCCTTAAAGTGAGTTCCCACTGATAATCATTTTCCAATAAACCACGGTCTCGACATGCAGCTTGATAAGTTTCTTTTATAACTCCATCGACAGTTTTTAAATCCTGGAATGAAGTTGGACCGCGAATATGGTGTAGAAGTATTCTTAGATAGAAGCATTCTGACTGAGAAGGATGAATACTATACACCCTTCCCAATGCTGAATCTTTTTTTATACCAGGGTGGCCCTCAACATCTTGTCCCCGTTTTCTTCTCGAAAATTTGTTGTTTGACCATGTGTAATAGTGAGGAACTTCATGATAAAGTAATGTCCTAGCGAATTCATCCCTATCACATAGATCAAAAAATGCTGTTAGGGTTGTTTTTGGGGGGTTATCGACGATTCGTTGTACATTTTCGGCTGAAAAGTAGACACGCTGTCCATTCTCGAGATGAACAGCTAAATGGACGACGGTGGGATTCCTATCGTGTATGGGAAATTCGAAAATTCTCCATATGGCCTCTGATGTGCTGATATAGCGGCCATTCACATAATTCTCAACCTCATCATGAACATTTCGAACACTAAAGTTGCTTGCTCCGTGCCTTTGTTGATATACTTACGGATATATTTAATGGCTTGAACGGAATGACAATACTCCACGTTAATATGGGCGTTAAAAGAGCGACATAATAATGGGGAATATGGAACTACCCATTTATTGTCTATTGTAACCACTCTTCCTCGAATATTCAAGGTCGCTACTTGTCCACCGTTATCAATATCACGGCGTCGATAGACGGGATATCCGTCGTCACCGGTTTGCTTTTCATTAATGAATCTCCGTGGATTTGGGAGCTCCGTGGAGCTTGGGTGGTTCTGACGTTTTGTTCATCAAGGCGCTGGGAGCGCTCAGTGTTAGATTCTCTTGCGCGAGCTTGGGAGGTTCTAACGTTTTGATAGTCAAGGCGCTGGGAGCGCTCAGTGCTCGATTCTCTAGCGCTTGATTGCGAAGCATACTCCCTTTGACTTGCAAGGCGATTTTCATTTTCTGTCGAAGACTCTCCAATACGACTTATTTTGGCTGTCCTCGCCCGAGACGTATGTTTCGAAAGTTGTTATTTTCCTCTTTTAGGCATACTTACAGAATAAATTCAATATGTTGTTGTAATACAAAGTTATGAAATCAATGCAGATGTAGTTCAGAGATACCTAAACTGTTCAGAGAAACCTAAATTCAATTAAGTTAATTCAATTTAAAAAATATAGGTTAGTAAGTACTGTGAAAATAGGACGTAGCGTTAAATATCTTATGATGTTGTGTAATATGAAAAAACAACCGGCTATTACTGGGAAAATAAAATGACTAAACCAAAGCAGATGTAGTTCTGAGAAGAACTATTGTAGGTATAATTAAATTGGATGAATTTCACAAAATAAAATTATTAATTAAGTGTAGTTCTAAAAAGAACTCTTTTAATTAGGTATAGTCCTCAAAAGAACTTTTTGAGAAATCTTAACAAATATTATGCTAAATTTCCAATGCCATATTGCTAACGCCTGCTAGGGAGCCGACCGCGCGACTGCGCCGGGCGGCTACCTTGCTCATAGACATTGCACGCACATGCGCAGTTCAGCTACGCACAATCAACATCGCGACGCGATGCAGCGAATCGCTTACCTAAAATCGTAGTACATTATTTTGCTCCATCATCAATAGTTATTGCAGCGCACGCGATTTAAGGCATTTCAATAGTGATTTTTATCGACCGTGGTTTATGTTATCGAAGTTTTCGCAAGGATCACTAATTTTTTTCAAAATAAAATATAGCCTATGTTACTTTGGAAAGAAGTACAATCATAATGGTGAAAGAATTTTTAAAATCGGTCCAGTAGTTTTTGAACCTATTCGTAACAAACAAACAAACAAACAAAAAAATATTAACTCTTTATAATATTAGTTTAGATGTATAATACAGATATAATATAATAAAAATAATCAGAGGAATTTAAAACAAATTTGCATCATAAATGTGGTTCGTAAAATTTAGTTTTAATAAGTGTACACACATCTTTTTAGACATCAAAGGACTTAAGATATCTACACGGAGGTGTCTGGTTGTTCTGTAACTAGAAATTAAGTTCTTTCAATAAGTTCCCTTCAACAAATAGTTTACTTTGATATTTCCAAATGTGTATTTAAATATATTGTTTGTATGTACCGTAATAAATAAAAGACCATTTGTATCCAACATTTTATTATAAATCCAAGCTACATTCATCCCAAACCACGTGCAATGATACTTAATACAAATTACAAAAAATGTAATTCATGACTTGTACAACATACGACTGGTGACCGTATAAAGGCGTGTATAGTAAACTTATTATCGGCCTCGCGGCGTGTATATAATATATTCCACTATCATCTAACTTAAATTGGACCAACATTGCTCGCTTCACAAATTAAATTAAACTTAACATAATACCATATTATCCCGTTAACAATACTTTCAAATACAACCTCGCGACACAAGATGCAAAACGATAGGTAGACTAAAACTGACATATTATGATTATACAACGGGTTGAAATTTGGGATATTTTTATTAAGATGAGACAAACAAACGAAGACAGTCCACGACCAATAGTGTAAAAATGCAATATAAATTTTTAACAAGAAATACATGTTTTTGTGACACTTAAATAAAAAAATTCATAATGATGTCATTAAACCCCCCGTACAATCTACACTAGCGACACACCCTGTATATAATACATCTCTCTCATTGTAGACGTGTGTCGCTATCGAGCAGGTAGTTGTTGTATGTGTATTTATAATCTGTGATAATGAACGTTGAGTGTTTTTATAGTCTGTGGTCAGTATCCTGTCACTGCGGCTGTGGCTCGGCGGGCGGCGCCAGGCGGCACACTAGTTGCACGGCCGCGAGTATGGCGGAGCGAAGGGCTCCGGGCAACGCGGGCTTGGAGGCCGCGCGCTCGGCCGCCGAACGTAACTCACGGAACGTATTACGCGTGTAGGGATTACGGCGAGACGTGTAGCGCCACGTCACGAAATAGTAATACACGAACGGCGTCATCAGGCCGCAGTAACCACTGTAATACAAACATATTAACATCAATAACTATTCTTTACACGTACACTCACACACACTTACACACATACACACACACGAGCGCGTTTCGACATATAACTATTCTATACACGCACACACACACACACACACACACACATACATATACTCACACTAGCGCCATGAACACGACGAGCGGGAAGAGCACTATCTCAGCGAGGGCCGCTACTCTCAGAATATTCCTGGACTGAAATTCCACCAGCGAGATGAGCAGACGAGCGACCCACATAGAATTCTGTCCTAGGGTCTGGAACACAAACAAACAAATATCAATCTTTATATATGTGTATAATTCTTCTGTAAGTGTTTATGTCACTGAACTTCTCTCAAACGACTGGACCGATTTTGATGAAATTTTTTGTGCGTGTTCAAGGGGATCTGGGAATGGTTTACATTCACAATTTTGTCCGATGGACAATGTTTTTTTAATTAATTTTTAATTTATAAATAGTTGTTGATACAAACTTTTTTTTTGACATTAGATTTGACAACTAAATAATATGTCAATCATTCTGTCGCACTTCAAAACACGGAGATTTATGACTTTAATCGGTAAACTCCAAAAATATAAATAAAATTACTAGATATTTCGAAGTTCGCCGGGTCTTCTAGTATCATATATAATAATAACTTCATCATAATATATTAAAATTCTTCATAATTCATATTATTACTTACGTCCAGTATCGTGAGTGAGTAGGACGCCGCGTGCAACAGAGCGAATAAGAAGATCGGCGTCAGTATCACTGTGTCTTAGTGAAGGTTCATTATTACGTACTTTTTATTCACACGATAATTAATTTATAACATATACAACTTATTCCTTTTAAACTAAAATTTTAAACTCATTAATAAAGACGACCTTCATTATAATTCTCAATGTTAACAGCTTGTATGTATTCTCGATATTACAGTATTTTGAAAACTTTCCGATTTTAATAATATTAAATATACCCAAAATTCCTTTTCGATTTCGTTTTTCTCATTATACAAAAAATTGCATTATTGCATCACATATAGTGGAAGCTAACTAAATATTTTAGACCTTCATCCATCCAAAATTATTAAAAACTTAGCTTGTAATAAAACAAAAGGAAAACATTAAAAGAAACTATCTGTATATTGTATCGAATTAAATTGTAATCGATATTACAGAAGCAATTAGCTTAATGTGAAGCCGTTCGTATGACGGGACACACACGAAGATACACATTCATTATTCATAGACCTATTAATACTGGAAACTATTTTATTATACTTACATTAAGAACTAAGATATTAAGAAATAGTATTGTATTATTACATGTCTAGAGCTGAGGATAGAAGTTAAATTATGTAAAACCAGTAATTTTTGACCCTCATTTGTATATACTTTATACAAAAAAAATATTTTCGTAACATTGTCTTCGTACAAACTGTCTTATTATTTATGTACATAATGTAGTTTGTTTATTACCGGACACCGGTTTACCTTGACATCTCCGACGAACATTAATTTTACATATAATAATGTAAAAAAAATTATATACATTTTATTCATTTTTTGTATGTAACCGAGCTATCCGATGTACGAAACTTCTTTTGTCTTAAATTCAGTTTTGTCAAGAAACTAACGTCCCACCTTGAAAGTATGAATAATGAGGCTAAAAACATCTTTACACGTCAAAGATAATTTACCAAATACTACGCAACTATTACTACTTACTTATTCACAATTCTTATCTACATTTACGATAAAAATTTGATAAAAATCTAAAGTACGATAATTTTTCTTATAACCTTTGATATTTCAATTCAAGTTTGGTTTGAAAGTTGACCCTAAATTCTATTCTACCGAAGGTCAAAGGACATATTAAAAAGGATACACAAATTTGGCGCCACGTTCATGAATATCAATGAGTAGAATAGATAGTGAGCACTGTCTTCGAGGAAGAATCTGTTGACGAACTCCCGGGAGAGAGAGATTTCTCTCGCTGGGATGCGTTGGTGCAGCCTCAGTGCCGACGTGGCTGCGTTGGCGAGGAGAGCCTTGTAGAAAGCTGATACCGAACTAAATAAATAGAGAAAAAGTTATCGCTTCAGATTACAGAAATTACAAAGAAAAAAGTAATATTGAAGTACCTCATATGTATTTACTTCTATAATGCATATTTTAAGTAGAATTTTATTATCATTTTAAATTCGCTTTATGGAAAAAATATACGTAATATGTCGTATTGATTGTTATGGTAATTAACTAGTATGGAATGAGTTGACAATTATAAATAAAGTATTAAAGACTATAAAACATTATTGTTTAAATTACATGGAGACCATTAATATTAAATGCTCTTTACTACGCTAGAATAAGCTCAAAACATCTTTACATTTTTTCTACAATTTTCTCTTGAAATAAATAAATCTTTTAAATTTTTCATTAATTGGGTGTACATATGTAAAATAGTTTTGAAATATTATCAACAATTTTACATATATTCATCATAACTTTTTACAAAATATGTGCGATATTTTAAATGACATCAAAAATGGGGAAAACATAAAAGTAAACGGATACATATACATCAGTTCTAATTGAAAATAAAGAGGAAAAATTTGACAATATATCTGAAACTAGAGATGATGACAGTTGTGTCGAAATTTTAGTATCATTTTAATTACTGTCATTGAATCTCGTGTTACAGAATAACATTGAACCGAGAAATAAACAGTCTAAAATAAGAATTTCAATAATAATAGGAAACTTGAGTCATTACTTAATGTATTTGGAAATATAATGGAGAGTTTGGTGAATATTGAAATGATTTTAGGAACTAGGTTTGGGGATACAGATAGAATATATATATTTTTTATTTAAGATATATTTATTTATCCTATAGGATAGATAAAAAAATACATAAATATCAAATAACAATGAAAAAACAAAAGCTAGAGAGCTGGTTAATTAGTCTTTTGTTAAATAGAAGTAACTCACAGTAAAAGTAAGAATTTGTAGAAAGAAATAACTAATATTAGCAAATTTTAGAATGATTTTGTTAGTTTTAAGTGAAGAAATTGTTGAAGAAATTGTAATATTTACAGATACAGCTAATATTTTCATTATAATAAGAAAAAAAGGATAAAGATGGATAAAATTTTATATGTATTATACTTTTTGTTATAAACATTGGCTTTAATTTTCATTACAGGAACAGAAAGTTGGGAAAGTTTATGGCAAGAATAAATGCAATTGGATTGATTCAAGACAACTTTATACAAATATTAATGCCATAAATGGCATTTAGTATCATTCAGAACATTAAAAAACATATCAATTAAATTTTATAAATAGAAATTCTTGCTACATCATATTAATGATCTATATTATATACTTTCATTAATACATAATGAAAATGTTTAACTTTATTCACATTACACACTTCATAGTTCATTATTTATGCATGGAATAAAGTATTAATTGAATTTATTAATAATAAAATAATATCAATAGGAAAAAGGAGAACTGGCTCTCATATATACATATATATTCTATTATATAATACTAGGAATATATTAACCACTTCAAATTATCTATGTATAAATATTCCATACAAAATTAATATTATATGCTAATATGTATATTAATATATTCCCAAAGAGGGTTGATGTCAGGCAGGCGGCCTGTCGTAAAAACAAATAGCCAAAACTATTTACGATATGTAAGGCAGACCCTGGCTAAAGCTGGGAAATTGCCAGGAAGAAGAGAAAGAAGAAGATATATATTAATATATACTCACTTGTTAAAAACCGGCAGTACATATCCAAATGTACATAATACAGTAAGCAATCTGATTCCCCACAACGCCACATCTATTTTGTTAGCGATCACATGTGCTTTGAGAGCCGGGATGCCTTTCGGTGGGCCGGTGTCACCAGCTTGAGGATTAGATTCAGCCATTATCTATAAAACACACAATTAAGACAAACTTTTATCTAAACAGACAAATATGGTCGGGGATAGTGTACATCAAAGTAACTAATATTATATAGTTCTGCCTATCTACATTGAAAGCATATTATCAGAAGAAAGTTTAAGCAGAAATATTTTCTAAATGAATGACTTTTTAGGTAATTTTTTCAAATTTACTATCCCCAACTATATAAAACTTACAATACTCAATGAAATTAAACTAATATTATTCAGATATACTAGACATGCTTTATGTAAATGAAACTAATATTTTTTTTACATTTAAATGAATAAAACTGGCAAGTTAGATCTTACAATACTCATTTGTACAAAGATTTTATATTTTCGACAAAGTCTAGCAATGTTAAGATGAATAATAAAAATTCATTTATAATGGGACCAATCAAATAATAAACCGATGTCTTCATTATGAAAGTCTTTTAAAGTACATATTGAAAAAAATTAAATGATTTACTAAGAAACAAAGTTCATATTTCATATTTTACTACATCAACAATAAAAAGTAAAAATTATCCTCAGTAAATACAATGTATGTATGTATATACACGAAAACATATTTAAATGCTTCTCTTATAATATTAAGTTCATGAAAATATATAAAGTATGAACCAACAAGATACATTAAAGTAGAAAGTCAATGAAAAATGTAAATGGAAACATAATAATTCTAAAGTGTGTCACAACAGTCATTTCACTTTCTTTTAACACTGGAGCATGACCGACCATACAAGATGAATAAAATTATTTTTGAGGTCATCGAGATTTAAAAAATCTCTTGTAAAGTTAAAAACAATATATAAATTCTTAAAAGGACATAAAATTTCGTATAAAGATAATATTGTATGTAGAGAATCAATTATAATGTCAATATTAATTACTGATATTTGAACGATAACAGGTCATATGAATATCAATGATTAAAAATTATTAATATACAGATAAGAGTTGTTACAATGTTAAGTTTATATATAATACACACACAGACAAACACACACACATACATATATTTATAGACTCAGTTTAAGATAAAAGTTGTTCATATCACTAGATAATGTAGTGACTGATAATAGGTCATAATCCAATTTTTGAAAGTGCAAATAGTAAATATGAAAAAAATATAGAATAAATCGTATACGATTATAATAACTTCACGAAACTATTTTAATTAATATGTTTATGATAAAAATCTATTTCTTACAATTAATTATGAATAACGTACATTTTAAATCATCATCAAAAATGGAAAATAGAATAACATATAACTGGCATTGTAGAAAAACACATTTTCACACATTACATCGACGTAGAAAAAACTAGTTTTAAGAAGGCAATTAAATTAAATCACATACTTCACTTGAGTTATACGTAAGTAATAAATAAGATATATGTTACTTATGAATATACTCACATTATATTATAACAACGCCTTAAAAACAATTATAACAACTATTTAGTTTCCGTAATTAATTTAAAAAGTATGAAATGCAATCCATGAACATGATTTGTAGAAATGACAGCGGAAAGTGACACACGTCTTATCTGTGACGTCACATCACCTTACATCTATAATCTATGACGACTATGGTTTTAATGTTTTTTTAGCAAAGACAATTTTTACGTCTATATACATGCTAAATGAGATTTATATGTTAAAAGATATTTAGTGAAATAAATCTAATGAACAAGTATTTTAATCAATGAAAGGTTAAAGTTTTAATGACATAAACGATATAAAATCGTAAAAGTAACAAGAAATTTTTAATTCTCAATTAAACTTAAGTACAAACAATACTATTTCGGGTGATGTAAAATAATTATTTAATAAATATAAGGTTGCACGTCATCTTCCTTTTAAAATTGGTACTGTATGAAGCAATATGCATTTTTTAAATTAAGTAGTTTTTAAATTTAACTGTGATGTTATATAATTTTTATGTTGTTAATTTTTTGTTGTTGTTTGTTTTTATTGTAACGTCCATATTCTAAGATCAACGCTTCTCATTACGAGATTCGTTAAATTGTTAGCCAGCGATGTAATATTTAAAAAAAATTGCTTATTCCTGTGTGGACGATGTAGATCTTCTTATGCATTTTTTATTTTGGCGTCGCATCCATCAAGCGAATTAGCATGCCCGATGGAAACGGCCTACCCAGAAACACTGGTGTCACGATCCTCAGTAGTGAGAACACGATTAAGAAGAAAAAGTTGTTTTCTGATCTAGGAATTTTTCGACGGCTTAGAGTGTTAAAGATTTGGAAAATCATGCTATTGAATGGTTCTCTGATACGGATTTTCATATAGGGTATATTTTTTGAAGCGAATAAAAGAAGATCGCATATGTAAAAAATATATACGAAGTTGTATCTTTTTCCAAATCATCTAAAATTGTTCTGTTATATTTATTGTTTTACTCTTTTTATAAGCTAAAAATAGGTTTTAAGAATACATTGATCAATATAAAGTATAGTTACACCAAACAGATCTTTAATTGAGAAAGTAAGCAGAACGCTATACGTGTGACTCAGGTTATTTATCATAGAGGATGATCTCGGCAACCGAATGTCCGATCGAATCGTGTTTTTTTTGTTCGATAGCCAAGTTGTCTGGGGAGGGTCAGGCAATTAATTTCAAATTTTATTGTGGGAAACGGAACCCATGCACAAGTAAACGTTCGGTACCGAAATGCTGTTTTCACCTCACTGAACTTGTATCCAGAGATTTTTTTAAGCAAAGCGAGAAAAAACTTAAAGATGCTTCTAATAGTTATTCTCTATTACATTTATCCATAGTTTTCATGTACGGGGACAAATGTTTTTTTCATTACATGTGACATTGGCAGAATATGCTGAACATTTTGGCGAAGATAAAAAGTATAAATCATTTAATTTTATTCATAAATCGTAAAATAATTTACTAATTATATTCAGATAAAATTGCCATGCAGACTCAAAATAATTTCTAAAAATTATGACTTTCATGAGCCATATGATACTATGGCTAGTGTAAAATGTCAAACTTACTTTGGAATTAGATGTAAACATAATAATCAGAAATTTAATATAAACTGTATTATAAATAAAAATGTTTTGTAAGAGAATTCTTAATATATGTCACAAGAATTTATTTTCTATTAAAAAGTATAGTGCTATCGCATCTGTCCTTAAAAAACCGAATATTGGAGAGGTTGCCGAAATTAAGGTTGTATATAATTCAAATATCATAATAATTTTGAATGAATTACCTATGCAATTTAAGCAATAAATAATTTCTTAGTATTTTTAGGGATGGGTTAAAAGCTTACGAGTCCAGAAGGAATATGTCTTTGCAGATATCAATGATGGGTCTTGCGCTCAAAGATTACAAATTCTAATTCCAAAACATTTAAAGACTGAAGATTTAACTTACGGCAGTTCTGTTCACATAACTGGAACGTTATCCCAAAGTCCTAGAGGACAAATTGAATTAGTAGCCAATAATGTGAAGGTACTGGGTTCATGTGTAGTTTTGGATGGATATCCCTTTAATCCTCGGACTGCTCATCCGCCGGAATATGTAAGACAGTACCTGCACTTGAGGTCTCGTACAAATTATATATCTGCTGTATTAAGGGTTCGTAATGCTCTTACAAGACACATACATGAATATTTTGCCTCACGAAACTATTTACATATACACACACCAATTCTGACTTCCAATGATTGTGAGGGCGCCGGCGAAGTTTTTAAAGTACAGCCGGAAAATGAAGATACAATAAAAGCTATGATGCAAGAGGGAAAAAATAAAGATACTGTCTACTTTGGAAGAAAGACATACTTGACTGTATCTGGTCAGCTTCACTTGGAAGCAATCTGCCGAAGTATGGGTAATGTTTACACTCTTGGACCCACATTCCGAGCGGAGAACTCAAGATCAAGATTGCATTTATCAGAATTTTATATGTTAGAAGCGGAATTAGCATTTGCTGACAGTATGGACACATTACAGTATAATATTGAAGATTTACTGAAATATATATTCATTAAAACCAGAGAAACAAATGAAGCAGATCTGTTTGTGATCAGCAAAGATAATAAAGAACCAAGTTGGGTCAACAGAGACTTTGCTACAATCACTTACGATGAAGCGGGAAGTATTTTAGACAAGAAAGGCTTGGTTGTACACGATGATGGAATTAACAAAGAACAAGAATTAGCTCTAGTGGAACATTGTCAAGTTCCTGTGTTTATTGTACAATGGCCAAAGAATTTAAAATCATTTTATATGAAGGAGTCACCCTTAGATAATACTAAGGTATACAATAATATTCCTATCAACTATAGTTATTAAGTCTTTAAAATCCTTTTTCCATAATTTTGGTTACCACTTTTAACAAAAAACCTTTTCCTAGGTTTAAATTAAAAATATTAGTCTAAAATATATTTTTTATAAGCATGGCAAAGAATTGTTTAAGTTACTTTTCAGATTAACATACCTTTGCTTCTGAAACTACAATAATTTTTCTCAAAAGTGTTATGCTTATTCACAAAAGTAACAATTAATTTTAATAGTGGAAGTATCATTTATTTGTGTGTAATAGCCTTAAAATTTTTTCTAGGTTGATGCCTTCGATCTGCTTGCTCCTATCACTGGTGAGGTTGTCGGAGGAAGCCTCCGAGAAGACAATTATGACAAACTGAAATCAAAGTTGCCCTCGGATGCTTTGAATTGGTACTTGGAGTTACGAAAATTTGGCAACATACCTACTGGCGGATATGGCTTGGGCTTAGAAAGGATAATGCAAATATTATGCAACATACCCAACATAAAAGATACTCTACCTTTCCCTAGATGGCCACACAATTGTGATCTATAGATGAAAATTGTTGATAAAAACAAATGAATTAGAATAAGAGAGAGTAAATAAAAGCTTTGTGTTTTAAAACTATTTTATTTAATTTCAAACTACATAATAAAGTGACACAACTAAAAATAATTGAAACAAGACATGAACATGAAAAACATTTTTATTTTTTTTTTAACAATAAATCACAATTGATTTTCATTACTGATACATACAAATCTGTTTCTAAATAGTTCATTCTGGGAAGGTGATTAATAGAGATTACTTCCGATAGTCTAAACTACACCTTAAACTCAAATCCTACATAACTGACAGAAATATTTACATACAGCTTATTTACAATCAACAACGGTTACATATTTAACTATATTTATTAAGTATCTTAATTTAATATCACATTTTAGAACAGAACATGTGGAAGTATGTTTATTTGTAACATTAACTAAGTAATGAGTCCAATATATTTGATGATGAAAGATTTCATTAAAAGTATGATTTATTTATATTATCAAAAAACACCCATTATTAGATGATACAGTTAGAGTGACAAAGATTTTTTCTAAATAACAAAGAAAGGTATCCTAGAGACATTGAATATAGGAAAAGCCAGGATACAAATTAACAAAAAAAAAACTCCTAATATTAAAAGAAATTGAAAATCCACCTTCAACAATCCCTGTGTCAATATTTGTAAATTATACAAGTATTTTTGAGCACATTTAACTTAAATTTCCCACACTTTAGACATGTTCAGTACACATGTATACAAGTGATACAAATGTATGTTTATACACATGCAAATTACAAACATACCTCTAGTATGATTAAGGGGTTACAATTCCATTGCTTACACTCTTAACATTAAAGTATTCTAAGTAGTTAATTTATGTAGGTCCGTATAATTCACATTGTATTAACACCACATAGTTGAAACATCACAAAATATACATTTAGATAGGTTTAATAGCACTTATTCACTTCACATTATAGAACACAATCCTGATAATTCACTACCTTTTTGAACCGGTGGTTGTCTGCTGAATTTAATGTCTTTCATTGAAGGTTTTAGCTCGTACTCCATTTCTGGTTCTTCCCCGGGAGGCAAGGGTTCATCCTCGGTACTAATATCTTCAAGAGATTTGTCCGAACTCTCTTGATTAGTAACAAAACTGGTAATTGCTTTGGATATGTTAATCCTTATGCCACCGATAGGCAGGGCTGGTGTTAATGTAGCATCATCGAGCTGAACATTACCATCTATGGATGATGTAACCGTTGTATGTGTTGTGTCGATCGTTGGCGGGATGCTTTCTACTTCTGCTGTTATAATTGGTTCATCATCTATAAACAAATGTTATATTGAATATATTAATTAATTATATCTCTTAATCTTAATGGAACAAATTCTTTAACTGTGGCAAAGTTTTTAATACCTAAAAAATAGGTAAAATATACATTAATAAAAAGTGTAACTTCTTTTTCTATTATGAAATTTGCAGGCTAAGTATATTAGGTAACATTAAGTATACAAGGTAGGATTTAGTAAAGACATAATATCAAACTATATGCAAACCACATAAGTCATTTCTTTCTATGAGGTACAGATGTTTCTGTCGCAACATTGAATACACACAAGTTTAACTATCAATCTACGCAAATGACATAACATATATGAATACCGTAGAAAAATAAATAATAGTTGTACTCAGTTGACCATTACCCGGATATAACTTTAAGACACTTAACTGAGTGAATTGTTAATAAGGATGTTTTTATCTCAACTGTATCCAAGTATTCTAATTACTATATTGAATAATAATAATATTTTTGTTAGTAGAAATGTTTTACCTTTGGATATAGTCCAAGTATTCTAATTATAATTTTACCTGGATATATTATGGATATATTTACCTGGATCAATAGGTTCCTGTTTGATCTTGATGTTGGCAAAGTCAACTTGTGCCAGTTGGTCCCTCTGCCTCCTCGTCTCGGTAGTTTCATCATCCGTGTCTTCATCATCAACCTCCAACTGTTCCACGGGCTCAGCGTTTAATACCACATCATCATCATCAGCTTCAATCTGATATAGATTATAAAATAACTTAATTAATATCTGACATATCTGATCTTGTATTAAATCAAAATAAAAAATATTGTAAAGAAAAATTTTATAACAATTTCTGTATTTCAATTATTAGCTCAACATAACATTAAATGTTGACATAAAAATCAAACAGAAAATTTTTGTAAAACTTTCATTGACACAAGCAAGATTTGAACTTCATCTAAGATAAATATTTTTCATATACTATGTGTTAGTCCAAGAGCCAGGGCCCGCCAGACCTTCGTTAATTTATAAAAGCTGAAAGTTTTTCTATAGATGTACCCAATACAGGTAGTCACGATCCCCACCTTTGAAACTCCTGCCGAGGTGGCTTTGGCAGGTAACAGGTTCTAAAGGTGTATAAAATTATCTTTCACTTTCCTCATAGTATAAAATTCAGTTTTGTTATATTTTCATCGTAAAAATCTTAGAAATCACTCTGTCCATTGCCAGGCACTTAATCGGATGGCAACCCCTACCAGGCACCCCTAAATTATAAGCGTGAGGAACATATATCTGAGCGAGTGCGAGTGAGATAGTGCGCTGGGTCTATTGCAAGCTTCTACTGCGCATCAGCTGTCATTTACAATGTATTCTGTGTGAACTATTTTTTAAATTTAACAAATAAAAATCGTTAGGTACATAAAATTATTGTTGAAAGAAATATTCATTTTAGACAAATTATGCAGAAAAATATTCTTTTCAATAAGTTATTACATCAAAAATCTAACAGTTTAATCAAAACTGTTTTTAAAATTTCTAAATTTCATTTCAATATTTATTCAAATTAGAATCACCATTTTAAAAAATAATTATTTATGGAAATATGTTCTAACTGCAGCAACAAATTATATTTAGAACCATATTTTCGCTCCATGACTGATCTATATAAAACATACAAAAAGTGTTGTTTAGAAACCGAAGAGCCTACCGTCTGTATGTTTACATTTGAAAAAACATTTAACGAGAAAAATTTGTCGTAAGTAATTAAATGCCTATAAAATGTAAACATGAACATATCCATTCGTAACTTATAAAGAGGTAATGTATTAGAAACTATTTTACTATCAAGGTTGATCAAAATAAATAAAATCTTTTTTTTTAGACAGTTTTTTTCTTCTGGTGTAAAATTAGATTCTCGACACTTAGGAGGTATTGGTACTTCAACGATGATATGTCAGTGATGATGAGATTTCAGTGTGTCTGGTCAGGTAAAAGAACCATCGAAACTGCCTGATTACTGAGCAAGTATAATTTAATACTTTCCTCAGTAACATATATAAAAATCAGCTTATACAGGGTGACTGGTGAATTACTATCGATATTTGAGGACGTGATATTTGACGATCATATATGACAAAATAAAAATTAATAAAACATAAATATTAATAAACTTCTAAGTAAAGTTAACCAAAAGTTATGTAATTAATTACGCATCGTGTGAACACCCTACAGATTAGGTATACACTGACACTCACACATACGCATGTCGTGACGTGGTGTTGTATCAACACGTCGCCGCACGCGTCCACACTTGAACACTTGGAACGTGTCAACACTTTACTTATTTATAGGGAAATTTCGTCAAAAATTAAGTGCCTATTTTTTTTACATAATTCGAATGAGAATCATGTACCGAGTATGCTCCTTAAATATTGATAGTAATTCACCAGTCACCCTGTATATGTACTATAACGAAAGTACAAATAAAATTACTTATAATTTAGGGGTGCCTGGTAGGGGTTGCCACCCGACTAAGTGCCTGGCAATGGACAGAGTGATTTCTAAGATTATTACGATGAAAATACAATCAAAACTGAATTTTATACTATGAGGAAAGTGAAAGATAATTTTATACACCTTTAGAACCTGTTACCTGCCAAAGCCACCGAGACAGAAGTTTCATAGGTGTGGATCGTGACTACCTGTATTGGGTACATCTATAGAAAAACTTTCAGCTTTTATAAATTAACGAAGGCCTGGCTGGCCCTGGCTCTTGCTTTATGTATTTTATCATTTTAAAAACTACATTATCCCGACGTTTCCTTTACTTTATATCAACCAAAAGATCACTGTTCATTTAAATGAATACTCAAGTCTTATATCTCATTGGTCTATAATCTTCTAATGGTTTGTATAATATCAATATTATTTACCTCAACGGGTTCCATAGGTTCTGTCTCCAATACTTCAACCACAGATTCTGTATCAGATAGCTCGGCAGTGTCTCCTATCTCTATAGCAGTTGGAGGTTCTTCATCAACATCAACCGCTGCCTCCTCAACTTGAGGCTCTTCCTTTGTTAGAGAAGCCTGTGAATGGAAATAGTTTTAATTACATGGGTTGAATCATAAAAAAGGACTATTCATATGTGAAATTATCATTTATATATAATGGTGACCTAGCAATTTATAAATATTAGGTGACATAATTAAGTGGCCTGTGTTCTAAATCAATATATAAACTATACAAATTTTAGAGTTTACTCTTTAACCCATTATGGTACCCTTGGTATACTACACACACATCCCTACTAATATTATAAATGCGAAAGTAACTCTGTCTGTCTGTCTGTTACGCTTTCACGTCTAAACCACTGAACTGATTTTAATGACATTTGGTACAGATATAGAGTTGAACTTGAGAAAGAACATAGGATAGTTTATATCCCAGACTTTTGAAAGGTTCTCTTGGAGACGCGATATAACCGAACTCCAAGCAAAGCTGCGGGCGGAAAGCTAATGAGTATATAATATATATACACGTGTGTGTGTTTTATGTGTGTCATATTCACCTTATAGTCCTGCAAACACAGTGGATGATAGTAACTATCCTGATGTTTTACAGCGTTCCGTAGATGCCATTCCTCTTGATCTTCGTTGTAGAATTGATGGAACCTATCTCCACATAAAGCACAGTTATGTTGCGGCGCCCCGCCTGCCGCTGTGCTAGGACTTTCCTCTACAACAGCTTCTACTTGAACTGGTGTTTCTTCGGAACCACCCGTCTCAAACCAACTCTTCTCTGAAATTTAATAATGATTTCGTTTTATTATAAATATGAGTACATTTATGTTTTTGGTTTTTACTTAATGAGATATAATAGTCTTCTTAGCGATACAAAGTGTATATAAATAATTCAAAATATAATTAAGTCTCTTGAATATTTCCATAATAAACTAATGTGGCTTGTCAGATGTATATATTCAAATTCTTCAACATGTGTGAGCATTTCTTATCAAATTATTTCTTTATTCATAAACCAGTCAACACCATCAGATGTAGACATATATATGAATAACTAAAACCTAAGCATTTAGTCGAACTTATAAGTAGACTTTACCCTAAGTTGCAGGTGAATCTAGTTTTGAGTTTAACTCGTTTTAAGGAGTCAATTTTTTTGAGGCTGTATTTATTATAAAAGTATTTAAAATTGCACCACCTATACTGTCTTTCAAACACAATCCTCTAACCCAAGGTAGTCTGGTAGAAATGGCTAATAAGCCGTAAGGCAGCCTTTTGTTTCACCATTAGTTTATTAATTTACTAGAAGACCCGGCGAACTTCGTTTCGCCCTATAATCAAGAAATATCTGTTACGTTTTTTTATTTATATTTTTGGAGTTTACCTATTAAAGCCATAAATCTCCGTGTTTTGAAGTGATTAGGAATGATTAATAGTTAATATGAGAGTTACACTGAGCTAGCAAAATAATAATTGTCAACGTTACTACTACACTTGATGCACAAACAATAACGATGGCCGACAACTGTGTAGGGAGTGAGAGAAGTCTAATTGTGTGAGAGAAACAGAAGACCGGTTTCGTTCTCATCCCTACTCCGTGCTGTTTACTGGGTCAGAAGTGACACCTGTAGATATCTGGCGGGGATAACTTATTAAATGACGATTGATCAGTTATCGACCGGAGATGAAAAATGATTAAATTACTAAAATAGCTATTAAAAAATAAGGGTTGATCGTAGAAGGGTGAAAATTTAGGATTGTATGTATTTTTGTACGTTGTATCATAAAAAAATAGTAATTAAAAATTTTGTCTAAAAAATAAAATAAAAAAATTTAGGGGTGGACTACCCCTAACATTTAGGGGGATGAAAAATAGATGTTGGCCGATTCTCATAGCTACCGAATAAGCACAAAAAATTTCATCAAAATCGGTCAGGTTGTTTCGGAGGAGTATGGGCACGAAAACTGTGACACGAGAATTTTATATATTAGATATATTTTGTAATTGTGGTGTCCAAAAAAGTGTTAAATAAATAAATATTTTCCTTAAATTGAAGAGTACAACAAGTAACTAAGCTTCTTGGCCCAAAATAACTTCTATTTACCTCGTTCTTCCAGATCTTCAAGCTCTTCATACAACAGCCAGTCTGATAGATCGTAGTGCCAGTGCCGTGAATGAGCCCTTCGTGCCGAGTCCCTCTCGCGTCTGTTCTGTCTGAAATGCCAGTCTAAGTGCTGTGAATAGCGGACAGTGTGCTCAGGAGGGAAACGCGCGCCACAGCCGCTGCACTGCATACCGCTGTATAGTTTCAGCACTAGACCGCGCTGCTTACTATAAAAAAACACATATATGAGTAGGGCCCGGATAAATATGTATTAAAAAATCTAAAATACCATGTACATAAAATATGGACGAAAAAATCATAAACATTAGTGGCGGGAACGTAAATTTCATGTATTTTTGTGAATATATGGATGATTGTGACATTTTCTTGTAAAATATGGACTTAACTTTGAAATATGGTAAAATATAGAAAAATATGGAAAATAAAAGTTGGTTTTTCACAGTCTAAATATGACAATCCATGTAAAAAACTCATTCTAGACCGAAAATCGCGTAAATTAAAAATATGTATTATATGTATTATTAATCCGGGCCCTATATATGAGTAAATCACAGACTTCAATATAGTATTGACATTGGACGGTCTGAATAATAGAGAAACATAATGATAAACTAGTATGCATACAAAGCTAGTATGGACGTTCTAGGTTCTTCGGGAATTTGGGAACATGTTTTATGAACACTCATAGTAAAACTGAGGGTTTTCTAAATGATTTTCTCTACAACGGCTATTTGTCTATGGGTCTTGTTACCATACAACTATCAAAATAGAATTCAACAAATGCAATGTTACATAAAGACTGTTATTACAACAAATACACAAAGTAGTTAACAATAATTTAAGATTAATTTAGATACATGGTTTGAACATAGCCAGACCAGTATGATATTGCCTTTTAATAGATTAATCTTATAAGCAATTGCCCTACATAATATACTTTTTATGATAAATTATTTCAAACTCACATCCGAAGTGTTTCAGGTTTCAGTAGATCCACTTTATGGATGACGTTCTTATCATCTTTGGGTTTTATTTTCGTCTCCTCGATTTCGGGAACTTCAGTTTTTTTCTCTGGTTTCACTTCGTTCAACATCGGCACTATGCCGGTAGCAACTAATTGGGCGTAGAGGTCATTGACATTGATGCCGCCCAAAAGAGGCAGGGAAGTGGCTGGTTTTTCTTCAGCGGGAGTTTCCAATCCTGGGATCACTTCCGGTTTTGTGAATAGAGGCTCAGCTGAACTGTATTCAGAGCTTGAAGCCGGGGCCATATCACTCGGCATGAAATTTGCTAGCATATCCAAACCTGTAATTGAGATTTATAATTATTGTAGCTGCAGATATAATCCTACTAATATTATAATTGCGAAAGTTTGTGAGTGTGTATGTATGTTTGTTACTTCTTCACGCTCAAACGGCTGAAGCGATTTTGATAAAATTTTGTATACAGGAAGCTGACGACCAGGAATAACACATAGGCTACTTTGCAACCCGAAAATCCGCGGGTGACACCGCGGTGCGCAGCTAGTATTGCATATTTGTGTGGAGTAAATGAGACTGAATTGTTTTATTTACCTTTCATTTCACCTTCCGGACTTGGGGATTTCACTGGAGCTTCAATTGGTTGTTCAGAATCAGTTTCCATCGGGACCTCTTCGTTCTCGGTTACTGTGGGAGGTTTTTCGGGTTCTGTTGATGGTTTACAGCCTTCCATATCAGCTATCTCTACTTGACCCGGTTTTATGTTCTTGGGCAGTGCTGAAAACCTCACAAAGTATTTCTCACCATTAACGAATATTGGCTTCGGGAGATCCCCATACTCCACTTTGAACGGCTGCTCGTTAATTAGAACGGTCTTCAAAGAATCTACGAAACGAATCGTAAAGAAATGTCCATTGACGTGGAACTTCTGAACTTTAGCGTCCAAGTAAACCGGACAAATATTTGTCGCGTTTATTATAAGGTTTATTTTGCCGGCTACTAAATCTGTTCGTTTCGTTTTTCCTATATCTACTTGTGGTAAGGGTCCTTCTAAATGCACTAATCGCGGTTTGCCGTCTATTATGACGCCTAACGGTTGACCGCCAAAGAAACATTCATACCACCTGCCATTTATGAATAGTTCTCGGGTCGGCGCACCGAACCTGATATCGAAGACTTGGTCGTCTATTTCCACCTTCTTGTAACCCTCGTTGAAAGTCAATACAACTGAATCTTTATTATCAAACGTGACTCTTCGACAACCTGGTAAGAATTTTATAACTCTAGGGTCGTCCCAGTCAAGCATGATGATGGCAGTCTCGCCGTAGAATCTTATTTCTCTCGGAATACCGTCTATTTGGATAGTTTTGACCGGATCCTGGTCGATATATTCCAATATTTTGTAATCGGTGGGAGGCAATGTGTATCCGGGAGCGCCGAGTGGTGGAGGGGAAATTGACCTTTCGTAAGGCTTTAGAGGACATTCGCCTTGGCACATACCGAGTTTAGGAGTGGGGAGTAGAGGCATTCTCATATCGAAAGGTGGTCTTGGTCCTCTTTTGTCAAACTTTCCTCTAAAGAACGGACCTCTAAACCGTCGAGGGCCGAACTCTTCCATTCTAGGTCGCGGTTGACCTCGCCACATTGGGAAAGGTCCCATGTACATCGGTGGCATCATAGGCGGCATTGGAAAACCACTTTTATTCCCATCTATATTGTCGTGATGATTTTGACGCATATCAGAGTCTTGATTGTTGTTTTCTGAATCAGAAAATCCACCGACGGGCACTCGTTCATCTATGTCACCGAACTTATTTCTTTCCGACGGGGACGACTTCGGTGAAGGTACTTTTTTATCTTCTGTGACGTGGGCTTTCAATTTTCGTTTCGATATTTCTAGGGATTCCCTTTGCTTCGCTTCCTTTAATTTGAGCTTCTCATTGAGTTGCAACACTTGGTACATCAATGTGTTGTACTGATTTTTATCTAGCTGACCGTCACTGAACTGTTCTTTTGCCTGATTCATGATAATAGATATAGTTTTCTTATGATCATCGGCGTCAAATTCTTCGTTGCTATCAGTTTTAACTTCAGCTTCATCAGAACTAAATGTTCGACGTCTTTCTCTTTCTATGCCTACGAAAACATGATTATGGGTTAAAAAGTTGTTCAGTTTATGTATTAAAGCTTTAAGCATAAAACATTGATACTTACTTGGTGACTTACTGAAAAGTAGCGGACGTCCTAAGCCATCTTTTACTTTTGTAGCTTCCGCCAATTTTGCTCTAACGAGATCTAACTTCGAAGGTGTCTTTTTAGTTTCTTCTTTTTCTTTAACTTCTTGCCAATCTTTTTTGGGAGAACGAACGGGCGACGCTATTACATCATCAGATTCTTCTTGGTCAACTTCCTCTTTAGATACAGAATTTATTTCAGATATAGATGGTGGCGGTGGTGCGTTCGCCTCTTCAACTTGAGGCAACTGACGAAGATCTACGTCTTCGTTTCCAAAAAGACTGTAAAGTAATAAAACTATGTGAGGAAAAAGTATTACGAGCGTTTTCATAAAGAAGAAACAATAAGATATTATTATTATAGGTCAATAAAAAGATTAACATAAAATAACAGTTTCGTAGAAGTTATTAGCGGCGACTTAAAAAAAAATTCTTTCTGGTGACTAATTAAATTTAACCGATTGATATATAAACAATGAATTTGCAAGTGCTAATAAATAATAATGTAAGAAATGATTAGATATTTAAAGTATAAATTATACGAGTGCTGGTAATCAGTCAAAGACCTAGCAAAATGAACGTCAGATATAGTCAGATTTCTCGACTTTCACCTCCATTGAAACTATATAAGAAAATATACTTACATATCGAATTTATCGAGTTTATTTTTCTTAGGTTTGCCCTCGAGCATCTCAGTGGACGGTCTCTTCTGAGCGATAGCCTTAGCAGTTTCTGGAATAACGGGATGCAATACACGAAGGTCTACGTCTTTAGTCTCAGGGATTATCTCAGGCGGATCTGTAAAACAACTCTATTATTGCAGCCTAAGATCTATTTTCGTCTGTTCAGAAACCATTACCTGATCCTTTGTCACTCGAACATAAAGCGATGCGTTTTTATATTTCTCATTGTTCGATGCGTCGCAAGATGTTACAGAAAACAATTAGTTTAGGGTTCTTTTTGAATATGATTTAACGACTAAGATCCAGTGAGCTGGCGACGAAGACTATTGTAAATGTAATAATAGTAACTTAAATGTTCAACGTGTTTTTTGTCGTGCCTTTGAAAAGACTGATATTATTACCTTGTGATGAAAATAAATTTATATACAAAAAGCACATTACTTTATATACTTATTAATACGAAACAATTTATAATTGAGCAAATAATTTGATGCATAAGTTCCTATGCACCAAAAATAAAATAATGAATGTAGACTGAGTAAATGATATTCTCAGTAAATATTACTTAATTTTGTATGTAAATGTATGTACTGTCTTAGATTAAAAAAATCAATACAAAATGCACTTTACACTCAATGATGTAGATAATTTGAGTGACGTGAAAGAAAAACCTTTAAAAATAAACATGAGCTGAATCAATGTCAGCAAAGTAGTTGTGGTGAACAAATTACTTAATATTTTGTTCTGACTTAAGATACTATTCAAGTTATTCATAAAACAGCAGCCGTTAAAAAAAGTTCTTATATTTATTTTCACTCGTTAAGGCATTGTGAGCTGTTTTTATATGTCAGAGAAGGTAAAAATTCCTTTTTCCATATTAAATGAAGTTAAAACTATAATTTTCAGCAGCTAAGTTAACAAATATTAGGTATTCTACATGGTCAAGTATGTTACTGACTTTCTGTACATTCAATCTCTAGTTCTTAAACTTCTGTCAGCATCCAGATATTGTTTAATACTTTTTTCTCATACAGAACCATAATACAAATTATCGATTAGTGCTCGATACTTCCCAGTGTGAAGGTAATTTTAATGGCCATTACTGTATAAATTATAATGATGATTTTTGTTTTGTCCATAAGATGTGTTCTTGATATATGATATAACTGTTCTGCCTCAGCTTGCGAACTAAAGTTTCTTCCCATTATTTGTACTAGTAATGAGCCTTAATTATTACTGGTCCAAACAGCTCACTGGATCAATTACTTGAATGTTTGTTTTAACAATTACCTTTTAAATCTAAATTATTACAAAATCCTCTAGTTATTGTTTAATGTTCTTTTAAACAATATCAAGCGACTTAGATAGCTAGGTTCGGTTATAAATCTTACAGTTAGAGGGTACAATCACCTAACATTTAGTTAATATGAATACTCATAGAGTTGAAAAACATTTTATTTGAACACAGTGTGTCATCTTACATCCTAGTATCACAGACTGGCTCCATGGTAACTGTAACTACCCTTGCATTCTAAATAATGATATCTTACTTGTAGATTCTTCTGTAGTTTTCTTATCTTCTTTATCTATTCTCTCCGGACTCTCCGACTTTTCTTTATTTCTCCGCATGTAGTGTTTCTTGTTGAAGTTCTTTAACTCCTTGAAGGAGACTTTTTCCGGCGCGTACTGCTGGTCTTCGTCGATCCTTTCTTTATTATAAATCTTCTTATCTTTCTTCTTGTCGGGAGAGGAAGAAGTCGACCCTTCTTTATCCCTTTTCTTCTTCCTCTCTCTGAGTTCTTTCTTCTTCTTGGAAGGCGGGTCGTCTCTGTCCCGTCGTATCTTCGGTATGGGAGGGAGTTTGTTTATCTTCTTGGGGTCTGGTATTCTCAGTCTGTCTATATATGTGTGTACTGAATCTCCGTTTCCGTTTTCTAGTTTGGTTCGTGTTTCTTTCCTTTCCTTGCGTCGCGAGTCGGTAGCTACTTCGATGGTGATGACTGCGCTTCTTTTGGCTGGACGGTGTAGAGGTTTGATGTCGAATACGTTCGGGGCGATTGTGGTAGCAGTGGTGGTAGGTGGTGGCTGTCTCCTTGCAAGTCGAGGATCACGCCGCGCGCCGCTCAATGGACCCGTGACTGGAGCGATACGACCCGCCGATTTGTTAACAGGCTGCAAACAACAAATAATATTCACACATTGCACTTAATACACTTATTAAATAAGTATTCAACTAAAAAACTAAGTATTTAAACCAAATTAGGTTTTTTATTTATTTATTTATTTGAGGATCTCCAACAAAAGATATACAATTTTAAACTAATCAATACTAAATATTACAGAAATTTGTGCTCTTTCAATTACAGGAGACCACAGCTTGCTAATTAAATATGAAATTTTAAAATTCATTCAAGAACAAACATTCGATTGTGAAGACTTAATATTCGTATTCATCATATTATGCTCACACATTTATTAATTCCGTTCAATAAATTATTTAACGTATCTCTACACAGTATTCAAATTATGGTACAAATGTGTATATATAATGAGATTGAAACCATCCTGACAATGTATAGAAAGTATTATTGCATCTTATACCACAAATTTAAAAAATGCGTATAATTTTAGCATAAATTACACGCAGTATAGACAAAGAAAACCCACTGACCATGTTTGGATAGTGTTATGCAAAATCTATATAGAGGGAATATATAACTCAACTAGAAAATGTTGCACGGGAAAATTAATTGATAAAGCAGAAGTTAACCTCGCAACTATCCAAATTTCTCATGGAAATTTCCTTCAATAGTCAATCCTATGAGAACTTGGTGTTTAAAGAACAGCTTGTTTCAGGGCTTTTTTTTATATCAAATAAGATTAGATTCTTTTAAATTTTAAATACTTTAATAATAAAAATGTTCACAGTAATGTGATATGATAGGCTTTGATGTCATCAATCCTACTAATATTATAATTGCAAAAGTTTCTGTGCGTGTATGTTTGTTACTTCTTCACGCTCAAACTGCTGAACCGATTTTGATAAAATTTTGTATACAGGAAGCTCACTTCCAGGAATAGCACATAGGCTACTTTACATCCCGGAACACCGCTGGGCAAAGCTAGTTACATATAAAGTAAGCGATACTCACAGGTCCAAGCCGTTGCTTGATGGAGAGTACTGGCGAAGATATTGGGGCTGCAGGAATAGTTGTAGGCGCTAGATTGACCGGCGGGGACTCCGCTGGCGGCGCGATTAGCCCCGGGGGGTGCAATAGGGGCGGCTGAGGAAAAACAATAATAAGTTGAAGTAAAGTATGATAATTATTGCTTAATATACACGTCATCTGCCTATCGGAGCCCACTGCTGAGCAACCCTCTTTCTCAAATCAAAGGTTTGAGCATTAATCACCATGCTTGCAAGACGGTTGGTGATTTCGAATTTATAATTGTGAAACAAAGTCCAGGTTTCCTCACTATGTCAGTGGTGTCTAAACTCGCAAAAAGTACATATGACTCCGAAAGATCACATTGGTACTTGTCAGGTTTGAACCCGCGCCCTCGGCAACGAGGCGGACCCTTTAGCCACTAGGCCACCACTGACATTTAATGTACACATTTTTATGAAAACACACATGGTTATTGTTGGATATACCCTAAAATTTGACTGTGATATTGTTTAATGGCTGTAATTTTCTCTTTCTTGTCAACATACTGACCATTTATTTAAATAATTGGAGTCGAACTATGAATTTGTTTTATTGAAATCTATGTAGATATAACTTATGTAGTAGCAATAGTTAGCAGTCTTAATATCTTATTATCAGCGTACCTTCTTGTGAACTTTCTCAGCCATCTGTAACTGTCTCCGAGTCTGTTCAAGTTCCATTTCCACTTTTTTCCTCTGCAGCATGAGTAGTTCTTGTTCTTTCTTAGCTAGTATGGCACGCATTTTTTCCTCTTCTTCTGAAAGCGTTGCAGCACTGGTTGTCGGTGTTGGCTGTAGGGAAACATTAAAAAACTATTATATAACATGTTTTATTGTTTAAAACTTGTTAACTACACTCTCGCACTATTTAAAGCCTATTAGCTAACCTCATACCCTTATAAATAATAAATAAAATACATATAATAAATAATAATAGAAGGACAATACAGAGGCGTAGAAAAATAAATGTATAAAATATAGAAACCCATACAAACTATACACAATACTTATATCAAACATAATCAACTAAAAAAACACCTTTTTCAGAAAACTTGGATTTACATGGATGTTAGACTGCTGCGGTTGAGCCTGGATCGGCCACGCGGGATCAATCAGGTTCACTTTGACATCCAGTTGATACAACTTAGTCGACGGGAATACTTCATGCCATGTTTCCCGCAACTTGAACATTTGTGAACGAATCTTCTCATCGACCTGCGAACATTCTCCTTATAAATAAAGATTCTTCTATCTGTAAACAAAATGATAATTTAGTTATATATACCTGTTTGAAGGTCTTTGTGAACATATTAACGATGATCTGTGAGAACTTCTGCGTGTACGCACCACCGACATTCTTGATAATGGAATCTACTAAATAGAGTACCGGCAGCTTGATGTCTGGAGGCACCTGTGTGGAGAAAATATTGTCTAATCCCATATACTGGGACAAAGTCGAGGCCAGTCATTCAAAACGCATCTTAACTCTCGGTATTGTGGTATAGGATAGAATAATACAAATTTTCTTTTATCAACCGTTTTAATTTTACGACACTTGAAAATAAATAAGAACTCAGTTTAAAAAAACCTTTATTATACATCACAGTACACAACGGGTTAATCAGCAGGTATGGTAATTACATACCAGTGTAACAGCACCCTAAACTTGAACACACAGGTATCTCCTATGAGAAATCATTGAAAACAACTACAGATGACAAAAACAAACAAAAAAATACAATCTGAATGAAAACATGTTCTAAAATAAAATATTCTTCCAAATCATTTATATTGAAAACAATACAAAATATATGATATTACTTAACAGTAACATAAGGTGGTGAAGATTTCTGAATATCAAAAGTATCACTCGAAAGATGATAGCTCAGATAGGATCTTAATATGTTGCAATATTAATTGAAAATTGTCATGTAGGAAATAGATTTCAGCAAATTTAAAATAGTAATAGATATTAAATACCAGATGTCTACTAAGTAAATGACAAAACAATGTCCTAAAAAAATTAACGAAGTAAGCTTTACAGATTGTAATCGTCTAGGAGATACCTGTTTCAACGCCAGCTACTGGTTACAAAGATATACGCCGCAATAAACACAACTCGCACAGAGTGTGCGTCATCATTGGCCATCCCAACTTTGTAACACTTTCCCGATAGCTCACGTGATATCGCGCCCGTCCGACGACGTTCCCGAAATGTAAAAATTTAAATTCACCTTCTCCAAATGCTTCTCCACTGTCTCAACGATAACTCCTGCATGCTCGATGTTCTCTTCCGCGAGTATAGTCAGCATATTAATAAGGGGTTTGCTGTTTACAGTCAAATCCGATAGGCTTGATGCGTATTCGTCCGCAATTTCCTTCGCCATGATGCCTGGATGCCGCCGAAGATCCAATTATCATGCCAAATACTATCTTCTAAAGCACATCACTGTAATTAAAATTAATTCAATGTTACGTGGCTAATTTTATCAATATGGCGATGAAATCTCCAAATCCAATGTATAAACTTACGTTATCATATGTAACAACGTGCAAGCAATTATCACCTAATTTGTAGTATTATCTCACGTACAAAACGATATGCACATAACAAATTAAATTAGAGCACGTATTAGTGTAATATAACACAAATAATAAGTTTATCCGGACGTAGATACGTGTTAGCTACAAGCTTTTCTGAACTCAAAATGGCGTCCCACTTTTCATATTTCACGATCCACAGTCCACTACGCTGGACGCAAAGTTTATGTAAGACAGTAGAGTACACAGAGTAAAAAACTGGTTTTATATTTTATATTCATGCCCTTATTTTAAGTTGTGAAAGTATTTAAAAATGTGTTTTTAATGCATAAAGCCCAATTAATCAATTCAAATACACAATAACATCTTCACTAAATAGTAGACTAAAAGAAATTTTATTTACATTTTCCTAATACATCTCCAATATCAATATAAAATATTTTATGCCAGATAAAATGCTGTTATTATTAAAACTTTTTTCAATTGAGTACTGTTTATCCTTTTAAAATTACAGTATTGATCAAATAAAAATTACTATGGATAAATTAATGAGTTATCAAAATCGTAGTTGAAATTACAAGAAAATTATATCATATTGATAATTGATTATTATACTTAATCATTCAATAGATTGCTTTCAGAAACTGATTTCAAAGTACTGGTACTTGTAAGAATTGTTTTACAAGAATTTAAAAAATAATAATTTTTAATAGGTTTCCATAGTTATCAATGGCCAAGAGAAAACATTTTTCGAACATGAAGTGAGTGATGGATAACTAAGAGTTGACATGTATACACATACTTGACAGTTAACGTTTGACGTTAATATGTGATATCGAATATCTACCTATTTGTTCAATATTAGCCATTAAATTAAAAAAACCTTTCCACCTATACTTTCGATATTAATGCAATGGCGAACGTTAATACGGGTGAATTGTTAAACTTTCAAGACTACTCCCCTGAACACAACGGGCGAAGTGCTCGAATTGACGTGGAAGCTGTTCACACAAATCAATACAATAATGTTATGACAAATTCGAATTATACGTATGAGGAGCCCAAAACTGTTGTAGAAGAACAGGAGGCTGTTCCTCAGAGTAAGGAAAACTAAAGACAATTATGAATTTACTCTAAAACTAGATGCTTTTATGTTGACTTAAGTAACTCGACGACCATTCAACCTGTTTATACTTCATTTCACTTTAAATAAATTCGTATTTTACTTCTAGCTAATCATAACTTCTGGACTATAGAGTACTATCAAAAATACTTCGATGTCCAGACAAGTGAAGTTTTGGAGAGGATTGTATCCTCAGTGTTGCCTCAGAAAGTATCTCGCAACTACTTTGACGAACGTATCAAGGGGAAACCAGATTTATATGGACCTATATGGATATCAGTAACTTTGGTAGGTGTATATATATAATTAGCTTTCCGTCCGCAGCTTCGCCCGCGTGGAGCTCGGTTATATCGCAATTCCAAGAGAACCAAAAGTCTGGGATAAAAACTATTCTATGTTCTTTCTCAAGGTGAACTCAATCTCTGTACTAAATTTCAATAAAATCAGTTCAGTGGTTTAGGTGTGAAAGCGTAACAAACAGGCAGACAGAGTTACTTTCGCATTTATAATATTAGTAGGGATATACTTCTAATCTCTAGTACTTTGTAAGACAAATATTAATTATGGTTTAAGTTAATCATTATTCCATAATATGAGTTGTAATGTGTATTTGAAACTTGTTTTGCAGATTTTCACTATTGCTGTAAGTGGTAACATAGCTAACTACCTCCAAAATGCTAATAAAGAAGTACATTGGAGGTACAACTACCATCTAGTTTCATATGCGGCCACAGCTATCTTTTGTTATGTGTGGTTGGTGCCTCTGGCTCTATGGGCTGCTCTTAAATGGTCTGTAGTACCCGACGGCCAAGATGAAATTGAAACTCAGGTAATAGTTCATAATAAATCCAAAATTTTATCAGTTATTAGCAGAAAAATCTTTGTAATGTCAAATTTTTGTTAAGTTTTTCGTCAAACTGATAATCAAGATGAACTTCATAAATAAAAACATAAATGTATAAACCAAACTCACTTAAAGTGTTACAAAAAAATTGATAAAAGGGTGTGAAAATTAAATTTACACTGATAGTTTACATATTCTGAATAGTTTTGGCTTAATGTATTTACGACCGGCTGTTTGCCTGACATCAACCCTCTTTGGGGATTTGGAATTTAGAGAAGAAGTCTACCTTTTGTAGAATTACTTATATGCACAAGAGCCAGGGCCCGCCAGGCCTTCGTTAATTTATAGAAGCTGAAATTTTTTCTATAGATGTACCCAATACAGGTAGTCACGATCCCCACCTTTGAAACTTCTGTCACGGTGGCTTTGGCAGGCAGGTTCTAAAGGTGTATAAAATTGTCTTTCACTTTCCTCATAGTATCAAATTCAGTTTTGATGTATTTTCATCGTAATAATCTTAGAAATCACGCTGTCCATTGCCAGGCACTTAGTCGGGTGGCAACCCCTACCAGGCAGTTAGTCGGGTGGCAACCCCTACCAGGCACTTAGTCGGGTGGCAACCCCTACCAGACACCCCTAAATTATAAGTAATTTTATTTGTACTTTCGTTATAGTACATATATAAGCTGATTTTTATATATGTTACTGAGGAAAGTATTAAATTATATTTGCTCAGTAGTCAGGCAGTTTCGATGGTTCTTTTACCTGACCAAACACACTGAAAATCTTCCGTAAGCGCGAGCGCGAGGGACATATCATTGATGAAGTACCAATACCCCCTAAGTGTAGAGAATCTAATTTCACACCAGAAGAAAAAAACTGTTTAAAAAAAGATTTTATTTATTTTGATCAACCTTGATAGTAAAATAGTTTCTAATACATTACCTCTTTATAAGTTACGAATGGATATGTTCATGTTTACATTTTATAGGCATTTAGTTACTTAGGAGACAAATTTAGTTACTTAGAACAAATTTTTCTCGTTAAATGTTTTTTCAAATGTAAACATACAGACGGTAGGCTCTTCGGTTACTAAACAATACTTTTTGTATGTATTATATATCAGTCATGGAGCGAAAAGATGGTTCTAAATATAATTTGTTGCTGCAGTTAGAACATATTTCCATAAAATATATACTGATGCCCTCCCATAATAAATAATATATATATATATTTTTTAACCCATTTAGACCTACCGTCTCACATACGATACACCAAAAGTAATAAATTATTTTGAAGTTCCGTCGATAAGAATTTGTTTTTATTTGGAACCCATGTGAAGTGCAAGGTCTGTGCAACATTCCTAGAAGAGTTTATTTGTTATAGTCGAATACACAAGTTGACTACATACATGGTTTGTTAGAGATTTGTGCATTGCGATCATATGATGGCATCAAAACGGTAAGAAATGCTATATTTTTTCAAATTATCTCATATTTATAACAATTTATAACTAGAATACAAGTTAAAGCGTAAATTGAGTGATTTAGTTTTATTATTTCTTGGAAATTTTTGCATGCTTTTTACTCGTAAACTATAGTGTATCGTATTTGATACAGTAGGCTAATACGCATAATATATTTCTTATTTCAGACTTACATTTAATGAAATTGTCATTCGGTTAGAAGATGAAATCGAAAATAGTTTCACAGAAAATGATATTTATTTACTACCACCTGAAAATGCAAACGGGGTGTTGACTGATGAAGATTTTGGAGACGAATATAACGTCGAAATCAACAACCTACCACCGAGCTTGTTGAGAACGGATGCAAACCACTGCGAACCACTAAGCAAAACATCCAAAAAGTACAATTGGAGAAAAAAAATCTTCACCAAAGCAAAACCGACATGGAAACCTATCTTATAATAATCAAAGGTCGCCTATCGAATGGTTTTCTTTTTTTTTCAGAAGATCTTTATCTATTACTCAGTACTGAGACTAATAAATACGTAGGAAGGAAAAATCTTCCCGTTGATATGAAAATGGAAGAAATGAAGTGTGCTATAGGCATTTTGTTAGTAAGCGGCTACTGTCAAGTAAATAGAAGACGTATGTACTAGGAAAACACACCTGATACAAAAAATGATCTGATTGTTGATGTGTTGATCTTTCAGACAAAACATATCATCTCTTCGGACAAGTATTCGCGGTAAGAAGTGGTATATGCCACTCATTCTGCATTGTATAGACATGTCACTTCAGAACGCCTACAAATATAACGGTGGTAATGTCGATATGCTGACTTTCAGGCGTCGCGTAGCTATCGCACTTATAGAATCAAATACCCTTAGAAGTAAACCAGGCCGTAGCAGACCATCCTCACTAACCATGGATACGAGGTTTGATGAAAAGGGTCATTACGTCATTAAAAAACCACAGAATAAACGAACAAGATGTGGCTTGTGTCATCGATCATGTCCTGCAAGATGTGTAAAGTGCAATATTTGACTTCATATTGATAGTTTTCTTACCTATCATACCAAAAAATAATGGTGTATATTTTTGTCAATAAATACTTTTTGCCTTAGATACTGGAATTTATGCTTTTATATAAGCCTACTGTATCACATAGGATACGGCCCATCTCAGACCCCCTATGGAATCGATTTTTTTTTAAATATTTTTTTCATTAATAACAATGTTCAATGATACGATAAAAATAGAAAAAGTACATATTTTTCGAAAAAAATAGTTTCCGGTCTAAATGGGTTAATGGTGATTCTAATTTGAATAAATATTGAAATGAAATTTAGACATTTTTAAAACAGTTTTGATTAAACTGTTAGATTTTTGATGTAATAACTTATTGAAAAGAATATTTTTCTGCATAATTTGTCTAAAACTAATATTTCTTTCTTCAATAATTTTATGTACCTAAAGATTTTTTTTTGTTAAATTTAAAAAATAGTTCACACAGAATACATTGCTAAATGACAGCTGATGCGCCGTAGACGCTCGCAATAGACCCAGCGCACTATCTCACACGCACTCGCTCAGATATATGTTCCTCGCGCTCGAGCTTATAATTTAGGGGTGCCTGGTAGGGGTTGCCACCCGACTAAGTGCCTGGCAATGGACAGCGTGATTTCTAAGATTATTACGATGAAAATATGTCAAAACTGAATTTTATACTATGAGGAAAGTGAAAGACAATTTTATACACCTTTAGAACGTGTTACCTGCCAAAGCCACCGCGATAGAAGTTTCATAGGTGGGGATCTTGACTACCTGTATTGGGTACATCTATAGAAAAAATTTCAGCTTTTATAAATTAACGAAGGCCTGGCTGGCCCTGGCTCTTGGACTGTTACAATCAATTTTTATTTTAGCAGTGTTTGTCAGACGTAGGAGAAATATAAGAAATTTTTCAAATTTGGTGTGGAATTAAAACGATTTCTATATAGAATTGTTACTAAAGTATAGTCATGTATAAATATATTATTTTGCAGGCATCAGCGTCACCGACAATGATATCACTATTCTGTCTGTACGGCTACTCTCTATCAATCTACATTCCGGTGGCAATTCTTTGGACAATTCAAGTATCTTGGCTGCAATGGCTGTTTGTACTAATGGCGGCTTTAGTCTCTGGCGCTGTACTTATATTCTGGCTTTTACCGGCTTTGAAGAAATCTAAATATTCGCTAATATTAATCGGCTCTATACTAGGATTTCATTTTCTTCTTGCTAGTGGCTTCATGTTGTATTTCTTTCATGTTCCCAATACAGTTGATCCGACAACCGTTGTGACGAATACAACTGTTAAAGTCTAAATGTGATATGTATTACTTGATGTAATTATCTATAGCTCGTAAACAGATTTCTTCAATTAAGATTCAAAATATATAATGTCATTTAGAAATTTAGTTAGTTTTATTAATATGCACATTCCTCTGGTATATAGTTTCAATTAATTTCAAGTACATAATGTAGACGTATTAAAATTTATTATGTTATTTATTATAAGTAAAAAATAAATATTATGGAGATATGTTTGTGTATTATTTGAACAATAAAACAATGTATAATCAATTATTATATTACAAAATATATACAAATGTAAATCATTCGTTGATACTGAATGTCTTAAAGCTGTTGATCCAAGCCTGCTTGTTGTAACTCTGTGGTGTTTCATCGGTCGCTAACTGAAATGTACTGATTATTTCAGATATCATATTGTCTGAAATAAAAATAATACACAATTACTTAAACATTAACACTTATGTTGTGTATTGTTAAATAACAATATACATATTGTGAGGTATATTATTAGTAGATAGATCACTTTAACATATTTCTGCCATTTAGTCTTGCTTCTTAGCCACATACATATATTAAAATTAATATATTAAAATGAAAGTAATACTTTTCAGCAACCATGATCACGGTTACTGAAAAGTAGCCGAATTTTCGGAGATATGTAGTTGTTACAAAAATAAAGTTACTTAGTATATCCGAAAAATATTAGTCTCATTTAAATGAATAAAACTGGCGAAAATTTTAGATCTCATTAACTTTAATATAGTTTTATTTGATACTATAATTCTTCTATTAAATACTATACATAGTAGAAGAAAAAATTTGTTCAGTATGCTCTTATATATAAATGATACTTACAGTACATTTCTTCGCAGTGTAGTTTTATCATGTGACACATTTGTATCAAGGGTCCTTCATGTTTAGTCAAGCAGTCTGTGTCAATGCTCACTACTAAGTACAATACTTGTACACCATACTGACACACCGCTCGGAGAGATTCAACGTCTGGTGAAAATATATTTACATTAATAAAAGTACCAAATTTATATAAAGAAAAAAGTATTTCCTGGGTAAGCAATAATGTGAGATTAATAAGTAATCTATGAATGTACAAATACATACATATATATGTAATTCTTATAACTTTTTTTTAATCAATTGGTACTAGTGATGGTCAATACACACATATTGTATAATTATTATAGTGGGACATAGTTATGCTATCCAGAACCTCAAAACAAATCATTTCAACACAATCATGTATTTGCTTCAATGATAAGGAGAAAATAATTATAAGTTATATCAAATATATATAACTTTACAAATTTTATCATGTTAAATAACTATATTAAAAAATAATATAAAAGAATTCTAAATAATAGAATTTTAAAATGAATATCTGTTTATGGATCAAATGTTATGTTTTTATAAATATTTTGGTTATTTTTTTTTCCAGAATATTTTAAACAAAATTAATGACTATAATTACTTATCTAATTGCCACTCGATAATTAAAAATAATAATTTTGTTTGTATTATAAGTAAAATGATTTTTTACACACAAACTTAGTAACCTCTAATGTCCATTATATTTTCTTGTTTATATAAAAATAATTAAAAAACATTTTCCATTTTAAAATCAACCATACAGAAAACACGTCTAAAACATAGTGTATGGGCAAATCTCCTTTTATTGCAACATTATCGAGCATCATTTAGCATTGAAAGATTTTTGCTACTAAAAATTCTTGTCTTTATATATATAAAAATTTCGTGTCACGTGTTTGTCGGCGATGGACTCCTAAATTACAAAACCGATTTTAAATTTGATTTGCATTCCGTGTGCATTTTGATTCAACTTGAAAGATAGGATAGCTTACATCTCAATTTATAGTTACAATATTATTTATTGCAAATTATTTGTCTATTAAAGAAAATTATTTCCCATTATTACAATTATCTGTTGACTAAGTTAAGTATTCAATAGATGGCGCTATGTTAAAAATATAAACGTCATATATGAACGACTATTTAATAATAGCATAACCACCACGTGTTTATGAGGCTAAGGTATAACCTACATTTATTTATTAAAAAAACGTAACTGATATTTCTTGCTTATAGGGCGGTACGAAGTTCGCCAGGTCTTCTAGTCTTCTATAAGTATTATGATGGATGAGTTAGTTAAGCTTTAAAGGTGACTCAAGTTCTAGTTAGCACTTTGGGAGGCTTTAATTTTTGGTTTTATGTCTTCATATATCATTTATATCATTTCCAACCAAAATGTGGGTATTTTTTGTTATATAGCAGCATCTACATGCAATAAAAGTAAAACTAATCATTTATAATGTTTGTACCTGTGTTATTATTTCTGTCAGTCCACATTTGTGCGCATATCTTCAATGTGTACACCATGACACGCATCAAAACACTTCTGCATTCACATCTATAATAAATATACAAATATAAAGTTAATTAATCTCATTTAAAATGGAATTCAATAACAAAAACTTCGTTTGGAATATATAATAGCTGTTACTAATTATATTTATAAAAAGTTTTTTATGATGTGTTATTTTTTACTGAATGATTTCTGTTCGGCTGAATATAATTTGGAAGAAATTCAATGCAAACATAGACTTTGGTATACAAAATACTATATCTATTTGTTTCTGAATAATAATAATGTACATTTCTCATATGTCATAAACATACCATTTAAATCTACAAGTTGAGTATCAGTAAAACCGAAAACCAATTACAATAAAATTTTAATGTAGGTAAAAAAAAGTAAATTCCTGACTCACATCAAATGTATGTCTGAAACTATCACCTTTAATTTAAATAAATCATTATAAATAATTTGACCATCATTAACAATTTGATCATTATAATGATTTTGATCATCATTAATAACTTGATTATTATAATGAATTTGAACATCATAAACAATTTGATCATTATAATGATTTTGATCATCATTAATAACTTGATTATTATAAATAACTAGAAGACCTGGCGAACTTCGTATCGCCCAATAATCAAGAAATATCTATTACGTTTTTTATTTATATTTTTGGAGTTTACCTGTAGGCTGTAAGCCATAAATCTCCGTGTTTTGAAGTGCGACAGAATGATTGATATATTAGTTAGTTGTCAAATCTAATGTAAAAAAACGTTTGTATGGGAAATAGAAAAGGGCTGTTTTTATGGTTTTCCCAGTAATTAATCAATTTTTTTCAGCTTTTATACCTTTCCTGAACCTCCACGAACATTTCCAGACTAAGATAAGATAAATCCGTTCAGCTGTTCTCGAGTTTTAGCGAGACTAAGGAACAGCAATCCATTTTTATATACAGGGTGACTGGTGAATTACTATCGATATTTGAGGACGTGATATTTGACGATCATATATGACAAAATAAAAATTAATATAACATAAATATTAATAAACTTCTAAGTAAAGTTAACCAAAAGTTGTGTAATTAATTACGCATCGTATGAACACCCTACAGATTAGGTATACACTGACACTCACACATACGCGTGTCGTGACGTGGTGTTGTATCAGCACGCCGCCGCACGCGTCCACACTTGAACACTTGGAACGTGTCAACACTTTGTTTATTTATAGGGAAATTTTATCAAAAATTAAGTACCTATTTTTTTTACATAATTAGAATGAGAATCATGTACCGAGTATTCTCCTTAAATATTGATAGTAATTCACCAGTCACCCTGTATATAGAAGATTTGAACATCATTAACAATTTGATCATCATCCTACTAATATTATAATTGCAAAAGTTTGTTAGTGTGTGTGTATGTTTGTCACTTCACGCTCAAACGGCTGAACCGATTTTGATAAAATTTTATATACAGGAAGCTGACGTCCAGGAATAACACATAGGCTATTTTACATGCCGGAAATCCGTAGCAGCTAGTTAATAATAATTTGCCCATCCTTTAACATTGTATTCCCCTATACTTGTTAATAATACCTTGATCCGTTATCTTGTTCGTCACAACTATTCAACATGCTGTATATTCTGAGTATACTTCTGCCACACTCCACAGCTTGTGTCACTAAATACTGTCTCTCTATACATCTAAGAGCTACTTCCAATTGTTCTAGTACTACCCGCATTGTACACGAATCTGGAAAAAATATACAAATTTTGTGATAAAAACGATAATAAACGCAAGAACTCCTGATTTAGAGAAAAATAATAATTATTTAAATGTATTTTTCGTAAAATAAAAGCTATTATGAATTATTATTAGTATTATAGATATATAAGGAGTTCAAGAAACGATCAAATTAATATTTCATAAGTTAAATATCACACCAAAATTCTGGTATTTTATAATTTTATTTATTTATTTATTTTATTTATTTGGTAACCCAACAGTTTTTATACATAAATTTCTATATTAACTATTACATAACATAAAATTAAAACCAAGATAGGATTACACAGGTATCTTAAACATATTAATAACTAGAAGACAAAAGTAAAATCAGCATAAAAGTAAAATTTATAATATTAAACTAATATAAAGGTATGGGTGGGAATCCAATAGGTGCGTGTTTGCATGATTGTGTGTGTATGTGTGTGTGTGTGTGTGTGTCTGTATGTGTGTGTGTGGGGGTGTGTGTATGTTTGTCATTATGAATTTTTATCTTTTTTAATTATAGCTTTTTTAAAAGCTAGTTTTGACATGCTGAACAGATCAATTTCATTGACAGTACTTATTTGAAGAGAAAATAAAAGGTAACAGTGAGAATTTAACTTAAAAAACATTCAACCACACATTAAAAATAGCCAATTTCTTCAAAATAACACTAAAATAACACTATATAAGAGAGGAGCTTAAACAGTGGAGTTGAGCGTTTAACGCGTTAGATAGGGGTCCCTTAAACCTACACTTGGGTCGCAAGTCCCAGGCACTGTTGAAGCTCCTCTCACTACAACGATGGACCCATTGAATGCTGAGAAGTTTACTCAATACCTCTTCTATATAAAAGCACGCCCTGTTCGTGGTCTAATTTCAGATTGCCGCTGTTTCCCCCACACATGTCATAAATATGTTTTCTGTTATAGGATCCCATTTGTTTTATTATCTCGCATATAACGAAGCCCATTGGTCGAGATAGTATTATGTTCTTTACTACGTCCATAGTTTGAGTGCTCCTTTCTATGAATGCTTGAAGTAAAAATATTATTGATAGAAGTAATCCGCTGTATAGAGTTGATGTTGACTGAAATTTAAAGAAATATAAGATTTGAGTATCAAGTATTACTATGATTCAATAATAAGATAGTGGCGCCTTCTAGTTTAAATCAATTTTGGGTCTTCGTCATGTATTTTGTGAAGTATGGAATTGGAAAATTTATAATAATTAGCAAGATTTTAACTTACAAGTGACAAATTATCGCATTTCAATTGCTAGCGTTTAATAAAATTATTGAGTTATCATATTTCCTACTAATATTATAATTGCGAAAGTTTGAGAGTGTGTGTACGTTTGTTACTTTTTCACGCTCAAACGGCTGAACCGATTTTGATAAAATTTTGTATACAGGAAGCTGACGTCCAGGAATAACACATAGCCTACTTTACATCCCGGAAATCAGCACCTAGGTGCAGCTAGTTAGAATATAAATGTCTTACCGTACGATCCAAAGCGATACATATTTTATTCATTAACTCAATAAATATTTGTTCAACCGTCTTGTCATCCTGCAATATTGAATCCTTAACTTCTTTGTATTTGGGATCATTTAAAATGTAAACTAGAACGGCTGTGAGCCGCCTCGCTTGGATACCTTGCTCCTCTTTGTAAAGAGACCTGCCAATAACAAAATATTATGTTAAAACAATAGTTTTATAATTTTAATATAAATGAATACTGCAACAGTATAGTCCGTTAGACTTAAGCTGAGCTTTGCATTTGTGTGAGTGGAAGTAAAAGTAGAGTTAGACAAATCGTTTTTAGAATTAAATTTTATTATATTTTACATAGATAAATAACATTAGTACTATAAAATAAGCAAAACTTGTAAAAGTCCAGATGGAAATATTTTGAATATTGAGGAAAAAAAAAATTATTAATAAGAATTTTGAAAAAACTACAAGTTCTTATTCACTTGACATTGCGTTTTCAACATTTGATATTGCTACCAGTACAAAAGGTGAAGTGAGGAAGGTCCGGGGCGTAGTAAAGGCAGTATAAACCGGTTCAAAACTAGAAAAGAATGTTTCATTCAAGAATTTGACATCTCACCTACACTATCCGTGTGCACTCACACAAATGCACAGCTCAGCTTAAATCAAACGCACTATATATTCATATTTATTTTTTTACATCAAAAGTGGCAAACGAGCAGAATGTCAACTTAATGGAAGGTAGTCACCGCCGCCCAAAGATATCTGCAACTTAAAGGATGTTGCGGTTGCGTTGCTGACCTTGAGTGTGAAAAAGAAAGAAGAGTGGGAAAGGAAATTAAATAAAATACTGAATTATCCCTCTTGAAAGCAGAACTATGGACTATCAGACATCGAAAACGCAGAAGATTAGTGAAAATCAACAAAATGTTGAGATTTAAAACGTCGATTAATTGCAGTTTACAAGAAAAAGAAATGCAAAAACAAAAAACATTAATATTTCATATATTTTAATCAGTTATCACAATAAATAGTTTTTGATTATTCATAGTCCTTATTATGTTAGAACATACTTGCCACACAATAGTTCCCTGTGTGTGATAGTTATTATGTTCCCGGTAGTCTCCATATAAACTTCATCCATATCTTTAATAAAAGCTGTTGTAATCCTTTCTTGAATCGTCTCTAAATCTTGAAGAACTTCTTGTAATACATCTCTGGCCGTTCTTACAACCTATACACAGATGAGGTTATTGAGACCACTATAATGAAACATTAAATAAAATACATAGTTTTATTTTGTGTTCTTCATTTTTATCCTACTAATATGTATTATAATTGCGAAAGTTTGTGAGTGTGTGTGTATGTTTGTTACTTCTTCACGCTCAGACAGCTGAAGCAATTTTGATAAAATTTACAAATACCGGAATACCCGGAAATCTCGGAAATCCCGGAAATTCGCAGGTAACACCGCGGGGCGCAGCTAGTAATATTATAATAATGTTATGTATTATTTAATTATATCTAAAGAACCATTTCTGTATTATTATTATTAGCTCGAAAATAATATCTCCATATTTACTTTTTTTTGGTTTCAATTCGAATGTTATTGATGATGAAACTAAAAGCTGAGCAATTAGTTTGAATGGTAAGCAAAGCCAGGCCGATTGGTTAGTGAATAACATACTTACATGAAGACATTTCTTTAAATCCGGTTCCTGCGATGTTGATATATGACTTAGATCTTCATAGAGACAGTTCAAATTAAACATTTTCCTTGTTTTCTTAACTTGTGATGTGATCGGTAGTCTGTGGAATGTAGTGTAGATGCGACATTTGTCCGATGAATCCTGCTGTATCAGTTTCTCATTGTATTCTAATATTGAGAACTGTTTGCATGACTCGTCCACTATATATGGCAGCATTTCTGATAGTTTTGAGTATTCTGAAAGAGATTTGTTATTATATATTGACCAGCTTTCCGTCAGCTGTTTGGCCCGTGTGGAGTTCGGTTATATCGCGTTTCCAAGAGAACCTTTCAAAACTCTGGGATAAAACCTATCCTATGTTCTTTCTCAAGGTCAACTCTATATCTGTACTAAATTTCATTAAAATCAGTTCAGTGGCTTAAGCGTGAAAGCGTAACAGACAGACAGTGTTACTTTCGCATTTATAATGTTAGTAGGGATAGTAGGGATAATATTATAAAAAAATAATAGAGAAGTTCAATGTATTATTAATCCAGGAAATTACATGAATTTAATTGTCAATTGTATTTGTAAATAAAATTAATTAGTTTCTAAGACCATACCTTTAGTATAACTGATGTTGAGTTTAAGGAAATGTGTTTTGTCATCCGTTTGGACGGCACTTGATATTTTTTTTATCCTCCTGGACTGGGATTCATTGACTCCACTTTTGTTATTATTGTAGCTTTGACTGTAATAAAGTAATAATAATTGGTTATACAATTTAATGTTCATATTGCATTATTTGTAGTACAGTTTTGGGAGAACTTTAAATATAATAGCATTTCAATATGGCTATATAGATATTAATTAAAAAGTTTCCTAGTTTTTGTGTCATATATCATGAGTAGGATATGTATGTATGTACATGTAATTATATATATTATTAAATATATAAGCACATACCTTATCAATTCATTTCCTGCTTTGACTTGTGTGAGCCTCACTTTATTAGATTCTAATAGTTTACATTTCTCCTTTACACTTATTATTTCTAGATTCTGAAACATCAAGTTAAATTTAATGTATAAGACTTTGTCTCAAATACAACAGCTTTTTAATAGTATTAAGTGAACTTGTATAATTAAATAACTGTATATTTATTTTCTGAATAAGCATGCTCTATTATAACCTATATATCAGGGCTGATATGAAGAAATTCAGATTTTTTTTTAAGTATTTATAGTTTAAAACATGTCAATCAGTTATAAAATGAGTTGATCATATATTTATCACATAATTTTTAAAAGAAATTATCTTTATTCCTTAATGTTTTAACTTACTTAAGAAAGGTAGGTGCTGTATATAGTACAAGTATAAACTGTATATATGAGATTAAAAATGACATTTGGATTGAAGTGGCATATATTTAAAATTTAATTCCTAACTATCATAGTGCTACCTAATACAACTTTTATATGAAAATAATACTGAATATTTTTTTTTATATTTACCTTAAAGTCTAACTGTGTTCGTAGTTCCCCAAGTTGTTTGTTTGCCGCACTTAATTTCTCCGACCAATCCATTTGCACTTTTTCCTGTGCTTTTGTTTTTTCCATCCTAGCATTATCTACAGCTATTTGGCATGTTTTTAGTTGAGTTCTTAATATCGATGCCTCACCCTCTTTGGTAACACATTTCTCGAGTAATTTGCCATTCTCCGATTTCAATTTTTCATTTTCCTCCTTTAACTGAAGGAGTTGTCGGTAAACCTGATCGGAATCTTGTCCTTTTGATATCACGTTGTTGAAAATTAGGTCTTCGCTTATATTAACATTATCAGTTTTGCAAACTTTGGACATGGCTCGTAATGGAGAGGATATTTTTTCACATTTATCATTTAGCTTTGTAGAGACCGAGTTGAATACTTGGTTGGAACTCGGTTTTTTGAATTGAAAGCAATTTCGAGATGTGCTCGGCTCTGTCTGTTTTTGTGTACTTGTTGATGATGGGTTCATACATATACTGTAATTTGGTAGCTCACTACAAAAACTATTAGACATCACATTTTCACTTAGATTATTGTCATTTATATGTTTGTTTGACAAACTTTGTACATGGGAATTTCTTTCGTAATTATCCCTTGAATGGGCAGATGTAACTTTTGAATTGGGGACTTTATTCTGTAAATTAACGGGTGCTGCATTTGGCTTCGGATGTATTTGTGTACTAGTTGACGGTGGGTTCATACATACGCTATAATTTGGTAATTCATTAGTGTTTTGTCCACTTAGAGCTTTTTCATAAGCTTGACTAGCAAGTAATACAACTTCGTCATCTATTTCGTCGTCCCAAATATCATTTTCGTTCATTTCTGACAAACAGTTCAAGGTAAATTATATGTTATAATTAAATGTAAGATTAATAAAAATTATAATATAATTCTGAAACCTGTAGCTGGTGCTGTGTTTTGACTCAGAGGAAAGTTATGATCCGAAACAGTAATGTCGAGTTTTGCTTTTTTACGTATTCCATTCTGTTGAGGTATATATCGTTTGGACATTTTAATAATTTTATTACAGCAAGTTTTAGTCAATTAAATATTTTCTACGTTCAAAATAAATCCACTTTGAAGTTTGAACATAAGTTTTTGAAATTTGAAGGTAATATGTGTCAATCTTAAAAATCTAACATGTCAAAAGTTAAATGTTGCTATTCTCACTTCAAAATTTCCTGAAAAATATATCAAACATTGTGAAAGAAGTCCTAAAAACGGAAGATATAAATATATATTTCTTTAAAAATATGATTTTTTAAAGATTTCCTTTATGCAGATTTATTTGATATTTTTACATCGTTTTACTTAAATGTAGCAGCAAGTTGTGTCAAGTACAAAATGTGAATAGTACAGAATGAGGAATACATTTTAAGTCTATTCATAATTATTATAATTATAGTAAGTGGTCATTATCATTTTTATCATAAGACTCGTTTTCTAGAGTGACAAAACGTCAATGAAAGTTATGTGCTTAATGATGACTATCGATAATTACTTTATAACTTTGAAAACATCAATCATATTATTAATATGCGTATTTTAGAGTATTAAAATAAAAATAATAGGTATTAGAAGTAATTAATAATGAAACGAATTGATATGAAAGTGTTACAGTCGATTCATTCTCTTCCTACCTTCTAGAATCTAAAACATATTTAGAAAAATGGAAATGAAAGTTTTTAAAAGCGCATTCAAATTTATAGACAAAACTTTGTGAAGAATAAATGAAGTAATGTGGACAAAATAGTCAAATATGCTGCATGCAACATATAGGACCTTAATACAAACTAAAATGGACACAAAGATTTGTAATTTCTGATTACATGATAACTTACTTAAGTAGCTAACATCACTACCGTTAACAGAATAGGTTGTGGACTGGCTAGCTCTGGTAATAATGCCTTTTGGCCTTTTGGTCTAAGGCTGCCTAGAAAAATTTGTTCAGCCGTCTCTACGATCACTGCCAAAAGCCAATGATAACTGTGCCAACAGAGCTAAAGATAAATCCGATCTACTAGACATTTTCTTTCCCTTGAACTTGATCTTGTACAATGATAGTACTACCTCTTCCTTTTTCATCCCACTTTGGATTGTAGCGTTCCAGTTTCTTTACCAGTAAAGCTATAGTATCCTGCATAGAATGAGTGAGTTAAGCAATCCATATAATATTTAACTATCCTATAGGCACGCAGGTGCTATCTATTAGGTTTTCTTACGAGAATATCAATCAATATTTCCTATCTTTACAGACTATAGTATAGATAAAATAGCGATGCGATATTTTGGACATCACAACTTCTACATATTAATGATATGTTGTCTACAAGTAGCATTCATTACTATGTGGGTGATAGTACCGGAGCAACTAAGAAAATAGAGATTATTCCAGTAAACCTCGTCAAGCTGTGAAGGAAAGTCTCCATTAAATTGTGTTTGGAAGCGAGAGTACTCTCTCTAGAGTCCGTAATCCAATTGGAATTGTGGTCGGGAGGATTTGATGCAATTTAATCTGAGGAAGTCATAATTTTCTTGGTTTTATCATCAGCCTATCAGAGCCCACTGCTGAGCAAAGGTCTCTTTCTCACATGGAGAAGGTTTGAGTATTAATCACTATAACGCTTGCTCAAGACGGGTTGATAATTTCAAACTTATAATTGTGAAATTATAAGTCCAGGTTTCCTCACGATGTTTTCCTTCACCGTATGTCAGTGGTGTTTAAACACTCTTGGAAAGTATATATGACTCGGAAAAATCACATTGGTACTTGCCACGATCGAACCTGCGCCCTCGTCAACAAGAGGCGAGACCTTTAACCACTAGGCCCGCACTGACTTAACTTCTTGGTTTAACACTATGAAAATCACCTTCACTATATTTTACTATTGTTTTATTAATTTCATATAATAACTTAATTGATTTTTTTTATTTGGAATTAAAATTAAACATATTAACTGCAGTTTTTCAACAAAGAGTATGCCGTCTTACAATCTTTTTTTAATTAATACGTTCTTGTTATATTAAAATACAAAAACTAAATTATTATTGTTTGTACATGCCTAAGAAAATATATTTTGATTTGGGGTTTATCTTTTCCAGTAACTTGTTATTTTACAAAAAATTGTCTAGTTAACATAATATTGAATTCTTGTCTAATAGATGTTCCCCAATAAATTCGCTAGAATGTATTCCTTACAACCGGGGAGGTAATATAAGGTGGCAACATGCGTTACGAATGATTAAAAAACTCGTATTAAAGATTCTGGAAATTATGTTTTATAAACAATGTTTAGAATTAAGTCATATGTAGTACTTGGATTAATTATAATTTCCTCATTATAATATTGTAGGTTTCGTCTTTTTTATCTGTAACCATAGACAAGAGGACGCTGAAAAGTTTATATGTTGATGTAGAATGTAGATTGTTTGTGATTTAGTTCGTCGTGGAAATTGGTTCAGAGTGGACGTGTACAATGTCTGTAGCTTATAAACTTGGTGATTTAGTTTGGTATGTTGTTTAAACTATATTTTAAGTTGTTTGAAGTAATATAAATTAATATTTGTGACATTTTGCACTATATATTATTTTGTTTCAGGGCTAAAATGAAGGGATTCAGCCCTTGGCCCGGCCGTGTAAGTGTCTTTATTATGCTATTTTTACGTTAAAAACCTTTTTAAAATTTATGTAAGTGCTACCTAAGGAAACAAAATATCCAAACTTTCATCCAAACAAACATTAAGTTATGTATTGTGAAGTTATCACTGTAAAAACTAATGAGCGGGAATTTTTTGTTGTGTGTGACGCTAATGGGTCGTACACAGATCTTTTCTTACATTATGGACTATTTACGAACAGAACGCTCTGTGAAAGTTTGCCATAACTTTAGTTAGTTATATATTATATATAGTGTAATATTAACCATACCAAAATCATATTTTGTGTCCTCTTCTACTACTAGAATAAATATGAGAGGGAGAGATGGAAAATATAATTTTTGGGTGTTTATTGTTATTTAATGATGTTATTGGTATCTGTTTCCAGGTGGCCATTCCCACTCCAGAACTAAAGCCTCCAAAGAAAGCTATGAATGTACAATGCATTTACTTCTTTGGTACAAATAACTAGTAAGTAGAAAATATTTTTAAATTAACTATTAAAAATGCCAAAGAATTAAACAGTATATGGGATAGTACATATCTACAAAAGTATTTAAGTGTGCTTGAGGTTATGTACGGACATATGTGAAAACTAAACTTTTAAATTTAATATTTCTCATATAATACTCTTGGTTATATTTATGTGGCTTCTTTTAGTTAAAATTTTTGAGTTTGTTTTATTTAATATATTTAATAACTAATATTATTTAATTCACCAGAACTTATGACACTTTCATGTTGACCGAGGAGAAAAGTTTTGTGAATCTCAAGCTTTTATATGTAGTATAAACTATTGGATTGTTTATTCTATATAGGAATTCTAATATTTTAGTGATATTTTAGTGATATTATAGCTGTTAATAATATTAAAATAATTGTTAGGTCCTTAACTTAATAATATTTTCTAGGGCAACATGTGAAAAGCATAATTTTAAGTACCTTAAAAATAAATCCTTAAGACATGAATATCAAATTTAGAAAATTAGGTTGATTATCATAATTAATGTAACAAAGTTACTGAAGTAATTCAATATTTATCATACTTATTTTTTACTAATGTACTCAATATAGTTCAACATATTTATAATGTTGATTAAAAGTATAGCTTACTATGATCTCATTAACCAATTTAATCAGGTAATGTAACTTATAATATTCTCCAAATGATCATATAAGAAATATTTAAATCAACTTCAAATCTATCTCATTTTTAATGAATGTTTAATGAAATGTTTGTTTAACAAGAAAGCACTCCATATACCATTTTTGGATATCAACTGATATTAAATCGTTACAACTGTGATAAAAAAGATTTGGATAGAACATTTGTTCATACATATTGAGTTTGAACAAAAATTCTTTATATATAATAATGTATATACAATAACACCTCCTAATTAGATTTTGTACTTTTTTCTGTCAAATGTTTATATTATACATCATAGTGGAATGTTTTTTTTAATTAACTATTTAAAGAAAACTTAATTAGTATGCTACTAACTAGTGACCATTCAAATAATAAGTCATATTATTTTATTTCTTTAATCAACTCAAAACTAAACAGACACTTTTAAATTATTTATCTCTATATTATGAATTGTTTTAATTTTATGGAGTTTAACATATTAACAATTCTTATTGGTCTATTTATCAATTGAATCTATTTATTATTATTTGTTCCGTGATGCGAGTTTTTGTTTTAGTATAATATCTCATGTATCCATTCTGTCAATACATTTTCTCAATCAATACTATACATTCATATATTTAACTTCACACTAATGAATATTAAGTATAAGTTGATAAAAATATTATGTGTATTAAACAGCTCTGTATACAGGGCGACTGGTGAATTACTATCGATACTTGGGGACGTGATATTTGACGATCATATATGACAAAATAAAAATTAATATAACATAAATATTAATAAACTTCTAAGTAAAGTTAACCAAAAGTTATGTAATTAATTACGCATCGTGTGGACACCCGACAGATTAGGTATACACACACACACACACACACGCTTGCGGCGGTGTGGTGTTGTATCAGCACGCCGCCGCACGCGTCCACACTTGGAACACTTGGAACGTGTCCACACTTTATTTATTTATACGGAAATTTGGTCAAAAATTAAGCACCTGTTTTTATTACATAATTCGATTGAGAATCATGTACCGAGTATTCTCCTTAAATATTGATAGTAATTCACCAGTCACCCTGTATATTTTATTGCATGTACATTTGAAGAACATTGCAAAACTTTTTTGCCTTCCCATCTTTTCCCTCTATCATTCAAACATAAAACTGGACAACCAATCATTAATAGCATTCCTTAAAATCAAAACCGGATATCTAAAGCAATAGGAACTTTTGTCTGTCTGTCTGTTACTATATAGAGAAGAAACTTTAAAGGGATAATGAGTTTATAGAATGTTATAACATGCATCCCTGTATTATATATAATCAATGTGTGTATGTATTAGAAAAGAAAATTTTGTTTGTATTACTTCAAACAAATATTTGAACTATAATTTATTTATTAAGGCGAGGTATCCTCTCGGATAGGATTAATTATAATCTAAAGATATTAATCTTTAGTCAAAAAACATTACATTGCTGTGTGAAAGTTTCATTAAAGATCTTTTGCTGCTCTCGATTCGAGTAAAAAACAGATTTAGAGCAAGACAAACATAGAAGTAAATAATGCAATTTTTTCATATATTACTCGATTGTATGCGCCGAAAAAGTGAAACTTTGTAATATTGGAAAGAAAACAGGAAGGGATGGAAATTGATTGTTAAAGAATTTGTTATGTTTCTTTAAGACAACCTTTATTAACATCACTTACAAGTCATAATTGATTGCCCGCATGAGTTAGAGTGGCACGCATTCTCTCTCGGCCTGTCTCTTCCCCCTCCCCCCCAAATAGCGTTAGACGTTTAACGCAACCTTGTTGGAAGTTGCATAAAAAGTTTCACTTCAAAAATGCTAGTATGATCTGAATACGGAACCTAGGATTTAATAACATTATCGCTGAAAAAATGTATGCTATGTAGGGCTTTCTTAACATATATTTTTCAATATTTTTAATATTTGTTTTTGTCAAAACAAAACTACACGTTTTGCGTTCCAATAGCAGACAAAAGACTGATTAAATTAAAAGGAATATGTCATAATATACACAACTGACATATTACACTGGATAGCGCCACTCGTTATAAAGTGACTTATAATATTTTTTGATATACAATTAACATTAAATCATTATTGAAAATTTCATCCGTCTATCACGGTCTTAATAACACTTTACGCGTTGTTCTTAGGGACTAGGGTCTAAAGCACTATATGCAAGTTTTATTAACGTCGTCAAAAAATAAATATAACTAACAAGAAACTCGATATTTCAACAAAAAAGAAAAAAGCAAATCAGATTTTTTTCATATTATATCATGGTTGTAACATACATACATACATTTGTTATACAATGAGATGTGACTAAAACAAAGATTCATGTATAGTCCGACAAGAGACGAATCTTACTAAAGTGGACTATAGTTGACTATAGTCTACGAATAGTGATAACGTGATTGGCTAAAGCAGCAGAAATAGTGCTGATTGAACACTTAGTGCAATTATATTACAACACATAGGAGTTATAGATTGTATACTCTGCGCTTATAAAACAATTGCAATTTATTTTAAATATAATTTTGATCAGGAATGTTATTTTCCAATTTGATATATATTTTATACTAGCTTTCCCCCCGCAGCTTCGCCCGCGTGGAGTTCGGTTATATCGCGTTTCCAAGAGAACCTTTCAAAAGTCTGGGATAAAGACTATCCTATGTTCTTTTTCAAGGTCAACTCTTTCGCTACCAAATTTCATTAAAATCAGTTCAGTGGTTTAGGCGTGAAAGCGTAACAGACAGACAGAGTTTCTTTCGCATTTATAATATTAGTAAAGATTGACATGCATTATCTAAGAGATTTTACGTCTATATTAAGCTAATATTTACTGGTTCGATTAAATTTTACTTCACTATATAATAATTGTATCATATAGGTTAAGTATGTAGTATTACTTACACATATATTAGCTCTCGTATGTGTGTGTTATGTATGTGTGAGTGATGTTGAGTTTGTCTCCAGTGCGTGGATCGAGGAACACAACATAAAGCCTTACCAGGAGCATAAAGAGCAGTTGATAAAGTCGTGTAAGACGACCGCCTTCAAGGAGGCAGTGGCGCAGATAGAAGAATACATAGAGAACCCTGAGGTCAGTACATAATATATACAGAGTATACAGAGTGACTGGTGAATTACTATCAATATTTAAGGAGCATACTCGGTACATGATTCTCATTCGAATTATGTAAAAAAAAATTGGTACTTAATTTTTGACCAAATTTCCGTATAAATAAATAAAGTGTGGACACGTTCCAAGTGTTCCGAGTGTGGACGCGTGCCACCAGTCACCCTGTATATAACATATCTTCAAATATATAAAATTTCCATGTAACAATGTTAGTTACCGTACTCCTACGAAAAACCTTTACAAATTTTTACCAAATTTTATATGCGTATTTAGTATGTCTTAGAATCGGCTATTATCTATTTTTCATACCCCTAACTGATATCCTTATCATCATTTGTAAACAACCCTTTTTTAACCCCATTTTTTTTAAGTTTTGGGCGATTTTTTTAATAATGTGTCATTAAAAATACATACAACGTTAATTTTTTTACTTTTTTGTCACCAATTCCTATTTTTATATATGGCAAAACAACGTTTGCCGATTCAGTTAGTAGTCTCAAAATGATACTGCAAATGATAATAATAATAAGTCAATAATTCGCTTTAGTTTTTTTCTATAGCTAAATGTATACAGTAATTTATTTGATATAGAAATGGGGGGATTTCGAAGAACACGTTCGTAATCCCGAAGAAGAGTTTGATAAACTAAAAGATGTAATGAAGGAAGAAAGTTCTGATGAAAAACAGCAGGAAGAGGAACCCTCGCCTGAAGTGAAGAAAAAGAGCTCTACGCCAAAGGTAATAAAGTCTATCACCCGCTAAGTCTATTATAAGTTACCCGCGGATTTCTGGGATTTTCGGGATGTAAAGTAGCCTATATGTTATTCCTAGATGTCAGCTTCCTGTATACAAAATTTTATCAAAATCGGTTCAGCCGTTTGAGCGTGAAGAAGTAACAAACATACATACTTACAAACTTTCGCAATTATAATATTAGTAAGAAGTAAGATGATTGCTATACTATCCTCTCTTTATCTACTGACTGAACAGTTTTTTGTTAAATTCTCTTTACTAGTTTGTCTGTTTTTTAATGTTAAAAAATTTGTAGAAATTTTTGAAAAATTACATCTTCAAATGATTAAATTATAATATACAAAGTCATTTAGTAAATATTATTAATTATTTTATAGTTCAGTTGAGGAGATAAATATTTAGATTTAATAAAATGATTTGAGGTAAAATTATAAATGATGTAGGAAATTTTATCATTAATGTCGTATTTATTTTAACATGTTCTATTGAACATACATACAAACACACACATACATACGGACACTCATATATATAAATTGTATGTAATACATATATGCCTTAAAGTTGCCATTTAAATTTTGATATTAATTTTGGAAACACGTTATTTTTATCTTCTATTTGAAAATTGATAAAATATTTTCTATAATTAATATTTTTTCTTTGAAATGAAATATTACGCAGTTGACTTGTGTTTGGATTGAAGTTGAAGGAGTATTTAACCAACTTCGTCGACAAAAAGGTTATGTTTTTATATTTGTGTTAATGCAAATTAAGACTGACCTATGTCATGATTTCCTATGCCTTCCAATCAATTATTTTTAGGAAAGTTTAAAAAAATAAATAAATAATATTTTATTTTTTAATATATATTGAATATTTTGTACTCGATGTACTAACTTTCTACAAATTAACCCTATTTACAGACAAATAGTGTACTTCTTATAGTTTATAAGTACATACTATGAAAGACTTCAAAAATTTCCCTTAATAGCCTTCTAATTTTTGTTTGTAAAACAATTTGTTAGAAACTGTTTTAATAAAAATATTTCTCTTCCAGTTATAAATTCACTTACTAATAATTATAATTAAGCTTCATAATGTACCTAGTTTGTTAGTTTACTTGCATACTAAAAATCCTATGTAATTTATTTACTGTGTAACTCAGCGTTGGATTTAACCCAATTTCGCCATGATGACACTAGCGTTCAAATTTTACCGTTTAATAAATATGTGTAAAGGACCGTTTGTTAGTTATGAGTATATTTGAAGAATTAATAGATATGATATGTATTATTTGTCTTAATATAAATATTTTAATTCAAATCTAAATAGAGAATATAGAAAGTAAAATTAATAGTCACGGGCAGTATGAGTCAGCAACCTCCGAAATCACACTTGAATTGCTTTTTGATATCAAAACAAACTTGTAAAATCGATAATCAGCATCTCTCTTCATAGAGCATACATTTTAATCCCTACTAATATTATAAATGCGAAAGTAACTCTGTCTGTCTGTCTGTCTGTCTGTCTGTCTGCTACGCTTTCACGCCTAAACCACTGAACTGATTTTAATGAAATTCGGTACAGAGATAGAGTTGACCTTGAGAAACAACATAGGATAGTTTTTATCCCAGACTTTTGAAAGGTTCTCTTGGAAACGCGATATAACCGAACTCCACGCGGCGAAGCTGCGGGCGGAAAGCTAGTAATACATAGAAAAAATATAAAGATACAGTGGTGGCCTAGTGGTTAAGAGGTCCGCCTCTCGTTGCCGAGGGCGCGGGTTCAAACCTGGCAAATACCAATGTGATTTTTCGGAGTCATATGTACTTTCTGAGAGTATTTAGACATCACTGTCATACGGTGAAGGAAAACATCGTGAGGAAACCTGGACTTATAGTTTCACAATTATAAGTTTGAAATCACCAACCCGTCTTGAGCAAGCGTGGTGATTAATGCTCAAACCTTCTCCATGTGAGAAAGAGGCCTTTGCTCAGCAGTGGGCTTCTGATAGGCTGATGACATACAATTTTGTAATATAAATAGCTAAAACAAAAGACGGTCTTATCGTCTTAAAACTTTAGTACTAGAAACCATTTATATTGTTGTAGTAGACAGTTATAGAAACAATATAAGAGAAAAAATAATAACGTAAAAGTCTACATACATATGAAATAAATAATAAACAATCTTAACAAGATAAATAACCGCTCTCAGTAATGCCAAAAAAGTTTGGATCTACGATAATTATCTAATATTGGCTTGAATTGGCTTTTCGGCGTGTATGATTTTAAAAACCTTTTTATTAAAATTTGATGCAAATGTCATTAAAGTGTTGAAGTTGTAACTTGGACTCGCGTTATCGTCTGATTCGTCAACTTTATTCGGGGATTGCAATAATTTTAGGATGAATCCAAAAGGCATATTGGAGCTCTATAAACACTTCAGAGTTTCCAAGACACATATCATGGGCAAATGCCATGTTGACGTCGTTACATAACTCCCAAAACACAAAGATACCCCAAAACTAGATTGAAGACTTCAATTTCATAAACAATTTATGATAGGAGCACAAAGTAACAGTAGGGTTAGGATTAAGTAAGGAAGAAAAAAAATTATTATATTTGGCAATACGACACTGATAAATATAAGATTCATGCAATGGGTTTACTAATGCAGAACGAGTGTTTAGAGATGGTAGATTTTTGACTCCCATTAGCACTAAAATGACGCCACTTAATTCATATACATAATGTGTCAGAAAAGTTAAAAGTTTATTTCAATGCGGTCCAAATGACTCCTCGGTCAGACTAATCTAGTAAGATGTGGTAAAATTAGCTAAAAAACCTTGCTTTATCTGCGGGAAGGCAGTTAGAACTGTAAGGCATTTGCTGGTGGGGGATGTAGGGTATTCCTGGATAGCGGTTAATACTCGGATCTTCACGATAGGGTTCTAGAAATCATACCGCGAACCGGTTAGTCTTTCGGTAACAAGAGCGCAAGGGGAAATAACCACAAACGAGCGATCAATAGGTTCTTTGAGAGAAGAACTAGGGCTATAAAATCTAACGTCAATCCTTACTCTATTCGTAAAGCGTCTCCGGGTGGATTGTATTAATGGATACGTATGAGAAATAGTATAGAATCTCACAGAAAATTTGTGCATTGGCGGTCCAGACCAGACATTTTTCTGTATTCGCGAATTTTAAAGCTCGTTGAGTGAATAGAGTCTACGGTTCCTTTGGAATCCAACATCCTCAAAAATATGTTATCAAGGTCAACATGTATTACGAGCTCAATAAGATTAGGTTCTTCGTAATAGGTTAGGTCAGGAATAGGTTGTTTCTATGCAGTAGAAGTGGAAGCGAGAAGTAGAACAGCTAAATCTCTCTACAACTACTACCTAATTTTTTTTTGACTTTGATTAATTTATATCATTGTATACAGTACGTACAAATACCATAAAATCAATGTTTTCATAAAATTGCAAAATTCAATTGCAATATATTTTTATTTCTTCTACTGTTATAAATATTAAATAACACAAAGGCGTCAATATTTTTTATGTTGGGGATTGATAAACAAGATAACATTTCTCTTGTTAATTTGACGTGTATGTTGTGATGTCAGCTTTCACAATAACTCAATCGTTTCTATTTAAAAGTATGATACTAACTGAAATGAAAATGTAGTGTATGAAAGTGTAGTGTATGAACGTGTAGTGTATGGACGTGTAGTGTATGAATGTGTCGTATATGAACGTGTAGTGTATGAACCTGTATTGTATGAACATGCAGTGTATGGACGTGTAGTGTATGAACCTGTAGTGTATGAACGTACAGTGTATGGACGTGTTGTGTATGAACGTGTAGTGTATGAATGTGTCGTATATGAACGTGCCGTGTATGGACGTGTTGTGTATAAACGTCTAGTGTGAATGTGTAGTGTATGGACGTGTTGTGTATGAACTATGAACGTGTTGTGTAAGAACTAATCATGATTAAGCTTTGTCATCTTTCTTTTATAAGTGGTATAAGTTGTATAAAGTCATAGGTTTGTATATTATGACAATATTTTTTTATGGTTTATGATTTCTATATCATAGTAAATAGTTATGAAAACTACTTCATACAGACAAATTATATTAAAACTATATCTCTAAAACAAAAAGATTATGAGTATAATTTTGATCCATTAGTCGGAGATTTAAATACTTTAAACTAACTGAATTTAAAATTAAAATGAGTGTTATGTGTTTGACAATGTTCCACAGTAATTAATGTAAGTGGTTCCCAAATAGGATTTCTCTTATGATTAAAACTTACAACAACAGGGCACAATAGTCATAAACTTCTTTTTTGTATTTAACTAATGCTTTATTACATATTTGTGTCCTTCTATTGACAGTAAATTTTTCAAAGACGATTTGTTCTCAATAATATTATTATTAAATGGTCGCAATAACTTCATATAAACATAAAAAAATATTGAAGAAAATTGATGAAGTAACAAATTGTTGCGTAGGATTTATTGTAATTTAAAAGAATATATTTGTATTATTTAAATCATCTCACCTTATATGAAATGTAAGCTCATTTAATTCTCAATTGTTTGTTTAGGATGTGCCTGTTAACAGAAATAAATAAATATAAATACATTCTTTGCAACTATTAGCGTAGTTATTAAGAATCATATCATTCAAACGGCTTCGAGAATTTAGTTTTGATAATATTTGAATATATACTGTTAGTTTACGATAATTTATAAATAAAATATAAGTAAATAAAAAAAAGTAAACTTTTTCTTGATCTTTATTTTGTGTTATTTATAATATGTATATACGAAAAACGTATTTTTAATAATATTATTACACATTTTTTTATATTTTGACTAGTTAAGTTTTAAAGTAAACATTAGTTAGGTATATATTACACAAATATAAAATTCATATTTGTTTTAACGAAATGCGAAATTTAAGAGAGGTCATTTAAATATTACATTAAAATCAAAAATAAACGTCAAGTGTTATAAAAATATTATTGAGCGTTTTTTTAATAATGTGTAAGATTAGTCACGCTACAAATACATAAAACAGTTTCACGACTTTTTTAAATGATACGATTTAAATATTAATAGCTCTCTTTAATATGATATAGGATGTAAAAGTTTTATAATGGATATAAAAAAAATAATGCTCTATCTATTTGTAATATAAAAAAAGTTTTTTAGTGTAATGCGTATGGATGGATGTCTATATATCAAATTAATTTGAATAACTCTGTAATTTCTTACTAATCTGTGAAAAGGATGGACCGATTTTGATTGAACTCTCATGGACAGATGGCTGGTGTAATAAGGAACGAATAGATGAAACTAATATTTTGCGGATATACTACGCGGTTTATTTTTGTGAAAAACTACATATCAAATTTTAAATAATAAGACCAACTGACAGACATTCACATCTCGTTTACCCGTGATCACGGTTGCTGAAAAGTAGCCGAAACGTCGTATATAGTCTTTTACAAAAATAAATAAATAAATTCTTTTATTTTAGAGTTCTTATTTATTGTTAAATATATACATACGTTCATATATTTTTAATATATCCCTCATACAATCGACCGTCATCACTCATTCATCTTACAATTTATAGATACGTTATGGATTTTCAAAGGTGAAGCCAGTGAAGCGGTCTTCATCGGCCGGACTCAAACCCACTCCCAGGAAGAAGGCGAAGAGTGGTTCCCGCTCCTTCACAGACACGGAGATCGCAAACGACAAGCCTTCCATGCTGAACCACTCATTCTCCAAGAAGTCCAGCTTGCTACACCGCCCATCCAATATATTGAGACCCGTAAGTCATGATTACTGAGATCACTTAGCTCATCAAGAATTGAATAGAATTTCATTTCATCATCATTATAAGTCCACTGTATGACAAAGACCTCCTATATCTGCAGCTCTTCAAATCTATCGTCAATAAAAAACTTCTTATTCCATTAGTTAGCATGTAGAAGTCATTAACTCATGATTATTTTCACTAATTCCGCCAAGACCTCTCCTATTATACGTCACTGAGCTCAAATAGCAGCTTTTTACCTCTTACCTCAATAAAATCTTACTCTTCCATTAATAATGCTGTAGAATTCATTGACTCATGATTATATTCATTAATTCTTCTTTCCCTCCCAGGACACGCCGCCATTAGACCTGGAGAATGTGTCAGAAACTCTCTTGGAGAAGAACATTAAAGCCAGCCAGATGAAGTTCGGTTTCCTCGGTCTAGGGATTATGGGCAGCGGCATAGTGAAGAACTTGCTTAACTCCGGACACAAGGTGCTCGTGTGGAACAGAACAGCGGCTAAGGTCAGTGGTTATTATATATGTGTTGAGGTCAAGGGTTAAATATGTTATTACTATCAAAGTATTGTCAAAGGTCGGATAGGAATTAACGTTTGACTATCAAATTGAGTCGGATTTGATACGGGAATTTATATTCATATAGGAGTTATGGAATGAAATTTCAATGAAAAGCTGAATATGTATCCGCAAGATCCAGTGTACTATCTTTCCAGGTGCTTTATTGTATTGTAGGTTCGAGTATTGCTCGTGACGAAAATTTTTTCTTCTATATTTTGTACTAACTTTACGCCCGCAGCTTCGCCCGCGTGGAGTTCGGTTATATCGCGTTTCCAAGAGAACCTTTCAAAAGTCTTAGATAAAAACTGTCCTATGTTCTTTCTCAAGGTCAACTCTATGTCTGTACCTAATTTCATTAAAATAAGTTCAGTGGTTTAGGCGTGAAAGCGTAACAGACAGACAGAAAAAGTTAATTTTGCATTTATAATATTAGTAGGGATTTGATTTTGATGGACAAGTTTACCGTGACGTGGTATATTGAGTAGTTCGATACAAGAGTTATACGTGATATGACAAGTACTGCCAGATTCGGCTCCCGGTGTGAGCATACTACCGCTGATGATGGCTGGTAATTATTTGAAAGTAAACCTTATACTAGCTTAATTATAGATTTCAAAATACAAAGTCTCATATTTCGTAAGTTCAAGGTCATAGTCAAGAATCATGCTCGATCAGGCCACAGACGTGGCGTTGAATATATCTCATTCATTAGTAGAAATGTTAGTCGAAATTGTATTTAAAGATGGAAAAACGAATATTGATTATTTAATTTGAGGGTAGAGTTGAAACTAACCGATTTACTTAACATGTTATCTTAACTCAATATGACGGTACAATGACTAGTAAACAATTTTTTTAACCAATTTCTTTATACTATATAGTATTAAAATTTATATATATTGAATCTTATTTCTCTTGTGTAATGCAAGGATCTAATATTAAGAATATTAACAAGTTTCTCCAAACATTATGTTTATATAAAGATTTCAGTCGATATTTCCTATAGCTCTGTATTTTTTTACTTGTGCGTTAAATATTCTATTGCCCATTGTTAATTTTGTTAAATTACCTGAACTTTTTACTTCATAATATTTAGTCAATTCTTTATCCACTCCCCATAGCTAAGTCGGTTTTTATTCGATCGAAATTTCTAGGCGTTTCTAGATAACGAGTGTGAAGTACCTTCCTACCTACCTAAATTACTTTTTATTGAATTAGTACAGCCGACAGACATTGTCCTCTCATAGCAAAAATATCATTCCGACCAAATAGCCAAAAAGATACTTTGACGCGAATCCTAAGTTCTTGTTAATACAGGCCCTAGATTTATGATTAAAGCCCTATAGATATAACTTATAAACGCGAAGATATCACAACTTTGGAATGTATGGAAGTTGAGTCAACTTTTTGAACATTTGACAGACGACTGTCAAACTGAAAGTAAATTTAAATGTGCTCAGTAAAGAGACCATTTATACCATAATTCGTTCAATAAATGCTTCGTGTGATTAAAGTCTTAAAGTTTAAAAGAGAGTACATTAAAAAAAGTATGATATTGCATAGAGTATTAGAACACACTCCAAAAAAAGACAATTAAGGGGTAGTCAATTTCGTGTTATGATTGATGTGTATTTATTAATCGGGTTTAATCAGATTCATCGCTCGTCAGATTTTAATCCATCGTTAAAAGTTTTCATTTTAGTCGCTGAGGGTTGAATGTTATTAGGGTGCAGTTATTTTTAATCGACTTCAAAAAAAGATGAGGTTCTCGATTCGGCTGTATTTTTTATGTTTTTTACCTCATAACCCTCGACTGAGTGAAGCGATTTTATTCGTTTTTATTTTCGGAAAAAAAGTTGTAGACATAGGTAGTTCGTACACTTTTTTATTAGGAGTTTTATTTAAAATGAATTTATTATAAATAATATGTCTTTGAATATCGTTTATATTTGTATAAAACAGTAAACATATGTTTAGCTGTATTTTTAAAGACTTTCCTTAACGTCAAGTAAGACTCCTATCTCCCACTATGAAGGAATACAATCCATCACTGTTTGTTTCAATATATTTACATCCTGAGATATCTATTTTCTCATCAGCAGAGCGTTAGTATTTAGAAGAAGTTTAGAAACAGATTTGTTTTCATAACTTTTGAGCTCTATCTAGTTAATTTTCACCACTTCAACCAAATTAAATTTGATTGATTCTGCTTTACAGCAACCCGCATCTCATAATGGAATTATTCAATAATATTGTGACTAATTAATATTAATACTCATTCGTAGTAGAGCTTTTATTAGTATTTTCAATATTAAAATCTCATTTTTAAATTCAATAACGTTTCATTTTATATTTTTTCAAAATAATTTTCTCTTCTCTAAGTTTAGCTTTATTCTTACTCCAACAAATCTACTCCTGCGTCTAATCTAAAAGTCTAAGACTACAGTCTCTCTAAAACATGTCACATTTTTTATCTAAATCTGTTCACAATTCTGGTTATGGTTTTAAACTTTTAAAGCGATACTGATATTGCATAAATATATATCAATTATTTTCTTATATCGTTCTTTAATTATTATTATTATAATTTGAAGTAAGTCCACTGATTCATTTCCGCGGTTCAAGTACCAAGTGTTGTGTTCATTATTATAAAGATAATTTGTTAGACATACAATGTATTATATATAAAACAATAGCTTGCTTTGTTTCTTTACTTTCTGCTGACTTAAATCACCCAGTTCGCGATAAATTGATATATCTGTATTAAATGCGGGAACACAATGTTAATTTTGATTTCTTCTATAGTAAATTGTTCGATAGACAGAAATTTAGACGTATTTAACACTCATAAAATTCGTTACAAATGTTCTAATAGTAAAAATACAGTTTACAATTTTATAATATTCACCTTAATTTTTTTTGTATTCAAACTAAATAAGTAAAAAATGTTTAACATATAATATATTTATTAAAGTAAAGAAAGCGACAATATTCTCTCTCATGGCACGTGGTGTTTTGTTTACATAACTTTATCAGTAAAGCATTTTTTATATTCAAGTAACGGACATAAACTCACGCCAGTATTCATTATATATATGTAGATCTAGCTCAGTTGTATAGATCCTATATAGGTATAACAAATTCAAGGGGACTCAAGCAAGTTCATCAAAACAGCCAAACGAGCCGTTTCCTGTTTATTCTTCTACATTATACTCTATAGTGTTCAGTCGCACGTGTTCCCTATATTTGATTAATTGCTAAACTACTGGCTTCTTATAAAAAGGGGCCATCCATAAAGTACGTCACACGTAAAGGGGGGGGGGAGGGGGTCGACAAAGTGTGACATGGTGTGACAAGGGGTGGGAGGGCTCCTAAGTTTCGTGACATCACATTTCAAAATCTAGAGCTACTTATCGCGTAATTTGAAATATTAATTAAAATCTTTAAAACTGAGCGCGTCATCACATATACTTATATTCATTAGTTTATTTATTATTTAAAATATTTGATACTATGATGATTTCTTAAAAAAGTACTTATTTTAAATGGAAATAAAACTAATTTCGGAACTGCTGTTTTAATTTAATAATTTTTCGATGTTAAATTTCAAAACATGTGACGTCACACTAGGGAGGGGGGGGTCTCAGAAATGTGACCACCTGTGACAAGGACGGGGGAGGGCTCAAAAACTCATGAAATTAGTGTGACGTACTTTATGGATGGCCCCAAAGACCAAGCGTAATGAAATCGATATTACACTTTGAATAAATAATAATATATGAACAAATTCATATGATTTAAACCTTAAATGGTACATAAGTTCTAAAAATATATTGAAATGAATAAAAGCGTTTAAATAGTTATGTGGTTATATCGAAGGTTTTACGAGACTTCTGAATGATAAAATTTAAAGTTAGATCAATGACGAACAGACAGTGAGAGTTACTTTTATATATATAGACTGAGTAGATGACTTAATATTTTATAGTATTATTTAATAATTACTTCTTAATATATATAATTATAGTATATAATGTATTTATAACTGGTATAACCGTACTACTATATCATAGTGTTGGTAGACTGATGCGTTTAAAATTAAATAAAATTTTACTATGATGTGGGTGTTTTATTTATTTATTATTTATTTTTCTAATTGAAAATCTTAAATTGCTCTGAAATCGTGTGCTAAAAACGTTTATAGTATATACATACATACCAACACAGCTGTACGTTGTCTTTGATAATTAATTGTACAAATCAAACAAATCGTTACATTGAAAAATAATTTATTCTTCATGATTTGCTTACTCTCGTTATTTATAATATTTAGAAAATTTTCAACAATATTTGTATAATTTATATTAAGAAACGTTACATACACATCATAACGATCGTTGTTCTATTTGGCGATCAACAATTAGACGGTGACACTACGACTAATAGTAATAATAAGAATAAGGACACCGACAGGCCGACAGGGGAGAGGGCCGTCGGCCAGTTCACACACCGACACCACAAACGACACTAGCCGACACGCCGCACTAGTACTAGTAGCAAGTAGTCCACAACATTGCACGAGTTACACACACACGGTCATACGAAGTACGCGCGCATACAGGCCGGCGCGTATAACAAAACGCGCGTGTGGGGCCGGTACTAAGAGGGTTCGTTGCGGCACGGCTCGAGCTCAACGGCTAGTAGCACGCGGCCGCCTGCACGCAGCTCGGGCGAGCTCAGACTGGCTGCAAGGCGCGCTCGGCCTAGCAGCGGGGAACTACATGGCTTGTGTTCTAATTCAAGCTCGGGAGCAGGCAGTTGTAGAGGCTTGACGGCAGCTAATAGTCGCGGCGGCGGCTTTTCGATCATGTTGATATGAACGGCCTCGGGTTCATTCGCCAGCGAGCCTCGACGAGACTCCAGCGAGCGCTCGGTAGGCGTATAGTACACAGACACCTTGCTCTCATCATCAAAATGCGGCAAACGCGCTAACTTCTCTATCTTAGTCTTGAGGTACATGTCAATGACCTCAACGTCGGGGTCGAAGGCCATGGAGTCGCTCCGCCCGCACGAACCGCTCCTGCAGTTCTCGAAGTACAAGCTGGGCAGGTTCTCGAGCACCTTGTTGAGAGTTTGCTGCTGGTACTTGTAAGACTCCCGCAGCCTCAGTATCTGGTGAGCGCTGAACTTGCGTATCTTGTTCCTCTGGAACACGTAGTTCTCTCTCACCCAGTTCAGTTGGCACGTCGAGTACTCGCGGACGCGTTTCACCTTGTTGAAAAACGGCTTTCATTAATATGACTATGCTATGAGCGTTCGTTTATAAAGCAATATGTTATTTTCTTTTGTCGGTGTGTAGTGTAGCGTTATTGTATTATATATGAGATATATTTACATCGATAGCTACCTGATCGTAGTACTGGTCTTTCATAGACGTCAAATGGTTTGTTCCTATATCTCTGATGTTTCTCAAGTGAGCCGCTTGTGTCGAGTAGCTACTCTGAATCCACTCCATCTGCTGAGTGCAGTTCTCTTTGATTCGATGCACCTAATATAAGAATAGATATAATATTGATTAATATTCAACGTTCTGTAATATTGTAAATTCTCTTGTGCTAGACTAGACTCCTGTCTCACCTGAACGGCGTAGTTTTCTCTTAGTTTTTCCAATTGTTGTCTCTTATATTGTTCGATGTTGTCCAACATGTGATATATCTGTCTGGTCCGCGGCGCGTCACGGTTCACACAAGTACAACAACTACAGCAGGTCTCTAGCAGACGGTATCTGGAAATTATAATACAATGTTAATATGATATACATGGATATCGTATGTCAATGAAATATAACTATATATAACTGACCTATAGAATATATATCGCAGAGCCTGCACTAGCAAAGTGAGACCCAAGAAACTCACTGCACACAACGCTCCGAATAGCAAGCTATAGATTTTGATTTCTAACATGGTCATTGGATCTATGTTGAGGACGACTTCGGCGGTTGCGTTAGCCGAGGGGTTTGAGGCGAGGCATAGGTAGGTGCCGCTGTCTTCACGGTGGATGTCCGCTATGAATAGGGAACCGTCGTCGCGGATTTTGACTCTCGAGTTAGTGTAATCTAAGGGCCGGTAATACTGATCGTGCGCTATTCCATGTTTTTGGAATATATCCGGCGGGGATGAGTCTGGATTCCAATGGAACACGTTCCTCGTGGGCGTTATCCAAGTGATCGATGGAGCTGGATTGCCAGCGAACTTGCATTCCAGCAGTGCGTCTGTTTGAAGCCTGTGTAATGTAAGCGGACTGCTCTTGATCAACTGCGGCGGTTTACAGTTGGTGCTGTTCAAATACCTCAGCATATCGTCCCTGTAGGCCCAGCGACAACTCAGATCCGACTTGACGATGTGTTTTCTCTTTTCTATCCAGCTAACGAACCAAGCCATCCTACAGTCGCAGGCCCACGAGTTGTTCCCTATACTCAACTCCTGTAAGTTCTCTAACATCTGCAGTGACAGCGGCAGGTATGTCAGAGCGTTGGCAGTAATGTCCAGATGCGTCAAAGCCGGCGTGTCTTGGAACACGAAAGGTTCTATTTCTCGCAACATGGCGTTGTACCTTACGTACAGACGCTTCAGTTTCTGTAACCCTTTAAAGTTTGTGTTCTGTATGACCGTTATTGCCGTGTGTTCGAGGTAGACTGTAAGTAAGTTTTCGTTATATTGGAAGAGCGTCGGGGGCAACACCTTAAGTCTATTACCACCTAAATTAAGCGTCTCTAACTTATTCAGATTTTTAAATATATCCTGTGATATGTTATCGAAGTTGTTGTAACCTAGATTGATATCCTTCAACTGTTCCAGGCTGTCGAATATAGATTTAGGTATATTATCTAATTTGTTGCTAGATAGATCGAGAGTTTCCAATTCCTTAAGGCTGACTAGAGAATGAGATGTAATTTTAACTAGACTATTATTATTTAGGAACAGAGTTTTCAGTTGGCTATTAGGCTTAAAAAAGTAATCTAAGAAAGTTGCGATCCTATTATAAGATAAATCCAACTTCTTCAACCTAATCATCGGCCCGAAGACCTGGAATGGTATCGCTTGGAGTTTGTTATGAGACACGTCCAAGACTTCTAGGTTCTCGAGGTCGGCGAACGTGAAGCGAGGTATGTCTTCTATATCATTCCTCGATAGATTCAGATGCGTCAGCCTGATCAATCTCGAGAAGAGGCCGTGTTCCGTCCTCTTTATTTTGTTCCCGCTGAAATCTATATACTCCAGATCCTCTAAGCCCTCGAATAGATTGTAATCGGTGGCCGTGATGTTAGATCCCGTCCATACTATCTGTCGTAGCTGGGTTCCGTAGCCGGCGAGGTCCGCCTTGCCGATCCTATCTCCAGACACCGCCGTGCCACTGCAGACCAGCGTGGTGGGTGTGCACACGCACGAAGACGGACATACTCCCCCCTCCACAGCTGCGCAAATTATTGCCAGCGTCAATATTTTGTGCAGCCACTGCATTATTTTATAACCGTCATAGTCTTATTGACTGGAAAGAGAAAACACATTATAAGTCATTTATTACTTTTGAAACTTATTTTCTTTGAACTCGAACATTTGTATCGCTTATTTTAGTTTTAAATGGGTGTTCGGCATAATAAAATGGTAATGAATGTTAATTACTTTTAAAGAACTACTTTAAATGAAGGATACTAGTATTGATTGTGTTCTTGTTTTGTTCACTGCGGTTTGACATTAATATAATTGTATTTCTTTATCTCTTTGTGAGATAAATTGTATGTCAACAACTTTGAAACTCAAATTGAGTATTGAAACGAGTAATAAATTAAGTATTTATAACATTTAAGCTACAAACAAGTTTACAGAATTGACTAAAAATTAAATCCTTGATAAAGTGGTGCAATATGTCTGGTTATATTAAACCATTATAAACCAACTGTTTAAAATGACAATAACTTAATAAATTATTATGAATATACATTATATTCTAATTACTTTTAAGTACTATTACTATAAACACTATTATTATAACTTTAACTGAACATTTTATATTCTGAATTAAAATTATTTAGTTTGTGTGGGTATATTTTTAATGATTTTACTTAAATGAACTTGGGAATATACTGTATAGTGTCTACATTGATGGTAAGAGTTTAATGTATTAAAATTTAATAGCAAACAAGGGAGCAACTATGATGTATTTTTCTTTCAATAATTAATTTAGACACGGCGGTATAAATCTATCACTTTTAATCTTTATCGTTGTTACCTGACTGCATCGTTAATGCCTTTATATAAATATCGTCAACTCCTAATGTATTATTTATATGTTTTACACGTCGGACACTATACAAATGTACATTATTTACCTAATACTCTTCCACATCTCATTCCAACTTGCATAATCCAAGTTATTTCGTGATGACAACAGATGTGTGAACGCTAGACATATTTGCGTTCGACCACGTCATATTATACACATCACACACTCTACTCCATTATATATTATCACAACTAGAGAACACTTGTATAATATCTGATTTGAACTTAATATACAATCTTCACATATAAAACGATCTATTATCACGATTATATCAAGACGCTGTCACTACGACCGAGTCGAGCACTGGAAAGAAATAAATGGCGGCGATCGGTGGTGCGCCCCGCGCGGTCCCTCTCTAACGCGCATGACGCCGCTATCGCCGTCTCGCTCGCACGGTCAGCTGGCGCCGAGCCGGGACGAGCGAAGCCGAAAGCCCGCGAAAGTGTTCGGAAGTGCGTCGCGCGTCCGCTAGACTGTGGACATACACATTCTGCTTGGGTTTTCTACATCACTATCTGAGAGAAATTAACTATTTTTAGGGTTCGTTCAGCTGTTAATAAAAATGAGAAGTAACGATTCGTTATGTGACGTTAATGTTCCTTAACATCTCTACTGTATATTTTTTTATTTTACATTTAAAAAGACAATGTTTTATTGTCACATTATCTTTCGAAAGTACTAAATGCTAGTGATAAACTAAAAGCTCGTTATATGATCGCCAAAAATATTTATAACGGACTCACTTCATGAACATAAGTTCAATATCAAGCGATGTATAAATATAACAGTTTTTATACGTTACCTGTTAATTCTATACATAGATCACTAAGACAATGGGTCTTAGTTCACGCATTCTACTTATAGAAGAAAACACGACCTTTGGAGTATTGTTTTTTATTACAGCTATTATAACAGGTTTTATATTTATATATATATAGAAACATCATCTACGCCATATTTTTCCATAAACAGTTGTATAAGTTATTGGTTGTGGCATTTTTATACGTAAATATTATTTGTTCATAATAATAATTTTTATATGATTAATATTCTACCAGTCTTCTTCTTCTACCTGTCAATTTCCCAGCTTTAGCCAGGGTCTGCCTTACATGTTGTGAATAGTTTTGGCTAATTATTTTTACGACCAGCCGCCTGCCTAACATCAACCCTCTTTGGGGATGCATTAATCAGTGATGTCTAAATACTCTTAGAAAGTACATATGACTCGGAAAAATCACATTGGTACTTGCCAGGATCGAAGCTGTGCCCTCATGCACGAGAGGCGGGCCTTTTAGACACTAGGCCACCACTGAGTTAATTTTCTACCAAAGTATATAATTCCTTTCCACATTATTTGTTTTATTCGCGTAACTAAACGATTAACTTTAACATGATTTATGACTAAAATATACACGGAATGGGTTTTTGTATGTTGAAGGTAACGCTATTTAATAGATTTGCAAAATTTGTTAACAAATATTCAGACCTTGATAAATGAGTTCAATAGTACATTTGTTTTATGTAACTCAATATATGTTGCTTTTTAATATTCAAGGATATTGGACCTTAAATTAATAAAAATATTATTTAAATCCCGTGACTTGGTGTAGTTTTTTGATATATTAATAAAGTTTTTGCAGCTCGTAAGTAGTGCTTAAAATCTACGCTGAGAGTAATACGGTCTAGTGTTTTTTTATTATTATTGGGATTAAGTAAGTTTAATATTTACCAATTCATTATATAGGTAAATTCTGACTACTAGTATCCGTAATAACTGTTCAGTATCTGGTCAAATTTATGAGCATTATTACTACTACTATCTTTTTAAACTGCTTTCAGTTCTCATACAATAATTAGACTATTTTTAATATACCTACGTTATATTTATAAATTAATATAACCACTCATTGCTAATAAATGAATATATGTACTTACACATATTTTACAACAAATTGTTTACATATTTTTTTGTTCATATATATACAGATTAATCTAGTCATAACGATTCTTAACATGACCTCGATATACGAAAATTTACTTGTATTCTTCTAAATCTTCGCCTTTGTAGGTTAATGGGAAAGAATTGTCTCGCTTACCGCTTAAATAATCACTGCGCAGTGTCGAGACACACAGACGACGACGTTTCTCGGAAAGGAATTAATATAATATCAGTACTTTAATTCTGCTTTCGTTTGAAATAATAATAATAAGTAAAGCTATATAGTCAGTGGTGGCCTAATGGTTAGAGGGCCCGCCTCTCGTTGCCGAGAGTGCGGGTTCGATCCCGGCCCGGGCATGTACCAATGTGATTTTTCCGAGTCATATGTACTTTCTAAGAATATTTAGACATCACTGATTAATGAATTCCCAAAAATAGGGTTGATGTCAGGCAGGCGGCCGGTCGTAAAAAACTATTCACAACAAGTAAGGCAGACCCTGGCTATAGCCGGGAAATTGCCAGGTAGAAGAAGAATAAGTAAAGCTATGTTTATAAAAGTCACGTGATTAATGTCTATACAGTGAATGTAAACGAATTAGTTCTGCCGAAAGTCAGATGAGTTTGTAAACAAATCATCGTGGGAGGTCGCCGTATCGTAATTATTAATTGATAACTGAGCAAAACGTGATACTATTGAAACGATTAGATTATTGCAATTAATACTATTATAACTACGCATTTTGTATTCATTATGCTTACTATATGTGTGTCTAAAACGTTTCCCATTTAACATTCAATTATAAAGTACTAGCTTTCTAGTTCGGCCGCGTGGAGTTCGGTTATATCGCGTTTCCAAGAGAACCTTTCAAAAGTCTGGGATAAAAACTATCCTATGTTCTTTCTCAAGGTCAACTCTGTCTCTGTAACAGATTTCATTAAAATCAGTTCAGTGGTTTAGGCGTGGAAGCGTAACAGACAGACAGACAGAGCTATTTTCGCATTTATAATATTATAAAGTATAGACGAGCCGTATGTAGTGCGACGATGCGAATTTGTGGTATACATTCTTACCTGTTTTTGTGTATCATGAATTTCTATTTGATTACCTGTTATGTTTATGTGTGTGTGTGTGTGTGTGTGTCTGTGTGTGTATATAAATATATTGTAACATGATTCAATATGTATTATGTTCAAAGCGGATCTTCAAATGTCTAACAATTGTATACTTTGCATTAACTACGTACAAAGAAGGATTCGGGTAAAAGAGCGTACTTGTAGACTTTGGTAGGCTATTTTAAATATCAATTCTTTGTCGAAGATAATATAGTATAACAAAATATCAATATAATCGTATAGCTTCGTATATATAGTGTATGAACGATATATCGTATCGGTCGGTCGTACTGTGAATGTATGTGTATTGTATTGAGAAGGGAAATGTTTCCTTTGTTAAACCGCCTTTAACTTAAATGTTTCGAAATGTTAGTGGAAGTGTATCGTCTAAAATTTAATTAGGTAATTTTATGTGTTTGTATTTAATTAATTAGAATTATCTCATCTAGCAGAAAGCGGGTTTTAAACAGGTGGTTTATTCCATGAGTGTGTTCTGTGAGTATTGTGTGTATGTGTGTGTGTGTGTATGTGTGTGTGTGTATGTGTGTGTGTGTGTGTATGAGCAATAGTATATTCATCTCCGGAGGGTTGTGGTTATGTAAAAACGCGTCATTATTAATAATTTTATACATTTCAGCTGTGATCGTTTCTCACGCCTAAACCTTATACATAAGTAACGAGAGCCTTCAAATCAGTAATATCTTTATATATAGTATAGAAAGGATTCTTTACATAAGAACGTATATAATAAGGACAATCATTATGATTCAGTGTTTAAACAATACCGTACTTCAATATATTATGCAGTTGATATATTTTTCTATTCAATGCTTTGTTGTTGTTACCGTGTTGGAGAGGGACGGCTGGTGGTGTGAGCGGGACAGCTGCTCAGTGACGTCATTCCTGTGACGTCACTGAGCAGCTGTGTAGTTTTCTTGCCCTTGTCGTACGGCTTCGGATTCATCGGCGTTGTGATTCTTTAAGACTTGTACAGCTTCTAAATATTATATCCCTTATATATTGAATGTCATGTCTCCTTGAACACGTATATTATATGTATATGTATATATTATTTTGTATATAAAAGTCATACAAGTAAAGAGTTTTCATTAAATCCTAGCTGTCCAGAACTGACCCAGTTTACCATCAAACATCACAGTTGTAAAATGAGTCGTGATAAAGAAAATTCGGGTCATGTTTTATTTGTTACATTTTTTATGATGCGAAACGTAATATTAATTTACTTATTTCTATATCCAGCTTAATTACTTTATTTATATTATAAAACCTATATTAGAAGCATAATAATAAAACCGAGTCTACATTGTCATTGTCACCACATCTAGGTACTGAATAGATTACTTTTATTTCTTACACACTTATGACTTTGCCCTAATCTAAAAATATTATTGATATTTTAGAATCGTTTTTTAAGTACCACAAGTCCAGTTATCTATGTTCTGGTCTTAAAGAACATCGACAGACGAAGTCGCGGGTGCGAACTAGTTTATATGATTTTTAAACCTAAATTTTAAACCCTTATATTTCGAGTTGGGTTTCTTATTTGCTTTTATTTATGTATATAGTAGTATATATATTTTTAATTTCGTATACATATATGTCACATATACATATGTATCTTATATAGTTTTTTAATAATAACTTTTAATTCACAATTCGGCCGACAATTACATTACTGTACCGACCTTGGGTTATATTAACGTTTTAGGAAATGGAATTGCGTTAACGTTAATTACTATTACAATTAACACGCATACAATTTGATGAGAAATAAATTGTTGTAGAATTTAGAATAGTTATGTCTTGATATGAAGTTGTTCGTAAATTCTTCATTTATTCGGAGTACAGACGACATACAATACCGTCTCATACATGTCTAGACACTACACGATCAATTGGAGATCTCTTGAAATATAATCGCTCCTGGCGAAAATAGAAAACATACAAAAATATAGAATTACTAAGTAATGTATGTACTTTGTTATTATAAAAAAACTATCGTTCATAATGTCTTAAAACTGCTTTTAAGTAATTTTTATTGTGTATAGTACGGTGAAGAGTTTTCAAATGTTTATTAATCAATACTTAAAGTAAATACATACTTTCCAAAAATATATTGTTATTTTTATTACTCAGTTCGATTGCAATTTTTTTCTATAATTAATCTCTGTGTAGAGATATTAGTAATATTGTTTTTGAATATTATTTTAGCACTCTTATTAATGATTTCATATATTAGAAAAATACATTTCAATAATATTTTAATCACAATATTCATTCTATATTTTGTATCTAAATTTTCATTTAAACTTTGTATACACCTTTCCTACACAATATTCTAGTAAAGTAAAAAAAAGAAAATGTTTATTTAATTTTAATTTAATCTGGAATACCTCAAGTTAAATGACAAAATATTGTTAATTTTTTCCGTACCTTATTAGACTTTATTAGACTTCATTCTCAATATTGTAACTGTTATTATATAGTAAGTAATATACATTTTTAAATTAATTATACAAAGTATTCAGTTCTTTTATACATTTATATTATACAAACTCATAGCCAATCCACTTTTATATATAAATTATATAATAGCATTTGTATCGTTTATCAAGAAACTAGCTTTCAAATGATTTTTTGAACAACTTCCTACACTTCTGGTGACATAATGTCGTTTGGGAGACAATAGGTATTTAATCTTTTGTTTAGGACACTACAAGTGAAATTATGTTATTATTATCATTATCTCTACGTGATATAATAGGCGAAATATATGTATAAAGTTACTATTTATATGTAACAAGTATACATATAATGCGTTCGTTTATATAGCAGATATATTTAAATGATAGTTTTCTATATATTAAGTATTATGTAAACAGTTGAGATTTCAGTGTTTATTTTGTTCGCCTTGAGCCCTGGCCGGCCTTGCTTGAGGTCAAACGGAGATGTATACATTTTTTATTACCTCAATAAATGAGCATCGCTTTATGTTGTCCCCGGTGTAGAGAGGCGTGTATTAAATGAACTAACGCGTCTAGTATATAGATATAATTTGTAAAATATCAATTACTGTTGAGAAATTGTTGGAAACAAACTCTCATGAATTTTTCAGTACATAGAATTGTTTAGGAGACGTTTGTAATATACTACTTTTTGTCCGCGACTTCGTTTGCGTTAGTTTCAGATTCAGAAACGTAATTGACCAGGCGAACCCTTCCTTTTTTTAAGACAGAAGATTTTGGAACTAATAATTTTTTTTCTTTTTCAAACGGATGGAAAATATCCTATGTCCTTTCCCTTGTTCTAAGATATAGATTCACTAATTTTCAATTTCCCGGTATATCCGTTGTTGAGTTATAAATAGTGTAACCAACACGGCTTTTTTATATATAAAAGATATATGTAGTTAATTCAACCTGGTTGTAAAATTGTATGGCTTATGTATAAAACTATTAACTACAATGTAGTAACTGCTACGTATGATACTGGTTCTTACAGGTATATTCAATTAACATAATACGATGAGCAATTCAAAGTTATTTTTACTATTCATAAATTTAATATTTACAAGAAACAAATTGAATATAAGTATAATTTTTAAATAATTTTTTGTATGGCAGACGAGTTTTAAACAGTCGTGTAACCATTCTTAGCGTTACACCAAGAACTATCGATCGTCGTACAACTTTGAGATCTAATGAAACTAGGTTACCGAGATACTTATAACAATCGGACAAACATGAAATATATTTTAATAAAATTCTCGTGTCGCGGTATTAGACAGGAACATCGAAACGGCTGGACGATTTTGATGAGGTTTTGTGAGCATATTGGGTAGGTCTGAGAATCGGTGAACCACTAAGTCATAAGGGATGTTTAGGGGTAAATTTTTTTATTTTATTTTCGGACGAAATTTTTTGTTTTTATAATGTAGCATAAAAAATACATGCAACCCAAAAAAATCACTTTTTTATCACCAACCCCTATTTTTTATATGGCAAAATAACATTTACCGGGTCAGCTAGTATTACCATATAATTAATTGACATTTGAAGTGCAATCCCAACCTTGATACAGTACGCTTCATACACACCGGTTCCCCCCTACCAAGTTTATTTTTATGTCATCGTTTATTCCTTCTACCACGATATATTTCGTGGTACACCATAAAATATTGGGTATCGTAAATTTATTTTTGCTTCTTTACGGGTTCAATGTACCGTTTGGTGTTTTGTAAACATATTTTTTTCGAGTGTATATGCCTATTATATTTGATTTGAGGCAATAAAATAATTATTAACCTTTGATTCTTCATTCAAGGTTTTTATTATATACTCGTAAACATATTTCTTGTATAAAAAATATTGTTATTTGATCAAAATTGTTACAAAATATCATTCAATTAAAGAATAATTGAAATCAATGCAGACTGTTATATAGTGAATGTAAACAGGTTAGCAACAATTGAAAAGCGTCAGAGAATTGTACGTCTTAGAATGAGATGAGTTCTGAAGATGTGTTGATTCATAATATGAGAAAATAACTTAGAGTGAATACTTGAAGAATGATGCTTTATAAATTTACAAATAAAATAATTTGCGTATAGAAAAAACGACTGGATACCATTCTATTGAATGATATAATAATTTTTTCCTTATACTCTCCAATTTTATAAATATTAATCTTTGACGTAAGTATTTAAAGAAACTTTAGTATCCCCATACATTACAGAGTTTATTATTTTATTACGTATTGATACATTATAAGTAAACAGTATTTTATACTAACTTTTTATATTTTTCAAATAGTATGGAATTTTTTTTCCAAAATTAATAAGTTTTTTGTTGATGTTGACAAGTCACTCACTTATTAAGAAGTTGAAAATTTACTTTCGATACCTCTTCTTAAATGAAGCTCGCATAATGTTTTCCTTTCTACAACAGTGTATGTGAGTGACCTTGATCGGCGAGAGGTATTCATATAAGGACAGCTCCAACATAGCTGACTGTCACTATTTAGTCCACAACTTACCTCTTCATTATAATCTACATATACTTTTGTTTTTGATACCTTTATATCAATTATGTTATTTTTTATATACCAGATTATTGAAAACTTCTCACAATTTTGGCATATAGGATCGATTTCGATAGAAAATTATTTTATTTTCAAACAACGGAATTAGTATCATTGTCACTACTTTAAAACTTTATGTTTTTCATTATATATGTCCATTTATATGCATGTATAATTTATATATTTAATATTAAGTTAATATATTAAAATAGATTTCTTTTTATTCTTCACCTGTTACTTCTAATCAGTTTATCTTGAAGAAATTTTGTTATATAACTATATCATATAATATATGTATATGTTTTGGTTTATATTCTAATATTGTTTATATAAAGTAACGGAGCGGTTTCAATATTTGTTGTAATATTACATATATTATACAAATTATCCTCTCTAAATTCCATATGGAAAATACCTTGTAACAGGAAATATATTCTTTAATAACATATATATATATATATTGTATGTTGAATTTTACGTCGTATTTATATGTTTGTTTTGAAGAGTATTGGGTATTAATATGATTCAGTGGAATTTTCGTTTCATTGAAATTAGCCCATAGGTCCAAGAACGTGAACTTCCAACATCGAAACCTTTAATAACTAAAATAATAACACTAAAAATTAAAATTAAACTATATTTTTCGTATATACAACGCCCTATAATCAAGAAATATCTGTTACGCTTTTTTATTGATATTTTTTAGAGTTTACCTATTAAAGCCATAAATCTCCGTGTTTTGAAGTGCGACAGAACGATTGACATATTAGTTAGTAGTCAAATCTAATGTCAAAAAAAAACGTTTGTATCAACAACTTCTAATAAATTAAAAATTAATTAAAAAAACACTGTCCAGCGGACAAA